TTTAAAACACTGTTTCAGATATTAACTGTTTTAAATATTTATTTATGTCCAAAAAATTTTTTTGGTAGTGCTTTTAAGTGTTTTGAGGTGCTTTTATCCAATGAAATTAAAAAAACCCCAAATTTAATGTATTTTTTGATTATTTTTCGTAAAAAGAATTTTGATAACTATCCAAGGATAGTTAAATTTTTTTTTAATTTTCCGCTAATATCTCGAAGGCATTGCAATCCACAGCAAAATAATGTATTACAAAATTGTAGCTAAATAAACAAGATTTCGAACGATACTATTTTTTTCCGATGCCTGTTGAATTTTAGCTGAGATCCAAAAATGTCTTACCTAACTATCCTTACCCCATCCTCCCCTACTTAATCATTTTTTTTATTATTTATGACCAACCTAATAAAAATTCTAAAGCTGAACTCGTCGTTTTCCGAAAATTTATTTTATCGACAAATATTAGTTTTTTCCATAGTTGTAGAATAAAGAAATTTATTCTAAAAAAAATCGCAAAATTCCGGTAATTATTTGATTATTTAAATTATTAATTATATATAGTTATAAATTAAATTAATAAGAACTTAATGAAAAAGGACCCCGCACTAAATTCACAGAAAATGGCTTACGGTTAAATTTGGCTATATTTTGAGAATTTTTAGTTGAAAGTGTCCTGATTGAAAAAATTTGTCCTGAGGTCACTGAATCAGAACACATATATGTCTCTGAACATTTTTTGAACGTCCTAGTAGAAGAATAAATGCGATTTAAAAGTTCCGCCATCCCCCGACTTCCGGTTTCTGTGTTCTTTAACCCTAGGTCGAAGATCCTATAAGATCCTTTCCTGATTGTCAGGTGTGTGTAAGTTGTCCGAAGACCACCTGTCTTCATGTGTGATATATATTCGCCATTAAACTTCCAGTGCGTTCCACCCGTAAAACGGCACACAAAATTATATATGTTTATTAGCTTGAAAACATGTAAATCACGATAAATAACAATAAGGCAAACAAAATTGTAACAATTTTTCATATATGCGTGTACGTCCACATGAAAAGGGACCACTTTGTCGATTACACTCACTAAAGAATCAGCGAAACGTCGCTAATTTGCAGCTATAAGTATGCAGCTGATTCAAACAGCGCGAATATACACTGATGAAATATAGTTTATATGCGTTAATTATCAATGTATATGTATACGCTGCTTGAATCAGCTGCATACTTATAGCTGCCCATTCAGCGATTTTCCGCTGATTCAAATTTAGAGAGTATAAACTTTATGGTTGAGATTTCTGGTTGAATTGGTTGTCTGTCAAATTAGCAGGTATAAGTTAGGTTATATTAGCCATGTGAAGTCTGATTCAGACATCATGCTCTTTGGAAGTACTATTCGTTTAGTTGGATTACCCAAACTGTATGGCAGTAACAGTAGTGCCATGTTAATTCAGTTATACAATATGACAGAAACAGCAAGAATTATGGCAGTAATTATGAAAAATTTCTTTCAGTATAAGTTTTTAAAAAATTAATTACAATACAAATGGAAAATACTTGGCAAAATCTTACGTAAGAATAGCTTCTACCCCCCCCCCTCCACCGACGTAAGCCCATGTAGAGATTTTATAACCCCCCCTCCCTCTAAGGACCCTTACGTAATTAATGAATGGGCCCTTATTGTAATCGACAAAGTGGTACCTATTTTCATGCGGACGTACACATTTTACTTGTCTTATAGTTCCAATTGTTTAGAAAAATCTAAAGTTAGAGTTGTCGGGCACCACAGAACAGAGTATAGAAAGTGTCTTGAGGATCAACCATGATAATCGCGAAGTTGCCGCTGGAGAGCCATTTGCAGTAATTCGGAGCATAAATTATATAAAGCAGTCAATCTGGAAATAAGCTATACCAAAGGGGGATACCTTTATAATTAAAATCAAAGTTTCTAGGTTCCAACCGTCTAAGAGGATGAAGCTTACAGTCGTATAGTCTCTGACCAAGGATTTATGTCCTCCCGATAGGCAAAAACTGTAAGGCGGATGAGATCCGACATCTGCTACAAGTGCGGAAGCCGGTCACAGTATAGCAGAAAGGAAGCCAGCTGCTTCCTCTGTAAGGAGCAGTAAAATGAAGGAAAGAACGACCAAGTTGCGAGCTTCAGAAAGTGTAGAGTCTTTGAGTCAATCCTCGAGGAAGCAAATAAGATTTTGTTAACGACTAAAAAGAAATTGGTCAACACAAGAACGACAATGATCAGTCACGCAACAGCGATCTCAGGAAGAACCTACGAAGTTAAGAGCTTGACGATAATATCATAGGAGGAGGAGGAATTGTCTATCATAAGGGTCTAGAACTGGTTTTTAGCAAATCGACACAGAAAAAATTAACAAGTAACTTCTTTAAATTTTTTTTTCTCTGAAACATTTTGAGGTTATAAAATTTATTTTGCATGGACAAAAAAAATCTTGCCCAGATATTTAAAGTTTAAAAAATGTATTGTTTCTTCACTATAAGTATTATCATAAACCAATCTCTACAACTATTCTTATATGGCGACATCTTTACTCAGCTTAGACAAAACATAAACATTATTATTGTTATCAACTGTAGTCATTTAGGAACTTTACAGTTAATAAATCATTCCATTTTATTATTTTACTCAGAAGGAAGTCTACTTTTAGTAGACATTTATTGAAAGCAATAGAGAACATTCTTTAAAACAATGTTATATCTGTCATGTTCATGAAAGTAATGAAAATAAAATAATCTCTACTGTGGCAAATGTGATTAATTCATAGTTGCTAAAGTAACTAGTTGCTTGCGACATCTAGAGATTTGAGCCACTAGGTTAACGTGTGCAAACAGGTGGCTACGTTACCGACAGTATAGTTAGTTACCTTTGCACGGAGAGAAATCTGTTACGATTAGCTCATAAGACTTACTCGTGCGCTAATAGTAACGAATTTCTCAAATGGCCTTTGAGGTAGGCAGTGATATTGAGAAAGTATCGTGTGCTTTAGACTTCTGTGGACGTTACCCACAGGTGGTAATAAGAAATTCATTTTACCGGCACAGACACATATATAGATATCATTATTATATTTGTCCTGAATTACCAACTGGTGGTACATTCTTTTATAGATAAAGGATCAGCATACGTAAAAGTTCTATCTGCTGGGTCTCGCATATTTCGGAACCTCTCTCTCTGCACCCCCACTACCAGAGTTATACCTCCTAATTCTAGTCTTCTTCAAGTTTTTTATTAAGTTAATCTTTAACAAAACAGATGCGACAAAGAGTGGGGATGCAGTCGGTTTATCTTTCTTTCTCACACCGTGGTCAAGTATGTTTGCTTTCCTGAAAAAGGAAATCTGGTTACTCCGTAATACATCAGCCTAGTCTTTTTGCCATCAGCGTACTTTTACACAGAGCTCAGTCGATATCGTCATTAGGTAAAGCAATAATCTATTTTTAACGTGTACTGTAATAATGAACTACGAATTCGAAAACAGTTGACAACAGTTGATAAGAACGTTTGTAACATCAAGTCCAAATTGTTACGCATTGAAACCGATATTACCCACCACTTTCATGTAAAAAGCAAAATCAAACTCACGCGACTAGACTTTAGTTGAAGTACTTTCAGCTATTACCTTCAGCGCGCCACATAGTATGTAGTTCGCGTATACAGAAATAGATGGACGTCAGAATTATTGATCAGTTATTCCTGTATTGAAAACTTAGGCGCAATAAGGGGACGTTTATAAGTTCAAATTTGTAATAATTGCCGTGCCACTTACATCAGTGACTCAAAACATAGTTTGGGAAAAAGAATAGAAAAACATAAAAAAAAAACCATTGAATCTGTTGTAAATGAACATCAGTATAATCCATAATTATTCTTTTAATTTTTATGATGCAAAAATTTTAGATTTTCAACCTATTTAAGAGAAAAGATTGATTTGGAAAATGTTACATATGAAATGTAATGATTTTACACGGAGAGAAAGAAAAAGTTCCAACTGCTTTCTTTTAAGTCGTCATGTTGATCTTATAAAGTCAAGTAGTTATAACCAGGGAGCCAGGCTGTTTTGACTTGGGTCTTTAATTGCAGCTACTGGTGTTCTCAGGCGATACCGACCAAGCTTTTCCCTGCTCAATTGATACTACTTGAGACAGCCAGGCCAAAACTGCCTGGCTACCAAATTATACTGACTTGTGTGTCGGTACTTGCGTTCACGCCTGCGTCGGTCAAGTAGATTCAACTGGAGTCTCCGGTTGTTGCAACCTAATTTTTCTCTCCGTGTACAATCAATAGGTAGGAGGATATTCAATTTCATAGTAATACTTATTATCCTCTATTCAGAAAATTGAAAGAATGATTTGATCTCTCTTATTTTGGGCATGTCAAAGTCGATGCGAATTTCCCATTGCAGCTCTATGTAAAAATAATTGCATCGACTTTGGCCTACCCTTAATATAGTGATAAAAACACGTAAGTAAACAATGTGGTTACCGACAGGTCTCTATTTTATTAGAAAGAATGCAACTTAACCGACCGACCGTGGTAAGAGTTCGTTTGGTAACGAGTGATGAAGTTAAGTTATTGTGCCGCAGAAGTCTGTTGATAAATAGATGTCGCTATGTGATAATTTTCATTATTCATTTCAACCATGGGTAGTTTATCAAATTTACATTCAAAATTTAAATTTAGGATTAAATTTTTAAAGGAAATTTCTATCTAACCAGATTTAAAATTGTAAAGTTTATATTTCCTCTAAATTATTCATTTCAAAATAAATATCTTTTTGTCCATCGAATGAAACTAGTTAATTCTTACTTATTTTTGGTATCAGAATCCGAGGTTAGAATTCAAAAATTGGCTCGTTTCTTTCCATCTAACCTCAAAAAAGCATACTTTTTTGGTCCATTTTATATGCCGTAATAAAAAAAAACTTAAGCTAGTTTTTAAATTCTGATTTAAAATAACATACAGGCAGCATAAAAGATTTTAATTTTTTAAGAGTGAAAAAATATCCATGTTTAATAAAATATAGCCTTTCTTTTATATACAATTGATAGATTTCTATATACTTCTTCTCTGTTAAGTTCTTGATTTAAAAATATTTTCAATCCATTTTTCACACGCCTTTCCAAATAACTATAATTACTGATCCATTACATGGAAAGTGAGTTCAGGATTCAATTAGATATTGTAGTGTTCTTACCTGCAACAAAAAGAAAAATAAACATTTAACAAATTTAAAACAATAATAATAATAATAATAATAATCTTTTTTTAAACAAAATTTTCAGATATAGTTAAGAATTTAAACTTAATACTTTTAAAAAACGTCTATTTAATAAAAAAAATTACTTTTATTTAATAGGAATTTTAGTCACAATATACGTTTATACACATAACTTTGGAAAATTTTGATATTAAATACCCACAGAGCACATAATATATATATATATATATATAAATTCAATGCAAAGTAGATGAATATTATACCATTATTATTATACAATAATTAGGTAAATATTTGCTTGTGATGAAATATTGCAACAAAAGTTTCTTGAATATTACGTTGAAATTTTCTATAAATGTAAGATAATAAATGTTAGCAATATTATATTTAAAAAATTGTTTAAATTAATTTTTGAAATTGAAGTATTCTATTAAGTATTACATTTATATTTATTATTTAATTATTTATTAATTTAATAAATTTTTCATGAAATTAATATTTAATAAAGTGCTTAGAATAAGACAAAAATTTTATTCCTACTTATTTAGAAAAAAAAATCGGACAAGTACGAGTTACACTCGCACTGAAATCGAGGGTTCCGTACTCGAAGCGAACTTATTTGGTATAAAAACAAATGTTTAAAAAATATTTGTTGTATGTCAAATAATATAAGTGATACAAAAAGGAACAATTTTGTAAAAATTAAGAAAATTGTTCCTCTTCGTATCACTTATATTATTTGTTATACAATACATATTTTTTAAACATTTGTTTTTATACCAAATAAGTTCGCTTCGAGTACGGAACCCTCGATTTCAGTCCAATTTTATTTTCAATTAAAATAAACATTTTCTTTAAAAAAAATGTGAAAAGAGAATATCGAATCAAAAAAGGAAGAATAGGAGGAAGAGAAAAAATTAGAAAAAAATAAATAGAACAGAGAAACGAATAAAAAAACCTATGGGAAAAGTCCACTTTTTTCAAAAAAATTTTCTTTTTCGAAAGAAACTTAATTAAAACAACTTCTTATCATGTTTGTTATATTATTTCTATAATCTACACACAAAAATGTGTGAAAATGAATAAATTTTAAGCCCTTTAGATAAAATTTTCTTCGTTGTTGCTTTCTAAATCTGAATTAGCGACTATTCGCTTTGAATTAGTGACTATTAATTCGCTTATTCTTAGCGCAGAGTATGCAGCTGGGAATAAGTGAATAATCACTCATTGAAAATTCGCTTATTACTAGCGAATAGTCGCTGATTGCCAGCGAATAGTCCCTATTTTAATCAGCCCAGAGTATGCAGCTATACGAATAAGCGAATAGTCGCTGATTCAAATTTAAAGAGTGGGAGAAAATTCATGATTTTTTCTATTTATCGCTATATTTTTTTTGTAATCTATACGTAAAAATACGTAAAAATATATAAGTTTGAATTACTTTAGATCAAATTTTCTTCGTTTTTGGTGAAAAAATATTTTTTTTTCCTAAAATTATCATTTTTCTTTAAAAATTTGATAAAAATTAATCATTAACTCCAATCGTGCTCACATCTTTTTCCCTGTAATTTTCACGCAAAAATACATTAATTATACACCAAATATGAACTATCTGGGTTGAATATGGTGAGAAAACGGATTGTCTCACTTCTTGTTTATAAATAATTAGGTATTAGAAATAAAATTTTTGTCTTATTGTAAGTAAATTATTAAATTAATACATATAAATTTAATCAAAGTTTATTAAAAACTTTAATTGTAAAAAATAACATAAACATTTTTTAAGTTTAATATTGCTATGCCATTTATTGTTATCTTTACATTTCCAGAAAATTTCAGCGTTACATTCACGAAACTTATGTTTCTCTCTTTTTCAAGGGAAATTAATTATATCACATAATTATTTATTTTTTATTTTAAGAAACTTTTTAAGTTACATACTTCTAGTCAAGGCCTAATGATTTTATGCAATATCGGTTTGCTTTGTTTATTTCACAATATTAAAATCTGGAACATTCATCTCGTAGTGTATTATAATTACAGAAACACTGGGGACTACAGAAATGATTAGTAGGAATAATGTGCCCCAAAAAAATAAAAAATTAATTTACAAATATCATAACAGACAGTTATTTTATATATGTGAATGTTTGAGAACTGATGTACTTTTAAGTATAGGTTTATTGTTTAAGATGAGGAAAATATACAAAAAAATATACTACAAGTACTGATAATTAACATTTATTAAATAGTAAAAAACGATCAAACATTAGCAACAGATTAATGGGAATAAATGCATTTTTATAGCGCTTGATGATATAAATTTGGTTATTTGTGGAACATTGTACGTTTATTCAACTTACAGATTATGGGTACTACAGAAAAGTAGAATTATTACGAAATGTATACTATATAACTGAAATATTTATCAATTTTCTCTCAAGTTATCAATAACTATATGTACAAAATACAAATGATTTAAAGCAGTTACACAGCAGTATTTTTATGTTTCATATACATCCTGGAATTTTATTTTCATGGATCTGCATCAGCATGAGTAGTCCAATATTTTTTTCAAATATTATCGTGGGAGAGAAATGTATAGAAGAAGCCATATCCTTCTTTAAAGCGTTCATTTGTTTCATATTGTATACTTAATAATGTCAGATATACTACTTATGTGTAGACGTTTTGTAGTCTAAACATTCTTCCAAACTTATTTTTTATCTTGAATTCTTCTATCATATATTATATTCCTTTGTTTGTTTTTCTTACTTTAGCGTTGCTTCGTATACCTACAAAATTATATATTAAAAGTTTCTCTTGATTAAATTTAATATTTTTAATTAATTTAAACTTTTGAACATGTAAAAATGACTAATTTACTCATCTTACACTACTAATGTTATTTGGAGGAACCAATTAATTTTTTAGAAGACACATGCTCCAGTCTTAAATTTTAATTTGTACTATAGTGTTCTATGAATCAACAGTCTTCCGGCTTTTTTAAAGAAATTAAAAGTGAAGTTTCTACATTACGAGCTGAAGATTTTGAAGAATTTTTTTAGAATGCAATGTTTCTCCTATGTTCAGGAACTGGACATCCTCTTTCTAGCACACCTATAACAAAAAAAGTAAATTTAAGTAACATTGAATTAACGTAAACCAATTTAATTAGTAGTCAATAATATTATATGTTACTAGACGTGATATAATGTGCAAAACATAAAACAAACTCGTAAAATATACTTAAAATATTAATATTTTTGCATTTTTATAAATTATTAATATTACTATGCAAAAAATTCAATTTGATTTGTGGCTTTTTTTCTTTTGTCAGTTGCTTTTCAATATGTTGTTGAAGAATTTCTGTATTATAAACTTATAATTTCTAATGTTGTAACATAATTTACAGCTTATAGAGGGTTTTCTAGATCTTATGCATCAATTGAAGGTTAAGGAATAGTCAATAAGGAGTCAGCAATTAATAAAATAACAAATCATATATTGTACACAAATAAGGAGAAATATATATATATATATATAGAAAGGATTACTCGTCATCTCGACATAAATAATACATGATTTCGTCGACCGACATTAAACGAAAATACAATGATTCGAAAATAAATTAAAGAGATTTTATCAAATTAACGCAAAGGAATATTTAAGATGAGTTTAGTACTCTCTAAATCTGAATCAGTCATATTTTACTGATTAGTAGTAGAAATCTACTAATTGCCATAGCGAGAATTGAGCAACTGACAATTAGTAGAAATTTACTGATTCAAAATATCAATTACTGATTGAATCAGTAATATAAATATATGGCGGCGGACACAAAATCTACTGATTTAATAGTTAATTTTAAAGGTTATGTTATATACAAATTACTGATTTACATAAGTTATTTTCTATTGTTTGCATATTCACTAATTATATTAGTAAATTTCAAAAAATAACTGAAACTTCAGTCAAAATGAAAAGTACTGATTGAATTAGTAAAATTTCTACTGATTCAGATTTAGAGAGTATAATTTATGCATTTCGATACAAGAGGACTTGATCTATACCAGGTAGGACTTACAGATATCCCTGAGTTCTAAATAATCTTGCACTGGAACTGAATAATGTTTAAGGAATCAATTTGCAGCCCATATAACATTGTTAAATTGATTCTCCTGAAATTTTAATTGTTTTGTTATTACAATGACTCTATTCTCGCGCATTCAACAATTTAAAAAGAAGTCTACTCTATTATTTCAGAAAATGTATTCATCTCTTCTTCCACATATCGAAAAAGAAGTATACTTTATATTTCATAAAATATAATTCTACTGTAATTATTAGTTTGTGTGTTGAATTTACTGAATTTTCGAATTAAAATTTTATATTTTTCTAAATCCTTCAACATCATATGAAAACAATTTCTCTGAGCGGTTTACTTTGTATCTAGAAAAATTGAATAAAGAAAAGAAGCAGGAAGGATTAATAAAAATATTTAGTGAATTTCCAAAACAATTTTATTTAATTGTACTAATAAAAAAATTGAGTTTAAATTGTCATTCCTACCACTACATCTTTTCATGAAAATCGTGTATAATCATTAAAATTATAATGTCCGTTATAATGTAGGATTGGGAAAGGTAGAACTATGATGCCCTGCCCAGTGGAAGGCATTAGTTTCCAGTTTCTGAAACAAAAATAATATTAAAGAACTCATTGCTCTTACTGAACGGTTTAAAAGATATATATTAATGAACACTTTAATATAGCTAACTTACTTACCCTATTATTAAAAACTTTTACTACTTTTATTGGACTTCCTTGCACCAGAAGTCGATTAAAAAAATTAAGAGATCATATAGGTGGATACAAAGTTCTGCAATCTTCAGAAGTTTATTAAAAATAATTCTTTTTTTCCATTGATGTCTCTCAATTCAAGGTACTCTCATACATCCAAAAGCTTATGTCTTAAGTGTCCTACAAAATGCAGAAATAAATAATTAGATTTATCCTAAGGATATATATTTCCTCGGAACAAATAATATCCTTAATTACGACGTCAGTAGGGTTGTGAGTGGTACGTTGTCAGAGAACTTTTAAGAAGAAAACTTTGTTTTTGGCTGGCACTGATGTTAGGAGCGCCGCATGTATAATAGTAGGTAGATTGTGTTGCTGTCTTTAAAAAAATATATATTACTATTTTCAATCTTTATCGCTGAAGAATGAAGAAGCATCAGTTTCGTCTATATTTACAATTTTGGAAGAATTTCTTATTGAAGGTATCCCGCTCAAATAACTCGACCGACGCTCAGACAAACGTTCTAATGGTAGTCGCGGGAAGCAGTAGCACACTGCTACTTGACTGGTAATGGAGCGTCCGTCGAGTTATTTGATCAGGACCCTCAGTTTCTTCTTCACTGCAGGAAGTTACATTTTCGCTTAGAGGTAGAAAGACTAGAAGAAGACAATGATATTTTAAAAATAAAAGTTTTAGCATAACATTTTCCCATTCTATTTAAAGATATTTTTCAATAACGTTATATATACTATATATAGCTATTTGGACATGAATTTTTTCCGCTCAGGTAGTAGATAAGAATCTGATCAATAAAATCATATTCATGAGGCGACATCTATTTACACAAACGCGTCAACTGCACACTGCGGAAGGTAACTCAACTTCAATACTTGTTACCACGCGATTTCTGTTTGTTGTCACGATCAGTAGGTTAAATCAAAGTGTATCATATAACAACATAAATAATTAGGAATTAATTGTATTATTAATCTGCTTTTTATTTAACTTTAATTGATTTCACTAATCTAAAATCTTCAAGTTACAATTTTTCACCTTTTCTATATGTATTGTTGTCTGTCGTTTACGTTTAAATAAATAATAAAATTGTAAACTATATACAAGGGCGGGTTTTAGAAGTATTCTTCATATCCTATACGGATGTTCTAGGGATATCGGATACCATTCGGAAATTAGAATATCCCTATGATGTTTGTTGGATATCCACGGACATTCTATGAATTCCAAGAACCGCCAGATATATATGCGCCTAGGTCGTATATGGGATATCCTAAATATTCGAATGCTGTTAAGTAATTACAAAGTGGTCTAATGACGTTCCTAAATTATTTTTAGAACGCACATATATATATATATATATATATTTCTGCGTTAAAGTATAACATTCTGAGGACGTTTCATGTTCCGAAAACGTTTGGCGAACATATGAACCATTTTCAGAACGTTATATTGAGTATAATATAGACATTAACTTTCTAAAAACGTTATTGGAACATAGAACGTTTCGTGCCCTGCCACTGGGTAATGTTAATAACGCAAATGCTATATAGATATGCATTTATTAATCTTGTTTCATATGAATTCAAATAAAATTAAATTAAAATTGAGTCATATTAATTGAACTTGAAGAAATTGAATTTCTTAAATATATGCCTTTATTTAGAATTATCATATTAAAAATTGAAAGGGATTCGATATATTTATTTATTTATAAATATACATTCCCCCGCAGTCCACACGATCGAACCATAAATATGTACCTATATATATATGTAAAAATTCCACAGAATTGTTCTATAGAAGTCATTTTTATAGACATGTTTCCATATATAGAATTAACATGTCAAAATATATCTCAGTTAGTAAAATATAGGATTTAATCATTTGCGTTATTAATTTACATAAAATTTCACTTATATCTTCACATTCACTTGTGGAGAATTTCGAGTGGAAACTCTTGTGGAACGGTATTCCATGGAATCTCTATGGAAAAAAAGCAATTATAATATATGTATACGCCCACGTGACAAGGGTCCATTTTGTCGATGCTAGATTTCGAGATATCGATTTAGAAAACGTACCATTTCAGTAATACCATTTCTCTTCTTCTTCTTTTATAACAAATATTTTTATAAAAAATTTTTTTTCTTTTCTCATTTCAATTTTTTAGAGTAATCTTTTTTATTTTGAATAACAAATGTCATAAAAAAATTCAATTTTGTGTTAACCAATAAAAAGTATTGAAAAAGTCAAAATTCTCCAAAACATGTTTTTTTATGAAAACAAAGTACAGGCTCATCCATAGGTAAAATCGAACTATTTTCAAGTTTTTATTTTTAATAAAAATATGAAATTTCATTAATCTTATAAATAATGAAAAAGGATTTTTTCTGAATACGTATAACAAAATGCTGGAATTTATTTTCTTTTTAGATGACTCGAAACTAACCTGTGCGATTTTAATACAATTTTTTGCAATAATTAATAGAAAATAAAATTTTAGAAAAAAATGATCTAATAGTTTATCCAAATTTTTTTAAATCCTTAATTTCCGGAATAGCGGAAGACAAGAATTATATAGAAGATGTTGATTTGTCATTCTACAGGTGTCATTGACTTATACAAATCGGCTCTATCGCTTTAACATTCAAATAGATTTTTAATAAAATGCATTATAGGTATATTTGAAAGTTATAGCAATAACTGATTAAAGACAGTTATGATTTTTTGTTAAATTTTTCTCAAAATTATTTTCGAAATTTCAGACTTTTTAATTTTGTTACTTGGAAATTCTTGTATTTATATTAGCCAAAGTTCCTCCACCGTATATAGAATATATAATATATATGTTAAATTTAATTAGAAGTACTCAACAAGGATTATGTGTTTTAACTAATAATTATTATGTCAGGGAAAATAAATATCAATGTGTTATTGTTTCACCGATTTTGGTAAAAAATTATAGTTCATGTGAGATGTGTATATATCAAAATTGAAACTCCATGACTAGAAAACGTGGCAGATGTATAATTTTGGCATACATGACGATGAACCGCGATTTCAAGGAGGTTTTTGGAGGTTGGTCGAAAGTGGTGTGAGTATGTGGGGGTTAAAAGACGTTGCTTGGCAACCACTCTTAGCTTTTCGCAATGGCTGCCACACACGTCACATACATACTCCCCTTTCTGTCATGAAAGTCACCCTTTCTGGTTGCTAGCTTAATACATATATTGCATCTTATGCGATTCTACCCGTACCAGCTAAATTCTTAAATTTTGTTCGAATTGAAAATTTCCATATCTTTCTCCTTTACTACTGATATGCAATGTCGCTCGAGGGATCTAAGTATGAGTCGAACGGAAAATTGAACAGTAATCTAAAAATATACTCTCTTTTTTGAACTTATACGAAGATACTATTAAGCTTTACAGATACCTATAAATATATACAAGTTTTTGTCAACATCTAGCAATTCGCATATAAATATACTCAATTAAGTCCATTTTATAATTATTCTGCAAACTTATTGGAATCATTTAATGATAACTTTAAATTTCTCATAAAAATCTAAGTTTCACGGTTTTCAGAATTTGTCACTGTAAAATAAGACTTCTTTCTATAGATTCTTTAAAAATTCAAAATTTTCACATAAATTGTCATTGTGAACATCAAGGAGTCCAAAATAACCCTAAAAAAAATCACTTATGAATATATTTATATGTACTTGCGCACGTGTGTCACAAAACTTTGCACGATAATAATTTTGAAAAATTTAAATAAAAACTGGAGACATGCAATATTTTTTAAAAAATTTTCAAAAAAATAATTTTTTTAATAAATTATATATATATTTCCATATGTGAGACAAGCGCTAACTGCGAAGGCATATAAATATATATATATATACGTGAGTATAATCACAGATATATTCCTCTCTACATTAACTGTATAGCTAATATAATTCAGATAACCCACACAGAACCGAGAATTTCCTCAAGATTTCCATAAGCTCGCACTGCAAACTTTGGAATGTTTAAGGAGGTTGTTCCAGATCTTATAAGAAGGAGATGGTGAAGTGGAACAGACACTGTTCAAGAATGTATAGGAGTTTATTTCTTCCCATATATATATATATATATATATATATCAACGTTAAGAAACCGCTGTGTTCCGTTATAGTACTGAATGTTTTTGTTTTAGTCATTTAATCAACACTTTGCCTCCTCATATAGAGATTACAATTTTTAAATTAAAAATTATAAAATCGCCCAAAAAGTTAGGGTTTAAATAAAATTTTCTATATTTTTGAAAAGTCAATAATACCTTTATATATTTTATTAGTTATAGTCTATATCAATCTTTACGAGTCAGATAACAAAAAACACAATTATTTTATTAACTTTTCGACGGACACAGCCGCCCTCTTCAGAATTGTAATATATTTACACAAAATATATCGTGATTGACGGTCAATGAACTTATAAGGTAACTTAAGACAAAAAATAGGATTATATAGAGAAACAACTCTATGGAGGTGATTAAAATTATAGATGAAAAGAAGATAAGAAAAAAGAAAAGAATTTCAAGATAATATAAGATTGCGTCTATTTCATGAAAAATTGTTTGCATCTATAGAATTTAATTTATTAGTATCATCTTTTTTGTTAAGAGCATTATATGTTGCAAATTTGTGTATATAGATATATAATTTCGGGAATGAGTTTATATACATCAATATATATTTTATTATAAGGTTCTCTGTCAAGGATTGTACTATACTGTCTAAATTTGAATAAGTGCATCAAACTTCACTTAGAATGTTTCAAAAGTCTTCCATGTAGAAAAATAATAAATGTATATGCACTTAAAAATAAGTGATTTTCACTCAAAAATAAGTCAGGTTTCACTTATTTTTAAGTGCATAATACACTTATTTTTCTACGTGGAAGACTTTTGAAACATTCTAAGTGAAATTTCAATTATTCATATTTTTCGTTTGACTATAACAAGCTGATGTACAATTCACACAGTTAATCAGATATAACTTCAAAGAGCCAATTAATTTTACACCATCAGAAAGATTGAAATTGTATTGTTTCAATACTGACAAGTGCGATTATACTTGCATTTCAGAGCCGACTTGAGTATAACTATACTACTACTACTACAGTATAACGGACTAACGCGAGTATCAACTATATACGAACACAAATAACCGCGACAACAGACGACGCGCGTCTTTTACTCCCACTACACCGGAGAAATCGTTACGCGTAAATTGAGTAATATCGCAACAATCGAAATAAAATTAGCATAAATAACTCTGACCGAAAGCCAAGGCGAAATCATGCTGGAGCCTCTACCAAAGCGCTGATTTCTACACTTTATGCCATTATGGCTATTTTGAGAGATATAACGACAGTAGATCAGGATAGTTTCATTTTTATGTTTCGCATTTTTTTCTTATGCTTGTAAAACAGGATCCTTTTGATATACGCGAAATTTTTGAAAAATCAATCAATTTTAATAACTTTATTAGTTAATAATATTAACTTAATAAGTTTAAAAATTGGGGCAAGGGTCGTTATATCAGGAGAGTAAAAGACTGGGTAAGAGAAGAGAATACTCTCTAAATCTGAATAAGTGAAATTTCATTTATAATGTTTCAAAAGTCTTCCACGTAGAAAAATAAGTGTATATTATGCACTTAAAAATAAGTGAAACTTGACTTATTTTTAAGTGAAAATCACTTATTTTTCTACGTGGAAGACTTTTGAAACATTCTAATAAGTGAAATTTCACTTATTCAGATTTAGAGAGTAAGAATTAAGAAACCAAAGTTATGGGTGGTGGAATTGGAAAATGAGGAAGAAAAGAATAACGTGTAATGAGTTTGAAATGGAAATTAAAAGGAAAATTGTGGACTTTAGCTTAATACTCTCGGAACGCAGAAACAATGGAATTAATATTAATTAACACGTTGTCCGTATAAAGAAAGTTCCTAGTGATCGAGGGCCCTAGGGCAATTGCCCTTCTAAATCCGACCCTGGCAGCACTGTTGCGATATTACACCAAAGCGGTGGGCCCATACGTGGGCTAACATCAATCCATTCATATATGAAGGGAAGCCACATGGTGGTGAGAACACCTTCAGCACGCGGCCGTGTCCCATTCAGACCGCTTGAGTTCAAACTTTCAACCCTTTAAAGCATACACTTCTGTAGCCAATAAATTTAGCAATCAAGTGCATTATAGGGAATTTTCAGAGTCACTGATTAAGAATTCGAAATCTGATTTCTCAAATTTTAGGGGGACTTTGACTACTTATTGATATAGGTGAAAGGTTCTTTAAATATATTGTTGAGCGTGTTAATTTTCTTGTAAATATATAGAAATAATTAAAAGCGTCAAAGTGTAAATGACAATTTTATTTATTGTATCTCTGGACATACGTTTAGATAATAAGAATATTTTTATTATATTGAAAAAATAATAATAATTGTTTACCTCAATTATCTGTTAAATAAAAGCATAAATGCAAAACTTATTATTATTGTTAATTGTTAAAATATACTTAGATAAATTTAAAAATGGTTTAAAATGATTTTGATATAATAAAACAAAAGAAATCGCTATTTACGGAATAACGGAAAATCTAGTATTACATATTGCAGAATACATTTTTTCGGCATATGCAAAATCTTTCAGTGTACAATGTTTGAACAGCAATAATTGGAAAAAAGCTATGCATCGTCGGGTCACTAAACATGCGTATGTTTATAAATACGGTCCAACCCACTGCATATGTTGCTTTTTTTAACTGACGTGTGTCTGTCTGTTTCTATTGCTTAGCAAGCAGGAGTTAGTTAGCGTATGTAGTCACAAATGTATGCAAAGACCCCGCAGGTAAAGAAAATTTATGTACGGTTCGGGAGAGAAACCTTTTTATCAAAGAGAGAGAGAGAGAGTGCGGCAAGGAACAAGAGAAAAAGAAGAAGGACCATGAAAGGGTTGCTTTTTATGGATAGTAAAAAATATGATAATCTATACTCCACTGAAAGAGAATATATAATTCATTATTCTGCAGCATTTAAAAAGAGCGCATAGGTAACGACGACTATTCCCCTTCGGATGAATCCCGCCTGCTTTAAAATGAAGGGGTTAAAAAATAGTAGAGATTGAGATGAGATGTTTAGAAATAGATTAAATTTCGCGCTAAAATTATTTTTTTTACACCGCAATATTTCAAATTTAGAAACTAAGAATTTCAATTTTTTATACTGAAAAAAATTAAGCTGAGATGATCTTCAACTATATATATAAAAGTAACTACTTTTTTAATTAGTTTAACTCTGTGTGTGTAATTAATTTAACTATTTTTTAATTAGCAGTTCATTTTACTAAAAAATGTAGTTAAATCAACTACAAAAACTGAAACAACTATACAAAATCTCATTGTGCCAACTATACATTCTTAGTTCTTTTATAACTATATATATATAGTTTCTTATATATGTATACAATTTTTTAAATTCAGTTGATGACCTATATATATTGTACCTATAGGCAGAGTATATAATTATACAAATAAGTAATCAAATCTAGTTTTTTTCAGTGTGGGAATAGTTGGTTTACCATATATATACAATATATATATATATATATACTTACACTACTTTGTATTTTTTAGTTACAAATTATATAATGTATTATACTTACCTTTATTTAAAATTACATTTTTAAAAAGTTGACAAATGTTATGTGATAGTTGTAAACTTTTGTTGCAAATCAGTTCTAGAAGATAGTTGCAAATACAATGAAGAACAGGTAACACTTATATATGTTGTACAATAAAAGGAATCTCACGACCGATTGTAACACCTGTTTTAATACGCTTACAGAAGGGTGTTATGAATATAAATAGAAAATTACGTGTTATTGTAATTATTTAAATGGATTTTGATGTATTGATTAAATAAAATTTTACTTTCTTAAAGTAAAATTTAGTGCTAAACACAGTCTATATAGTTGAAAAATATTCTACAAACATATTTTTGAGAAAATTCATTGTAGGGCAATACCAATTATTTGTATATAGTTAGGTTAACGTGGTTCGTGAATGGAAATGCAAAACTCTGATATAATTGATAAGGATTTGAAAAAATGAATTTTTTTTTACTAGACTCAGAAATCCTCAGGCAATTAGAACTGTCCCGCCAATACCCAAACCCTATACATTACGAAAATTAGATTGTATAGTTAAATAAATTACTGTATATATTATTATCAATAGTCCATAGACGCCATATGAAAATATTAGGTGCTAAAAAATAAAATTGATTTTTTGCACAAACATTGCAAAAAAATCTTCAACTTACTGTAAGCAGTGTATGTAGCAATATGTTAGGCTCTTAAGAAAATTATTATTTTTAAAAATATAAAATTATTTCTTTTCAAACATAAAATTATGATGCAATAAGTACAGAAAGTCATAGTTGGGTTACGCATAGGAACAATAGTATTGTACCACTATTGTTCAATATTATACCTGCTGAAGGTAGGGTCTGCTCAGCTATTGTAACGTAGACACAAACACTGATTTCTTATAAATTACATGCCTTAGTTTTTATATATATTACACTATTTTTAAAACATTTTTTGTTATATTTATCAACTTTGTTATAGATGTAATTAATTTAACAATAAATTATTTAAAAAAAACAAAAACATGTATTTATTTTTAGACCATGTCTTAATTTTTTTAAAGAGAGATGCAAAAAGATAAGAAAAATTTATAGTTGACTGGAAGAAAATTTGTGATCAGCCGAAAATAGAAGAAAGCGAAAAATGATAATAGCAACTAATTGATGCGCTATTAATAAATGTTGGGTTTTCGCACTCTCTAAATTTGAATCAGTGAAAAAGTCACTGGTCTCAAATCAGTCGCTAAATTCTAGCTATTTGAATCAGTAACATTTCACTGATTTTCAGTCAAAATAATTGATTCTCCAGTGAAATGTCACTAACTGTCAGTGAAAACCACTGATTCAAATAGCTAGAATTTAGCGACTGATTTGAGACCAGTGACTTTTTCACTGATTCATATTTAGAGAGCAAATTCCAATAGGTGAGAGTCCTTATTGGTATTATTTATCCTTTTACAATTTTATTGTTTCGTGTTTTCGTTAAGTGTTTATAGATTATTGGGGGTGATTTTCTCTATAATTCTGGGTGATAAAAGCGAGAGTAAATTGATTATCCCCGCCACAAAGGACGTAAAGAAATGCGACATTCCATGTGTAAATAAGTCACTCAAAAACGACAAGTTGCCTTTATATCTTTTATATAAATATGTAATAATTTTTAGGTAAACGTACTTCATTAGCAACAATAATGAAAAAATTAGTATACCATATATGTAAAGGTTCAATTTATTAAATAAAACAATTAATTTGTACAGATAATAATAATAAGTCTCTGAGACTTAATGAAAGTAATAATAAACTTTAATTTAATTAAGCTTTTGTTACTACATTATTTATTAACCATTCATTTATAATTTTGAATAGAGAATTTTAATTCTTTGACAACGACGTGCAAAGTAAAAATTATATATACATATATGTTAAATATACATCGCACAAATAGTTTCTATACTTGAAACTTGAATCGGCAAAATTATATCAAAATTTTTTCAAATTTAATCATTAAGGAAAATAATAGAATTTAATTGATTAAGCGGTTTAAATTCTCATAGAGTATATTAATTGCTTTTTATATAGGTATTTAAATTTTTATTATTTATTCTTTCACGAAAAAAAAGTTTTAGAAAACTTGGTCTTTAACACCTCTAAAGCTATATTATGTATATATAATTGAAAATAACTGCTATACTTTATAGATCTATGATTCTAAATTTCATCACGACTAAACAAAAGTTATAAGATTATGTAGATTTTAGAGGTTTGAAAAATAGTTTAAACTTTGTCTTGAGCAACAGGTGTCTTTACAAATTAATTGCCCTAATTGATTTTAAAACATATAGATTTGTAAACATTTAATATTGGTGTATTATATATATAATTTCATTATTTAGTTGTCTTTTATTAATAAAATATAGCAAAATTGTTTCATCTTCTTTAAAACTATAGTTTTAACTTATTCCAATTCCAACTAATGCGTTGACGATTCTAGCAAAAAAATAGTCTTTAAATATAAGACTTATTTTTGAAAGAAAATATTTTCAATTTATAAAAAATATAATCTAACAACTTACCTTGTTCGTGAATGAAAGAAACTATGTTTCAGTAAATCTTGAAATACTTTGTTACAATCGCATAATAAAACACTTGAAGAAATATATCTCTCTCTATCACAAACATACATATTTAAAAATTATTCAACTTGTATTATATTCATATTAATCACAAAAAAGACATAATTATTTCACCACTGCCGGAAAAACGGAAGGAAGAAGAATCCAAAGTAAACAAGACAGAAGTGTGTCAAAGGAGTTTATTAAAGACCAGGAGATTTGATAATGCTTTAATGTGTACGTCTCTTTAAAGAATAGTATCGAATTTCAGTTTCCGGAATTTTATTTAAATAACAATAAGTTTACATTTTTTTCGAAACTTTTCTAATAATTATATAATAATAATAATAATAATAATAAAATTTATGTCATTATTTTGAACATACTTAATAAATTACTTAATTACAAATAAGTTTTATTTTAATATTTTAAAGTTAATTTAGTACAATTATTAGAATTCTATAATTTGTAAAATATAAAGAAAAATTTTGTTACAGTTTTTCCTAAGTTTAAAGAATTATTTACAACAAAACACTTTGAATTAAATATGATAGATAGAATTTTGCGCTCAAGTATTTTTTTGTTTCTAAATCGTTAACAAAGGAATCAATCAGGATGGAGAAAATAAAATAATTGTACAAATAATAATTATATGTTTAACCGAATTGTAGTATAAGAAACATCGTAAGAGAAAAATCAAAGAGGAGACTGTTGAACTGACTCCTACCATCTCGCAGAACCGACGGGCGGGAACTGTACAGTCGAACGTAGCATTGGCTGCATCGGCTTCCATGTATCTATACAGAACCATTTTGAACAGTACTAACACATGCGTCCAATTCACGTAACTTTACTATGCGTGCGCGTCTTCTTTTAATCTAAAGATATCTATAAAAGAATAGTAAGAATTAAAACTATACTTTATACTAGACACAATGCTATTTATTAGAAAATTATAAATTCTTCTTAAAGTCAGATTCAAAAGCTCATTATATGGTCAAACTTATTATATTATAAATTGGATTTTATCAACTTTTAAATATTAACAAAATTCATGATTGAAGAAACTCTTTTTCTGGACTATTGTACACTTATTTATTTATAGCAAACCTACTGTACAGTTTATCTTAATTAATTTCTCATAAAGTCATTGATAAAAACGCGACTTGATTAATGACACCTGAAAATTAGATTGACTATGTAATAAAAAGAAACAATGTACACTACTCACCAATCGGTGTACCAAATAAGTTCTTAAATATTGCATGTCAAAACACCATTTTTCACAAAAAATTTCAATATGTTAATCAAGCAATTAAATTATCTGCGATAACATAGTTTTCATTCCTATATTGATATCGTAATAGTTATATCCTCCTGCGTTAATAGAAAAAGAGATATAAAATATGGACAAAGACCTAATAAATAATAAAAAAAGAAAGAATAAATTTAATTGTTTAATATTTTAAGAGTATTTATTTCTGCTTGAACCATTATAATGTTTTATGTGAAATCCCGAAAACATGCTGCCTCCATGATAGAGGGTTCAGTCCAATAACATCAATACATATAAGATTCTTTACCGTCTCTCTATAGACTATATGGAAATCCCTCCTACTAAAAGAGGAGAAAAAGCCAACAATACTTGATGCTACATATAGCTTGAGTTTCATATAAGAGTTAAAAACAAGTCCATTATCATTTCCCTATAGTACTTGAGAGCGTAATCAATATATCCCTTTTGAATCATGAGCTAGGGATTTATTGACTAATGACGAATCAGAAAAATAACATTTAAATTCATCAACATTTATTGAACTTGTTTAATTTTCTATTAACATGCAGAAAATTAAATATTTTATTTTCAATTAATTAGATTTCTTAAAAATTTGTAACGTAACATATAGATTTTACTTTTGGAATAAGCATATATCAATCTTATAATGGATGCAAAGAACCTAAATGTGTAACTTAATAGGACAACCCCTTACAACCCTTCTGGCCTTGGGCTATTCTCAAATAAAAATAAAGAAATTTTCAGACGGCAACACATGCAAAAAAATAAAGGCGTATCTGTGTGAAAAAGGTGAATATGCAAATATTTAAATGAATTGAAAAGCGAGATCCCAATGACACACACGTACCGTTATTTCGACTCAAAAAAAGGTTTCGCGCGTCTTGCAACATATATATATATATATTATATTTTGATTTCCCAAAAAAAATTATTTTTCATAGTTTTCTGGGGTTATTTATTTATTTATAAAATGTTAATAAAGCATTGTTCTTCAAATCATCTAGAAAATCTACAAATTATTCCTCATACATTCATATGACTATAAATAAACCATTGAGGAAGAAAAGAATCATTATAAAGTATTTACTGTATACGCACCTGTTATAAAAAGAGACACTTTACGCACGGTTTTCCGTATGCGTTAATAAAATTCAACTTATAGTGTTGCAAAAAAATAATCAACTACATGAATCATATGGGCTTTAGGATTCGTAATAAAAAATCAAAACAGGATTTTTTGTTAAATGTGCATAAGTTTCGACATGATAGTTGACAGTAGATCGAAGTCAATACTTTGTCAAACATTGAGTACAATTTTGTAAATTTATTGATAAATTAATTCTTATAAGTATTATAGAAAATTAAATTATGAAACAAAGTATACGTTAATTACATCAGTTAAGTTGATATGAATAAATAAAAGAAATTGATTATTGATAACTTTAAAATTTGGATTTCTTATTTTTTGACATATAGTTTTTGAAAAACTTTATTGAATAAATAAATAAAATGATAAATTATTTGTATATAGAATTATTAAAAAGATTGTCTGTTTTTTAATTTATTGAATAAATTATTTTTTAATGAAATAATAATTATAAAAGTTGAGTTTTTATTCACAAAAATTACAAATTAAAAAAATATTAATAAATTTATTTAAAAAATAGGATTGTTATAAATATTAATTTTTTTTAATATAAACTAATTTAAATTCATCAGGAATCACAAATGTATCACACATAACATTTAAATATGTATAAATTTTTTTAACAATATTTAAACTTGCAAGAAGAAAATAAAAATTAAGTCGAAAAAAAGAGAATAATGATTAAATTAAGATATGAAAAAATGAATTAAACACACTAAGAAGAACTCACTGATCTTATCTCATTTAATAAGTGAAAGCATCTACGGACAATTTAATGATACACACACTTTCGCTTCCAAATTTGAACTGCCTACCACACGTGGTCTCCTGTCGCTTCATCTATGTTTCATCCCTCTCCTTCATTGCACCGGTGATCTCATTCCCCTGCATAAACTTACGACCCTCTACTTGATAAATTAGTTGGATGGTCCGCGCGCAATATGAGAATTTACGCTTCACAATATTCACTAAAAACTTGAATTTTTTATGGATTTTCAATTTTTTTTCCAATGGCTACTGTAACAGCAAGTAATTTTCATATCTTATAATTTACTGTAAAATTTTAGTATTTAAATTCGACAATTTTAAATTATTTAAAATTATTGGTAAAAAAATATTGCTGATACGATTCTAAATATATTTATCAAGAATACAACAGGTCGATGCATTGAAAGTTTATTTGTTTTAATCTGTTTAATTGAAATGCAAGTCAACCTTTGAAGCCCCTACTCAAATAATCTAATTAAGAAAGTATGACTATTATATATTTTTTATTATTATATAATTAATATATTTCATTTAGGGTAATGATGTTTTCAATTAGTTGAAAATAAAACTTGAACTTTTTTTCTTAAATTTTTTAGGTATTATTATGTTTTTTTTATTTAATTTTTTTATACTTTTTTGTCGGTATATTTAGCTTTAAATATTAATTATTTTAGCACAAATGTGTCGGAAAATTAAATAAAAATTGAATTTTAAATAAGAATCCCTATTTGAAAAATTTGTTGAATTAAAATTTTCCGTTGACAAATGTAGGTACGTATTCAAGTCAGATCCTACATTTATATAATTTATATATGCCGTTGTCGCTCATTATTTGCATATGTTCGTAACTCTTATATACAAGGCAATGACGTGTACCTGCGCGACCAGAATGGAGCCCCTTAACCCTTCTTGGATGGAACCTTTTTAACTATGATGAAAAAGCATATACCTCTTCTAACGTTTTCATTTCTCCGTATTTCAGCCGTTTCATCCCATCCTGCTTTTTCTTTCAAAAGGCGATTGGGGTTGATTCAAAGCATTCATAATTATATGCAAAGAATCACGGTTAGTCTATGTACCATTTTAAATATCTAAATCATTCTTGCCTGTAAACTGAATAGATTTTAAAATTATATCATATTGATATATATACAATACTCCTTTTCAGAAGAACCACTTTAGTAACACTAGTTTTTCTTAAAACATTTTCGTTAAATTTTACTTCCTTAAAAATTAAAACCTTTTCCTATTTTCTTTTAATCATTAAACAATGTTTTAATATCATCATTTTCAAAGTCTTTAAATTCGATAAAATTCCTTATAGATTCTATAAATAAATTGCTTAGTAAAAAGCTTCATTACCTTGCTCCAACGTTGGAGTTTCAAAAATATTTTAATTATTCTTATTTGAAACTATTTTAATTAATAATAAAAGATGTATAGGAAATAAATAAATGGCTAAACAATCTGTAAGTTTATATGAAGGGTCATATATTAATTTTTAACATATTGTACAAAATGGATTTCTAAATAAGTTACGTAATGTACAAGGAATGTTACATTTGTCAGGTTTTATCAAGGTGATTTCTATTTTTTTTAATGGAATAAAAATTAATTTAATACTTAGTGTGTCCTAAACACTACTTACATATTATGAGAAATTATGTTTATTTTACATTTAATTGAATATTTTTCTCTTCACATTCATAGCCCGTAAATTGTCTACCCTACATAATTTTATATCAGAAGAAAATTGATTGTTAAAAAAAAATTAAACAAGAATTTATAAATTCTAAAAATGTCTACAATTTATACAACAAATATAAAATGCGCACTTTATAGAAAAGCATTTATTTGATAATTTAACAAATTATAGGTACAATTATTGTTTTCTCAAATATGAATATTTTTTAATATTTCTTATCGATAAATTTGTTAATTATATTTTGACGTGAAATGATCAAATTATGTCTTATTTAAATATATTTTTAATATCGTTTAATTTTTAAGTACGCGAGTAAAAGTTTTAACATTGAGAAAAATTTAGAAATGTATCAAGTATACAAGTGGCCCAGTTGTTACACGTGAATAATAATAATAATAATAATAATTTAAACAAACATAATTCTTTATATTTTATACGATAATTGTAAACAAAAATAAATAAAACAATTATGTATTACAAAATTAATTCTTACTTCTGTTTAAATGATTTCCAACAGTATAATTTTGGTTCATGGGTAACGGACCTTGGCATTTACCTTACTTTCCCTTATGAAATAATGTATTGGAATAAGTATTACATTACATACTGAATTAAGATTTGGAATAATACCGAGTTCACCTGATGTGCATTAAGTTTCTATGGCTGTTTTGACTGCACAGTAGTGATATACATTAAACATCAAAAATACAATCCGTTATAAAACCTACTGCACGTAAAAAAATATTTGGCAACCAGGAATTAATTTAATACTAAATTCACTACTTAATCTAATACTAAATCCAATAATTAATACAATACTTAATCCAATACATATTTATTCCAATATGTTTTTTTTCATACGAGTCAATAGTTTTAGAACAAGTAACTTGATAACAATAAGCTAATCTTAAAGAATCAAATTTTTCAAATAGTAGAAAACTATAACTGTAATCTTCTGATAATTGTCTATAATAATTAATAATAGTACACTTAACATTTTTTTGTATTATATTTAAATTTTCGAAATTAGCTGCATTTGAATCCATTGCAGTTCATATTTTTGTTTTACGGATCCATATTCAAGCTTACAATGAAAATAAAATAATAAAAACGATTAAAATATTTTATCTAAAATGGCACAATCTAGTATATAAAGAGCCATTAAATAACTATGCCACTCTCCTAGGAGAGGTCAAACATTTTTTATTTAACAAAATGAGAGATTGAGTGTAAAAAATAGATTAAAAATACCATCACTTAGTTTTTTAATGGCCCCTTAATGCACATAAAGGACAAGTTAAGTTGTTCAATATTACAATAACAAACATTACAAAGGTGTAAATAAAATCGAAATTAATAACAAAGCTGTTACTAAACTCAATATTTGTTTTTTTTTTAATTTGAATTAATTAAAAATTTGCCAAAAATTATTATAATCATTAATTCTGAAACAAAAAAGAATTTTTCCCAAACAAAATTTTCACTAAAATAAAATAGAAGAATTGTTTCTGTTTTCATCAAATTATCTTGAAACAAGCAACAAACATTGTTATGCATTAAAAACGTTTTATATTTTTTTTCTTGTTATAAAACATATTGTTAAAAAAATCTATAAATCTTTTATCATTTCTTAAAACTTGAAAAATATTTTAAAAATTAATTGTAAAGTATTGTTAACAATCTATTCTCGACCATTTTTATAAGAGAATTTAACAACATAGTAAAATCTTTTTAATAAAACCACTTTTAGAAATTTATTCCGTTAATAAAGTTAAAGAGAAAAGAAACAAAAATTATGTGATATTCAAATCCATAAGGCCAGAATAAATATATATAAATATATCATAGATTCATTATTAGCCTTTGGTGATATACTATAATTATTAATAATATGTAATTGAACATCTTCGGCAAAGGAGATTAACTTCTAATCAATAACTTACTCTAAAAATCATTACTTCCATCAGTATATGGCTCTGTTTAATAACACTAATATTAATATAATAAATTCTCTAAAATTAATTTGCAAACTTGAAAATTAATAAGAAATTAACTAAAAATTTGTTTACAAAACACAAAAATAATGTCTTTATTTTTTAACATTGACTTTTAAATGAATTCCAAAAAAAATTTTTAATGTCGATGAAATTTTGATTTACAGAGGCTTTCATCACTTTTCTAGATAATAAATGAATTTCTAATACATGCCTAAGGGAAAAATCAAAGTTAAACTTGAAAGTAACGTCATTATCTAATAAAACATAACTTTTGTTCACAGTTTCAGGAGAATAGAAGATTCAATTGATTTTCCGAATGGACGGACTTTTTTTTAGGAACGATTGTCTTGACTTCCTCCCATTCTTTGTTGCATCATTGAAAGTAACATTTCCGAATATTGCTGCATCATATTGACAACTTTACTCTGATCTTGACCTGCAAGCAATTCTTGAAATTTTGCTGTTGCCTCATTAACGCTTATATTATCAGGAGAGTTGTTTTCATTTTTAGCAGCGACAACTAGACGCAATGTTCGCATCGCTTCATTAACAGAAGATTCCAAATCACGTAGCATTGTATCTCTACCAATTGTCGTACTTGAAGGATCATCACTATCGTTTAAAGTAAGTCGTTTATAAAGTTGAACAACATTATCAGCCGTGCGAGTTAATTCATCAGCTACGGTACTGCATAGTTGTGTTGATACTAGAAAAAATTATATCACATATCATACTCTTGCGTCGAATTAGCGCAAAAATATCAATATAGGGGATATCTAACACAACTAATAAAATTATCATCTGTCTTATTTAACTATTTGTCGTCAATAAATCGAACAAACGCGATATTGTTGACGCGTGCATTCTTGATGAAGTGAATTTTAAATACAATTCCCTCTCACTTCGGAATCTATTGAAATTCGATTTACAATTTATAAGTGATTTTCGCAAGATCGCATTCAATATGACATTTTTGGAATTATGCGAAATCTATATTTACAAATTTACTACAGGCGAATGATAAAAATTCAAAAAATAAATTTTATAATTATGCAATTAAATGTTCATGCACATGCATATCCCAAAAACAATTTTTGTTTTACTTGTCTGTCCCAATGGCAATATGGACATTGCCGTTGGGACAGACACCCGTGCGCCTAATGCACTACTGCATGGGAACTCTCAATTATTTCTACAACACATAAAAGAAAATAAGAAAGTGTAACCAAAAAATTGTTTTTTTTCGGACACCTTAATAGGCATACAATAAATTTGTTATGGATACATTTATATTTAAAGTTTAACATCTTACGAAGCAATAATTGTGTTTTATTTATACTATAGATTATAAATCAAGTCACTAAGAGGAATAAATTTTATACAAGATACTAAAAACCCCCAAAAAACGAGTACGACGGCTAGTCATAAATGGACAAATAAGTATTTTTTACTAACGTTTAGACAAAAAGTCATGCAGATCAAAATTCTTCCTAAAATGTATAACTTTTAATTATAAATTTCTATCAGGCATACAAATTGGAAACATTTAATAAGCTTTGACAATTTGTTTCGTTTACCTAATTCTTCCTCCATGTCTACTACAAAAAGAAATTTTCAATCTCAAATTCGCTTATTAACTTACACAAAAAAAGGCAAAATAAAAAACTGTTGTTTGAAGATTGTCATATATATGGGTCCTTACAAGTCTTTGTATAATATTGATTAAAGTTTATAATTTTTATTAATATAGTACACGGAGAAACCTTTGGGTGATTCGGTCTATCAGAGTTGTGAAATCTTTGTTTACCACTGTGTGGAACGCCTGCTCTCCCTTTTTAGGCGCGCAGTGTTTCTGTTTTTTGTTAAACTGACTTTATAAAAGTTTCGGTTTCTCCGTATGCATTCTAGGAAAAATTTACCAATAGAAGAACAATTCAAATATTTTAATTTTTTTCCAAATAGTACTTTTTTGAAAAGTATAATTTTCAATTTCAATTTTAATCACGTTCCAATTGCATCAATTTTTCATAAAAAGGAATAACAAAAGAAAAATGGTGCTACTTACAATCTGCACTAGTAACGTCGATTCCGCAATCAGTGTCTTTAACAGGAAGTTCATGAGGACTAGGTTCAAGTTGATTTCTATTCGTTAAAGAAAATCTTGAATTATTTTGAGCGCTTATCCCCTCTACAGGTCGATTATTAACTGTGTAAGAAGAACCTATCCTTTTCATTCCTTGTCCAGAAATACATACACTGAAACAAATAAAATACTCAATAAAATATCTGAACATAACAAATTTTATAGATTGTTCGATATATATTCGATTATGTTCTTTAAAACTTTTATGATGACGGTAAAATATAACTAGTCAAATTTGTTGTTGAAAAAAAACCCACAAATATAGTTTTAATGCAAGTCCATGCTATACATCTTTATCATGTGAAAGCTTTTCGACGATGATGTTGACATTTGAAGTTAGGTAACAAAACTCTAATTAGTTGAATCTAAACATTACTGACCTTTATGCTATGTATTTTTGTTTATAAAAAACAGATTCAAACAATTAAGACCGAATTATAAAAGAAGCACATTTACCTAGCAGCGGAATGATCAATACTGATACTCCTAGGCCGTAGAGGTAAAGATGGCTTTCCATTTCCGTTAGAAGACGTTTCTTCAGAGCTGGAATCCTCTTGATTACTAATTTGACATAAATTCACTGAAACCAAAAATCATTTATCAAATGTCTTACAATAACAATCCATTACGTTAGAATTACTAAAACAGGATTTACAAAACTTACTTGTAGAATAAGCTCCTTGCATTCCTCTTCTTCGCAGTACGGAAGGAATATTTGATCCAAAGTTAGTCTTCACTAAGTGAGTGACCTTATTCTGAGAACTAATTGTAGGTCTCATTAAAGCATTTATTCTACTATTTACAGGTTTACTATTCCAGTCTCTAACAACACCACTTGCTCCGGCATCCGATTCAGAATCACTCTGAAATTTTCAAATTTTTCAAACACCGAAAGGAATACAAATATTTTTTAAATGATAAACTATACCTGATTAAGTACACCAACACTGCTACTTCGAGTCATATGAGACGAATGACTTTTTGCAATTGAATGTCTTGATATACCTACATTTGGATTTCCGATTCCCCCTCGTGATGAAGTGTTGACAATTTTATTGGGTAGTTTTCCTGGAACTAATATACAACATTTTCTTATATAGCGTGATCAATAAAAGAATATTTTTATTTACACATATATGCAACTTAAATAGAAAATAATCAATATTTAAAAGAAAGAAAGTAACGGATACCTTGAATTAAACCATGCAATAACTTGTTGGGTGGATTGATGGACAGATCACTTAATGAGCAGGCACGCCTCATGCCAGAATCCTCGTCTTCGCTATCAACAACCTTTGATGACAGTCGCTTTCCAACAGTGCCTACTGCTGATAACACACATACACACACATGCACTAAGCTACAATTCTAATACAATATAAAATAGCAAAATAGTGTTTCATCATGTTTTTCAGAAAAAAATATCATTTTCATAAAAACCAACTGATAGGTAATAAATTATATTTGGTGACTCAAGGTTTCTTAAATAAATGAGTACTTTGGTCAAAAATTCAAGTTTCGTTAAAAGAGTTGAAAGCAAATCATCGAAAAAGTAAAAATTTGGTCTGTACGATTTTTCAAAAAAAAAAAAAAAAGGAAAGCATGCACGCACGAAAAATAGAAGGATTATTGAATTTTTAAAAACTCAATCAGAATTTGACGTACATATATAATTAGTAAATTTCAATCCCTTGAGAAGCTTTTAGAAAAATTCTTATGAATTTTGAAATATTTCTAAGTTGAGCTACTGGTTTTAAGAGCGCTTGAATTTTCAAAATTATTGATTTAAAGTTTTTTCTCTTGCTTCAAAAATATTAATTTTAAAAAGAACCTTTTTTAACAAAATTTTGTAAATATTAAAATAAGGAATATATTTATTCCGTGAAAAAAAACCGATATTTAAGCACAAAGTGTGTGAAAATTGACCGATTCAAGTATTCATTCATATGCATTAGCTTAGGCTCTCTCCCATCAACTTTTTAGTGCATAAAAAATGATTCTTTAAAAAAATAATTTAAGGAAATCGATAAATTTTTAAACTCTCTGGGTTATAGGTATCAAAAAATGTATACGGAAAATAAAATCTGGTGCAAAATTGTTGATGGATAATGAAATCAAAATACAAATAATTTGATCCATTTGTCATATCAAAGAAGAAAATTTTGTCTGTCTTTTCAAAATATTTTATAATTCGCGACTATTCTATTTTATTCTTCTTAAAATCCCTTCTTTGATTTGAATGAACAATAAACATAATTACTTAAATATTCTCCATAATTCTACAACAATAAGCTTGTACTATAAAACCTTAAAGAAAGTTGAATATTCTAAAAATTAAATCAAGTTCTTTTAGCTGACGAAAGTGAAACAACCGAAATATAAAAATAATAATAATAAAAAAAAAAGTGACGAATATATAGATGCACAATGCTGATTTTTGTCGAAAGCTTGAATATACCTGGAAATTGATGTTTCGAAGGAATATTCGATTGACTGATAGTTGGTAGTGTTTTTGAAAACTTGATATAATTATGACATCTTGAAGCTGGTGGCCACATTCTTTTTGGTGAATTTGTACAACTTGACAATGGTGTAGAGGAACCACTTTCTAATAAAGATTTATCCATTGTTGACAAATCAGTACAATCACTATCTTCACCACCGGAATATTTTTGTACTTCTCTATTAATTTTACAAATGTCTTTTTCAATATCTTGTTCAGCAAAACTCTTATTTACTTCCTTTAATCGACAATTTTTTGTGAAATTCTTCTTCTCACGTAAAACAAGATTTTCAAATTCCTTTGAAAGTAATTTCACTGTTCCCTGTATTGCTCTACTTACTCTTACATCAGACTTTTTATCAACATTTGCATTAAATTTAGGTTCGATAGGGAGCAATTTATTTGTTAAATCGGGTGCACTCTCAACATTATGAGATTCATTATCTTTTGTTGGCATTTCTTTTTCATAACAAATTCGTTTCTTTGCATTTTCTTTTCCAAAATTTAGAAAATTTTGATTATTTTTAATTCTATAAGTGTGATTTTTTTTATCACAATATTGTAAATTCTCTGATGTTTTGTAATTATTTTCATTTATAAAAAATGTGTCTTTTGATTGTTGAGTTGTTTCAACTGATTGAAAACATTGATTCCAATCGGGTCTTGTTCTATTTCTCATGCTTTGTGTTCTAAAAGAATTTCTCTTTGGTTTAGGAGGTTTATGAGCAACATAATCATTGAATATTAATGTCGATTGTGGAACTCTTGATTTTTTGTAAATAATATTTCGAGAGTCAGATTTTCGAATTTTGTCATTATTGAAATTTTCACCACTTTTTTCCAAATGTTCATGTGGATTTATATTTTCATTTTTCATTAAATTACAACTTGTGTCTTGAAGTGATTTGGATCTAAAGACAGAAGCACGAATATTTAAATTTTCATTGTATGTCGAATTTTCTTTCATTTTATCAATATAAGATTCAAAATTTCTCTGTTTTCTTTTATTATCATCAGAATCAAAAAGCATTTCAAGAGGTGCGGATTTCACTAACAAATCCGAATCATCAGTCAATACACTTTCGGTACTTTGATTATTGGCATTTTTTTCCAATGGAATCATTTGATATTCTGATTCATCAGTAAGCATACTCTCTTGACTTCTTACTGATTTTATATTTCGTCGTGAGAGAAAAAAACTTGCACTTGAATGTCTATCGTTATTATAATTATTATAATCTAATATTTCCATACTACCTTTTGAAAATGATTCAACTGAAACATTTGATAAAATACTTTCTTCAGATTGTGTTAAAATTTTTCTATAAAAATTTTGATAGCTATGATAATTTTTGTCTGATTGCTTTTCTACATTTATTTGATAATCACTGACACATCGTCGTGGTGAATTATTAAAATCACCTTCTAATGAATCATCGCTAAATTTTCCGTTTCCATCATTATCATTATCATCATCATCATCATCATCATCGGAATTTTGAATAACATTATCCAGACAATATTCATTCATCGCTGGAAGGCTTTCGAAAGATCTTGCAACTGTTTCTTGTTCATTATCTTCGAGACCAATAAAATAACTACATGATCTTCTTTTTTGACCAAATTTTTCAAATCTTGTCATATTCTTTTTACAATGTTCTTTTAATGTTCTAAGCTCATCACAAACTGGTGATTCAGGTAGAGAAAGATTTGTTTTATTAAGTGATACCTTGTATTTTTCGGTTTTTTTTAATGTTAATGTTACAGGACGCTTATGATATTTTTCACTTATGCACGATGTTGTTCGACTTTTGGGAAAGAGACTATCTTTCTGCATTTGGAATTTAGTTACGGGATTGCCAACACCTGGGATTTTGTTAGTTAATAGTAAAGAATTTAATTTCAATTTAGGATTTGGTAAAGTTTTGGATTTATTTGGTTTGGTTAATTTTGATGATAAATTTTTACCAAATCCATTACCTGTATTATTTCTGTTTTGACGATGATGTTTATCAGTAAAATGGCTACTTAAATCCGATATACTTTGACTTGTTTTTAATGCCGACCTATGACCAACCTGAAAAACAAATTTTCATTTATTTAATAAGCTATAAAATATTATTTCAAAGATAAAGAAAACAAGAATGATATTTACACTTTGTAGTTTTTTTCTCGTTTCTTCTATTCTTCTTTGTAGTTCTTCTCTTTTTCTTGCCATGTCTACATTACTTTTGACCTGTTTTGACGCATTCACAGTATTACTTATATTATAATTTGATTTTTCTCCACTTCCACTTGTTCTGTAAAATAAATTAGTTAATTTACAACTGCTTGATATTAAATTAGATAATTAAAAAATTTTACCTTTCATGGAACTGTGAACTAATACTCGTGCTTTTCATTCTATTGCTGTGCTCTTCGGTACCACTGAGAGATTCGAAAGCGTTTTTTAAAAATTTTTCTCTGTGACTTTGATTAACTAATTGATCGAAGCCTACTGAACTAGCCTCAGAGAGCATTGACAGAGGATTTCTTTCAGCACTGGGCGTCGATGCTCCACCTTCTGAGTCAGAATCATCTTGACTACCTGAAGCAATAATTTCATTTCTACCAGTTTCATTGCCCTTTAATTTTTTAATTCGCCTTTGTGATCTACAAACAAATATCAGGTTATTATTATCAAGCGAAAGTATCAATCAAGTATCAAGCGAAAAAATTATTTTGAAAAATAAAAATTAACCTCCTGAGTTCTTCAACGTCCATGGCATTAACAGTAAACTGATTTGAAGTTGTATCTTCGGCCGAAGGATAATACATAAGACGGTGGTGTGATTTTTCCGATCCTGTTGTTCCATTTTCCCCTTCAGAATAATCTTCCACATCTCCATCGTGTTCTGTACTTTCATGATCCTAGTAAAAAAAAAAAAAAAAATTAGTTATAATTAATTACAAAAATCCTAAAATTCCGATAAATTTACGGTTTTTATATTATTGATTATTATACAGGGTGTTCCAAAAGTATGGAAACTTGTATATATCTCGAAAAGTACGCATTTTCGTGATACTTCTTTTTTCACTGTTCAGTCCCGGGACAAATTTTTTGGCTTCAAACATGTAGATCTTTTTTTTTTGGAACAACTTTTGTTTCGAATATTTTTCACGAAAATGCGTTCTTTTCGAGATATTTGCAAGTTTCCATACTTTTGGAACACCCTGTATATTAGTTATATTAATTTAATAATCATAATATTATGAGAAATGCCTTGACACTATGTTTTTTTAATTATGTATAATTTTTGAGACGCAATTTATTAAGCATAGAAAATGTTTTATCAATTTGATTCTAATTATTGATTCAATTATATACTTATATATTATTTCTTTAAAAATTGAAAATGTTTTTAATTATGATTGCATATAAAATAAAGAAAGAAAAATGTTTATTAAATTAATTACCTCAAATTTGAAACTGCCCAAACTACTATCATCAGTGTAATGTCGACTTCTGGACTGTCGTGTTAGTTCTGTTGTATCATTATCCCTCAACAGGACTATATTACCGCTCATTATCTAAAAAATTACATCTCATGAGAATACTAAAAGTATAAACTTTTTATAAAATAGAAGGCTTTCATTTTTAAACAATTTAATCTACTATTTGATACGATATCATAAAATCGTAATGATTTATGTAATTAATTCAAAGAAAAAATTGAAATTCACAAAAGCGGATAAAAGAAAATTTTGTAATTATTTTAAACTAACTTATCCCAATTAGATATTAATTTTTGTAATTATTATGAAAATATACTATTCAGTACCTGTTTAGAATTTTCTGTCAGTTCCCTGTATCTTTCTTGACTTGTTTGAAAAACTGTTTCTTCACTTTCCTAAAATAATAATACAAAAAAAAAAAAAATTATCATTGAATTTTGGAAAATTATTATTTCTATTATATAAATAATAAATATATAAATTATATATTTATATTAACTTTAACTATGTAAACAAAAATCACTAACCCGTTTGATAATTATAGACTCTCGACGATAATCGCTACTGCATTTAGTTTCAGTGCCACTATCAATGGAACTGTCTTTTGAACAGCAACCTCCACCATTACCGTCAGAGTCTATTCCTCCACGTGGAGGTGGAAATGGAATTACCTCATCACTATCGTAAACAGATTTAACAGTAATTCCATCTCCTTGCTGAACTCTCTGAGCCCATCGACCCTTCGGTAGATCAACACAAAGTGATCTTGCACCTGAATTACCCGATGTTTTACTATCATTATTCGTTGTATTTATTTGCTTCTTTGCCCATAGTGGAAGTTGACCAATACTAAAACGATAATCAATCCCTCCATCATGATGCGGATGATTAGCATTTGGATCCAAAAATTCCGCCGATGGAGGACCAAATGTTTCATTATCCAATTGAAGATCAACGGCATCACCATTTAATTGTACTGAACATCTAAAAAAAAATGAGGAAATAAATTGAAATTAAATTTTAAAAAATCTAAGATTTTATCTTATATAATATATTATTTATATTTTATAATATTAATTAGTTTTTTTTTTTTTTTGAAAAAAATCATTTCAGACTAATTGTTTACTTAAAATATAAAATATATAAATGAAAAAAAGTGAACTTACTTCCCAGCACGCATTGCTTGTTGAGCGAGTCTTGCATGCATTGTGACAACCATATCATGTGGTACTTTCCAGATAAATATACATCCATCACCACTAGCGGATACCAAATGACGACAATCAGAACTGAATCTCAAACCAGTTACCAATTCAGAATGACCAAGCATTGTAGCCATACATTCGCCACTGTAGTAATCATAAACACACAATGTCTTATCCGTACATGATGTAGCAACATATATTCCTGAAGCATCTGTAGTAAATAAGAAAAGTTCAAAAATTATTTTCATCTCTAAAACAATAGTTTGAATTTTATTAATGAAATAAAATTAAATGCTTCAAAATACCTAATACAACTTTAATAAGCGATCCATCTTCACCAATAGAACCTTTAAAAGTCTTGCTGTGTTTACCCGTTGCTACATTATAGACTCTAATATTTCTATCCTGACAAGCAGTAAGAACGTATTTTTGACCAGAATCAACTTCCATGTCATAGAGTGTTGTTTTTCCCTGTGCATTTTGTCCCCTAGTAAACTGCATTGATCCTCCTGTTGTCTTAAAAATTTATGAGAAAAACGTCAGCTAAACATACATAACAGAAAAAACTTTACCCCCAAAAAGTTTAATAACTAATTTTTTTTTAACTCTTTTATAAGAGAATTACGTAATTTACGATTTTTGATGACAATAAACAAAATAAATAACTGAATAAAATAATAAATAAATTAATGAAATGAAAATGGAGCAGAAGCTCTTTGGAGATAAACGTACAGAATATTATATGAGGTATTTTACGTAAAGTGAAAAATTCAAATCTCATCGTATCACTTGACGCAAAAATGCCTCAAATATTAGATATAAATAAAAAATTGATATATTTACTTCTTGAAGTTGACGAAAAATAATACTTTTATCTGCACTGCACGAGACCATTTGAAGTTGATTATTTTGATTTGTTTGATTAAAGAAACGAACAGCTGTTATTGATGAACTATGATCATCAAGTGTTTGCAAAAAATTATATCCTTCATTGACACAAAAAACATGAATAAGTCGATCTCTAGATGCACTAGCCAAAAGTTTAGGATTGTCTAAAGAATGTTGAGAAAATTTAGAATACTCCAAACACAAAACTTCAGCATCATGAGCTTCTATTCGACACTGCTCTTCTAGGGTTGAAACATCGTGAATTCTAATATTACCAGATCTAAAGAAAAAAAATAAAAACTTTAATATATTCTCTATAAAACGCAGGAACTTTTCTCAAATTTGAAACAATTTAATATTCTAAAATTACAATTACCTGTCTCCTGAAGCTAAATGTTTTCCATCTGGACTCACTCTAATTGATCTAACACCATTTCTTCCATCATATGAAGCATCATTCTTTTCTGTTGAACCAGCAGCGGCTAAATCAAGATCTTTTAAATATGTCAACTCAGGATCAACATATAAAACTTTTAATAATTCCTAAAAAGAAAAATGGAATTAACATTAAGAAAAATGAAAATATATATTCTTAAAAGTATAGTAAAATTTTTAAACATACATTGCTATATATGTTTTTCTTGTATAACGTATTGGTTGTAGATAGTACTTTATCTAAATTCCAAATGCGAATTGTATCATCGCTAGAACATGTAATGAAACTTCCATTTGGCATTGCGCCAATAGAATTTGCTCCCACAGGATACATTTCAACGCCCCAAATACAAGCGGAATGATAAAGAAAAGAATGCGATTTTCCTACTCTTCTGATATCTCTAACATCCCAAACATAGATACTGTGATCGTTGTAAACACATGTTAATTTGTTATTTTTCTCATCAAAAGCAAGTGCTATTGCATCAGGATATTTTGCATTTGCAGGATGTTGTGACATATGACTAAAAAATTATATTAAAAAATAGTAGACTCTGAATTTTAAACATTTTTCTTATAATGATTTCATTCAGAAATTTATGTAACGATTTAAACTATTTTTTCAAACAAAAGAAAAAAATACCTAATTGTTAATCCTTGAGCGACATCTACTCCTAAATAATGCGTCCTAGGCAGTGTAGTAATAAACTGAAGTGTTACAGGACTAAAGCACCTTATAATTCCCTCAGCACATCCGATAAAAATATATTTGTCACCAACTGTCATACAATTAGCACTAGTAGTCTAAAAAAAAAAATTAAAATTAAATTGCAGCAATTACTCTATATCCTAAATACAAAACTTACTCTTAGCTCAACCCATTTATCCAGTAATCTTCTATTGTTGAATTCACATAAGAGACCTGATTTAGTGATAGCATATGTGGAGTCTGCCATTTCGCCTTTACCACATGTAACATCAACAAAGTCATTGTTTCTTTGCTCTCCTAATATGGCAGAACGTCCCATCAAAGGCACTGGTTCTTTGTACTAAAATATAAACCGTTTTCTTTTTTTTAATAATTACCGCATTTATTTATTTATTTATTTATTTTTTTTTATTAGAAAAACGCGTATTTCCTATGAATATTTTAGTTTACCTTGGCACTACGTGAATATTCCAGGTACCAAAATTTGACATGCCTGTTGCCCACCGTAACAAAATAATTTCCACTTTCAGCAAAAGACACGGCTTTTACTTTACTTGAAACTTTGTTTGATGCTACTTTTACATTGTTTCTCCAATCCCAGACATTTACTATCATATCATGTTGTGAGCCAACAGAAACTACATATTTACTGCTAGGTGAAAACGCCTTGAAATAGATGTAAAATAAAAAAACTGATTACACAAGATAACTCCAAGTGATTGAATTGAGATTACCTGACACTAATGATAATTCATTTTGTTTTGTTTTTATTTGAAATTTTTTTATAAATAACAGTGGCTTTTGTAACTACTTACTACGCAATTAATGCCATATTTATGGCCAGAGAATTCTGTAATTTGAATGGCATTTTGTGGATCCGAAATATCCCAAACACGAACATTAGGAACGTGTCCACATTCACCAGTTGCCAAAAGTCTGCCATCTCCTGATAGAGCCAATGATGTTACTGTTTTTCGACAACCGTTAAGTACATGCGTCTGAGTATTTTTACGCGGATGAAAAAGTACTACAGTACATCTGCAATGAACAAAACAAAAATTATTTAAATATATCAAGTTGCTTTAACGTCTTTAAATTATGTTTGTCAACTCCAAGCTTTCAAGTCTTTTAAACTCTATTTTATGCCGAAGTTCTCCCGACAATGGAGCCAACATTCATCCAGCCGACCAAAGCTTTAAAGCCATTCCTTACTTGTTTCATTGAAACTGACCAACTTTGTGCAATTGTAATGACAAAAATTGTTCCAATTTTGCCCGATTTTAGCCTAACAGAGGATGAAATTAGTAATTTTTCAGTATATAAAAAAACTTACCCTGCTGGATAAGCGATCAACTCGCTGGTTGAATCACAGTCTATAGCTGCATTACTTGACACGGTTACACCCAATACTCTTTCAAGCTTTATCTGCAACAAATTTATAAAAAGTTGGCAAATCCACAATCACAGAACAAGAGAACTGAACATTAAATAATAACAGAAATACACATCCGTCAAAAAATTTTAAATCAAGTCCATGTTAATAAAAATATATTTCATGGATCTAACATATATAAGTGCTTAATATTTTCAATCTTTCAAAACTTATATTATATGTATAGAATAATAACTACTAATTCAAGCTCCAGTCTGCGTAGCTTTATCTTCAAATTAATAAAGCTCACGTTATAAGAAAGAGAGTAGGCATCTGGATAAATAAGATATATCCTAGCAATCCAATAAATTAAATGTCAAGACAATTTTATTAGTTGTGACTTTTTCCTTTTTATAAAATTTTATGATATGTCCTTTTAAGAGTTACACAATCAAGTTGAACTCAAAGGTCAATTTCATTCAGAAAAATGTAAATCAGAAAGATATTGTGATTATCAATCGTTAAATTCTTGACTAGTGGAAACATATATTTTTTTGATGTGATGGATGCCTAACCATGGTTAACTTACACAAACTTTCCCTAGTTTCGTTTCATTGCAAATTCATTTATTACGAATTCTGTAAAACTATTTAAAAATTAAAATAAATTAGTTCCAAATTTTTTGTTGAAAAAATAATGTTATGTAATTAAAAATCCATTTAATTACAATTGCGTCAACAAAAATTGATAACAATAAAGTAGATTAGTTATGTTGCTCAATTGCAAATAATATTATTGTAATTGTATTAAAAGTACCTATTGATAAATAAAATTTTAATATTAAAATAAAATTGATTTACAATCTCCTTAAGCAAATATAATTATAAAGTTTTTTTTCAAAATATGTTGTAAAATACACGTAAACATATATGTAGATTGTATTTTCTTTACATCACGTGATGTGGTCACAGAGTAAAAAAATTGTAGCACCCGGAAAGGGTTAAGGTCTTTATCATGTTGCCTTATAAAGGCTTCGTCAAGATCTCATGCGATTCGTGCAAAATCAAGAAAAAACTAGTGAAATTCCACGGACTTGTGTTAAAAAGTTTCTTTGAAATTTTGTAAGAATTTATATATATTACATTTTAATTGAATTATCAATAAAATGTGAAATGTTTCAATTTTAGAAATAGTACTTTCTTTTCAATTTAACAATAAAAAATGAAAAAAATTCTTGCAAAAGTGTTTAAAGGGTAAATTTTCGAATATTCTGTATTTAAATAATTCTGAAATTTTTGTGAATTCAATAATGTTATTTTTTTATCAAATAAATACATAATTACGTACATCATAAGCTGGGACGTTTTCCTTGTCCCGCATTATTGAAGAGCTGTTCTTTGGTGCGATCAGAGTCATTTTTAACACTTCTTATTTTTCCTCCTTACATTAATTATTCGCCCACTTCTATACTCTCATCAAGTATACTTCGAATCCACCCATCTTTTTTCTTAAAAAAAAAAAAAAAAAAAAACCTCTCCGATGATGGTATGTTTCTAAATGTAATTCTTGTTAAGCATAATATTTTTCTTGATTTTGTGTAGGCTTTAAGGTCAATAAAGCAGAATTTTATTAATTATTTTTTTACGTTTACACAGTTTTGAAGAAATAAACAATTTTGATAGCATTTTAATGACACAAGCACTACACTTAAGGCTTTAAGAGTTCTATATACATTGTAATAGCACTTCACTGTAGTAAATAGCATTAGTGTTGTAATATGTGTTGATAAAATTTATTCAATTTTCCACTCTTATTTTTCGAAAAAAAAGTAATTTCAAAACAATCAGAAGACCAAATATTTACGAAACATTGTAATAGTTTAATGAAAAAAAAAAAAAAATTAATAATGAAATTACTAATGAATGATTTGATTTTAAATGAACTACATTTTCCTTTCTTTTTTTATCGCTTTTTATTCTTCAGTCCACATTTTAACTACACTTTAAATGACAGATTTAAAAAGCGAATAATCATTGAAAAATGTCATATTTTCATTTAGAAAAAAATACTGTTCAGTATTTTAACACACATGTTAATTTAATTAAAACAGTTTCCAAATATTCACCATTATTGACAAATGAATTTCTGTTACAGAGTTTTTAAAGATGCAAATCATGTTCTCCATTCATCTATTAATAAATAATTTTTTTAAAACGTATTTATTACATTGTAGAGTACGCTTTTTTTTAATAACAGTAATAAGAAATTGGGAAAAGTTGCAATTGAAATTACCGATTCCCTTCTGGTACAGTAAGTAACTCACGTAACGTGTAACGGTTCAACAAAGTTCTTCAATGAAGGTGTTGTGTGACACTTAGAGGAATGTAATTAGTTTTTAGAAATAAAAGTCATTTAATCTTAATATGATTAATAATTGTTTTAAAAACTAAAGGATTAAAGCCTACTATGATGTATAACATATAAAAGACAAACTTTTAATAATTAAATCGAAATCAAATGTAAACAACTAGAATAAAAGTAAACAAAAATGAATTGTCTAACAATAAACACCGACCCGAAGAAATAATACGGGACCATCAACGATTGACGGATAACTCTGTACTAATACTAAGTAAGGTGTGTTTGCTGATGCTGGCTGGTGCGCAATACTGTCGACCACGTTGGCTCCCTACTCCTTTCTTTTTAATATTACACACACCTGGTATAGGTACATACTATTCAGCATACCAAGGCCATGGATTCGATTCAATGCAGTCATTTCCATGATTGTCATAAGAATTTTTTTTTAAATAAGATAATATTAGAAATAAAGTTCAATTACTTCCTACTTATAATAAATATGTAGTTACTTAAAGAACTGTAAATATATGACATTTTAGATATTTAAATCTTTAACGAAAGCAAAAAATGTTGATTTTATGAATTATGCAATCTCTTTCACTCTCTCTTAATCTCTTAAATTTTGATTTATATCTATATACATATATTTGTATAATCAATTCAAAAACAATATGATGATTTGTAAACAGGTTTCACGTAGAAATTGCTTCGTTTTACCTACTTTGAATGTAGGCTGAAAGTAGTTCCTATATTAGGTATGTCTAGTATAAGTTAGGACGAATCTTTCTTATTTTCTCCTTAGTTTCTTTTCCACATTTCTTCCAAACAAAAAAATATCTCTTTGACTAAAGTAAATAAAATTGCTAATGACACTATTTTTTTTTACTAGAAAAAATGTTATTTTCTCTTGAATTAGAATTCAATTGACCAAATAAAGATTTCTTTGATGAAATATATTTCGTGTTCTGATACTGACTCATATATAGTTTTTAAAAGTTTGCAAGGACCAAAATATCAAAATATCAAATTCTACATATTAGAAAATTGAAAATTTACCATGTTTTCCAATATTGCTACCATCTTCCTAATTAGATAATGGAAAATGTAAATAATCATGTCCTACCATCAACATACCAACTATTTTGCATACGTTTCAAATTTTGTACGTATTTCTCAATACTATCGCCCACTAACCACCCATGCATCAACTAATATCTATGGACCATAAATTGGTCCATATTCTGGATAACTAGAATTCCATGTAAAATGTTAAATTCAAAAATATTGGTTCGCATTCGCAAACATATGCCATGAATTCAGTAATTCGACATTAAATTTTAATACTTTTCAATCCGACATTTTATAACGAACAATAACGAAACTCATTGGGTCAACATCAAATTACACCTCTCGTTAACATTTCGAAGCCAAAAATTAGTTTCCTCTTCAGAAATTTATCGAGACAAAAAAAATATATAAATTTTCAAACTTTGCAAATTATTGTTTGTTGCTGTTGAATAGACAGAATACTTTTTCCACTTTATGAAAGATCCACTTAAAATGTACATTATTAAAAGTAATATATGATTTTCAAATCAAATGAAACGATACCGACGTTGATATTTAAAATTCTTCCTCTTTCTCTTATTTCACGCGGCATTTCTAAAGTTTTTAAAATATTTCAATTATTAATTTTTGCTTTTTCTTTTAAACAATACTGACGTTTATATTAAACATGTTTCTGCCGTTGAATTTTTCAAATGTTTCTTCTTCTTTTTCATTACAAGAAATTATTTTAAGCATCATGTTTTTAAAAAATATTTAATCAAAAATTAAATCAAATTTCGTTACACAACTTTGATTAAAATAGGAAAATATTTTTATTGTCACAATAATTTGTTAATGAGGACATTAACATTTTGCTAAAAATTAAAAACAAATGTATCTTACCTTATCTTGGATTTTTACATTTTCCTGGCCTCTCTTCAAATTGGGAGCTCGCAGGACTTTGCTTGTCAAAGATGATTCCATAATAAAAGTTATGATTATTAGGGCATTATCCTTAAAGAGGAATTGCTTTCCTTCATTTCATCTGCGAAAATATTGTATTTTGATAAATAAATCAATATAATATAATAAGCAAAAAATTTATAAGATTTCATTTGCTTGTACTTTTTATCATCTAAACGAAATTAATTAACATTTAAATCGCAACCATTAATTCTTATTCGAATTGACTGAAATGAAAAAAATTGTTGAAATAATTAATTATTAAATTAAGTAATTAACTTAGGTAATAAACATATGAATTATGATTCATATTTTCATCCATAACTCTTGTGCGAAATGACTTTACAATCAAAATATTTGTTTAAATTGTTAATAATTATATTTTTTCGTTTTTTTATTTTGCAGTATTTAAATTATACAATATTACTAAGATATAAAAGAACAATTTCATTTATGATCAAAAATAAATTAAATTTCAATAAATAAAAAAAAAAACTGCGAAAAAAATAAACTTGAATTAAATTTTTAAAAATTTATTTTTCTATAAAAAATTGCTAAAATTTTGCTATCAGAATAACAAATGAATCACTAATAAATTTACTAACGAAATCGAAAACTTGGGATTATTTGAGATTATCGTACTGATATACATATACATAATATTTATTCATAAGTAAAAAATCAAACGCACCATTAAATATAGGTTATTATGAACATCATAATTTACTTTTAACTACAGAATGCATTTATAATAAGACAAAAAACCATTTTACAACTGTTTGCCAGTATAAGAAAAAATAAAACAAATTAATTTTACCTATTAAACTCATTGCTATGTCTCCGGTTCCTATACAAATCAAGCTTTTGAGTAATAAATATGTCTAATATACACATAAAGCAATGTAAATTATTATTTAAACAATATGACATTTTGAAGGTCTTGATATAAAAAGAAAGATCAAATACCTTAATGGATGCAAACAAAAAGTCCAACTCCGTTAAATATAGGTTATACACTAAACGAACTGCATAATTCACTTTTAACAATGCGTTAGAAATACAAAATAAACATTCGTAATAATACCAAAAAACAGTTTAAAACTATTTGTAAATGTACAAAAAAATAAAACAAATTGATTTCACCGATAATACCGTTTCTCGTGTTTACACGGCTTAAAAACTAGAAAAAACTAGGGTAGAGACTAGATGCAACATTGAAAAGGTGCATGGTGCAATATAAAGAAGGTCTAATCACCAGGCAGTGAAATTGAATGCAAACTGGCGCATCATCAACTCTGATAATCAACAGTCATAAACCATCTTGAACAATTTTTTACGCGGGGTTTTTAAAATTTTCAAATAATTTTTAAAAAATGAAATGTCTTACAAGAATTTTAAAAACGTTTTAACCAGTTTTAACTTAAAGTTAGGGTACGTAAAGCAACTGTCGACGATTCGATTTAGCTATTGTGGAAACAACCTGAAGGACATTTTATTTGTTGTTTTGATCTGGTTGAGCTTCCCCACCTTGGGAAGGTGTATGTCAACAATTATTTTATTAAAAAATATTATTAGCACCAATATTGTTTGAATACAAAACTCAATTAGTACAATGACAACTGAAAGAGATTATGCACCATTGAGTGCAGCTTGTGTTCGATCTCTTAGTGACAAATTATATGAAAAAAGAAAAGCTGCAGCTTTGGAGATAGAAAAGTAAGGTTATATACTATATAGGTATATATATATATTTACAATATTTAAGTTACAAATTTTTACATGGTTTTCAGATCTAACTAACATTTTTTAGTATTATATTAATAATATTTTTAAAAATAACTATAATTATTAATATCATTGCTTTAAAATGTTAAACAACAATTTTAATTGGTATTATGAATATATTTTATTCTAAATAAATTTATACAAACAAATTTATTTAAACACAAAAATTATTATCATCATTATTATTATTGTTATTATTCATTGTTTTTTTAGGATGGTAAAAGAATTTTCTGCTCATAATAATACTTCACAAATAAAACGTCTGTTGAAAGTATTAGGTCAAGATTTTGCAACTTCTCAAAATCCTCACAGTCGAAAAGGAGGATTAATTGGACTTGCAGCTATGGCCGTTGGTCTTGGTAAAGATACCGGTCAATATACAGAAGATCTAATACATCCAATTCTTGCGTGTTTTTGTGATCCTGACCTCAGAGTACGATATTATGCTTGCGAAAGTCTTTATAATGTTGTTAAAGTTGCAAGGGGAGCTGTTTTACCACAATTCACAGATATTTTTGCTGCACTTAGCAAATTGGCATGTGATTCTGAGCAAACTATTAAGAATGCCACTGAACTTTTAGACAGATTAATGAAGGTATACAAATTTATAACCTTTAAATTTTAATATATTTTGATGGTATATTTTCAATAAAGCGATTAAAATATTACATCGGACTTTGAGTATATACTAAAGTTTATGAAATTCATACAGTTGAATTACTAACACTTTATAATGAATATTATGAGGAATTTTAATTCTTCTACGTACAAATATTAAGTATTTCTTTTTAGGATATTGTAACTGAAAGTGGAATGTTTGATTTAGTTGGATTTATGCCATCGTTGCGTGAACGTATTTATACTAAAAGTTCTTTTGGTAGACAATTTGTGATTTCTTGGGTATCAGTTTTGGATGCAGTACCTGAAATAGATTTTATTATTTTTTTGCCAGAAATTCTTGATGGTTTATTTAAAATACTTGAAGATCCAGCTCCTGAAATAAAAAAAATTACTGATACGGTTCTTGGTGAATTTTTACGTTCAATCAAATCCAACTCATCTAGAGTAGATTTTTCTGGCATGGTAAATATCCTCATTACTCATGCTCAAAGTACTGATGATCTTTTACAATTAACAGCAATAACGTGGATAAAAGAATTTGTAAATTTATCTGGTCCTCTTATGTTGCCTCATGTTTCTGGAATATTAACAGCAGTTTTGCCATGTTTAGCCTACGATGTTGATACTAGAAAAAACATTAAAGAAACAGCAACGCAAGTTAACATCAGTCTTATGAAATTAATAACTATAGAAACGATTGATGTATCAAATAAAACATCACATTTAAGTGAGCATCAAACTGTAAAAGATGAAAAAAATATTTCAGGTAAATAAAATAATTTATTTTTAGTTACATTATCCGTCGGTTGGTTCTATTCTAGATGTATAATGTTTCTTAATTTTACAGGTGATAAAACTCAAAATCGTTTATTAATTGATACTTTAAATCTTTCGAGTGTCGTGGAAGTTCTTACCAAACATCTTATGCACACATCAGTTCAAACAAAAGTGGCTGTATTAAAATGGATACATCATTTATTTACAAATATTTCAGATAAAATGTTTCATCATTTAGATGATTTGTTTCCTGTTTTAATGCGTACCTTAAGTGATAGTTCAGACGAAGTAGTGCAACAAAATTTAGTTGTTTTGGCTGAAATAATTGGTTCAAAATATCCTGAATCAACAACTGGAAAATCATATTCAGCTGTGCAAAATAAATATTTTCCGAAATTTATTATTAATTTATTAAGATTATTTTCAACTGATAGACATCTTTTAGAAGAAAGGGGTGCTTTTATAATAAGAGAATTATGTGTATTATTGAGTGCAGAAAATATATATAAAACTATAGCAGAAATTTTATTGGAAGAACAAAATTTAAGGTTTGCTGGTCTAATGATTCAAACGTTAAATGTCATTCTTTTAACAAGCTCAGAATTATTTGAATTACGAAACAAATTAAAGGATTTAAATTCAGAAGTAATAATACTTTTATTAACCGCCGTTTTTTGCATTGTAAGTTTAGCTACTATAATGATAAGATTTCATTTTTCTTCTTCATATTTCAGGAAAGTTGCAACTTATTCATCTGCCTTTATGAATCTTGGAGTCACAATCCAGTAGCAACTGTATCTCTTTGCCTTTTAACACAGAATTACAATCATGCTTGTGAGCTTGTTAAAGCATTGTATCCTTTAATATTTAATTATTTCATATTGTTTTTGTAATACAATTTTCTGCGCTTATCCAACAAGTCCGTTTCAGAGTCGAAACTCATATTTTTGGTTAAGATCTATTTGAAAAGTTATTTTTCTCAATTATATTAACCTTAACTATTGTGCAGTGGAAACATTGAAGTAACTGTCGAATTTTTAACGGAAATTGATAAATTAGTACAACTTATCGAATCCCCAATATTCACATGTATGTATAAATATCTTATTTATTGTTTGTGTTATACATATAAACTAAAATTATATTAGGGCTATGCGGACTTACACCCCCACATAGGTTAATTGCCATATTCCATTAGGTCAAATTTTTAGTGGTTTGAAATTAGCATTTAAATTAAAAACATTTTTCAGATGTTCGATTAGAGTTATTGGAAAGAGAAAGAAATGAATCCTTGGTGCATGCATTGTATGGACTTTTAATGATACTTCCGCAAAGTGAAGCATTTGACACATTGCATCGACGATTAACAGCAATCCCTCCCAGTTTCAATCCTGTATCTAGGACAAAAAATGTTTTACGAGAAGAAGATTTTATTAAACACAATATTGATTTTAAGAGATTATTAAATCACTTCATTGGAGTTCAAGAAAGGCATAAGGAACAAAAGCACAAGTTAAAAATTAATATGCTGACTGACAGAGAATCAACTTTTACAGACATTTTATAATAATTCAAATAGGTCATGTAAATTATTATTGAACAAAATTGGTTTGCCTATTAATATAATTATCTTCTATTGGTAAGAAAATTAAAAAGTATCTTAGGGATTTGCGTTTTTTTTTTAAATAACTTGTAAAAAAAATCATGTAAGAAAGCCAACCTTAGCTCCCTCCCCACACTAATACGAATTTGCGCACGTGTATTCATACATATAAATAAAAAAAAAATTCTTTCCAAATCAATCTGTATCATTCGGAAGCTGAATTTTAATCTTTTAGAATCCCGTTAATTCATACAGAATTAATTCGTTTCCAAGCCTTGTGTGTCTTTTGGGTTTATATTAATGTGTATGTATATATTTTATCCGGAACATAGGTGTAAATGTACCCTTAACCAGTCTCATGGTTGGTTTCCATTGTCTCCCCACTCCCCATTTAGTAGTCATAATTCTCGTCAACTACCGCACCCTGCTCTAGTAAAAATTTAGTAACTTTCAGTAACTTTATTGTTAAAATTTCATTCTCCTCCTGTCACTAGTAGTCTACTTATTTGTAAAATATACATTATATGCATTGCGCAGCTTGATTCTCTTAGGATTTTTTAAACACATTATAATTATTAACAGTGGTGTTGTGCTGTGATTTATTAAAGAAAAGGAGTCATTTAATCAACAAAAGTGAACAGTAATTTTGAGTGGTGTAAAGTAATCCATTAAAATAATACATTTAACACACGCTTATTGGAGGCTTGTCAAAGAATCTGTTTATAAAAATTATCAGTACAGAATAATAATTTCCAATTTTAAATAAAAGTCTATAATTTTAAACACGACATTAAGGAAATTCAACTTTTAATTTTAAAATATTATTTGAATATCGCTTTCTTGCATAAAAAATTATAATTCTCGTGTGTCATGTTCTTTCAATAAGTATAGTTTCTTAAAAGTAGAATCTAAGGAATAGTTATTCGTTTCTCATATATTTTGCAAATAATAAATTAATTTTAAAATTTGTCTTCAAGTAAACTACAGCATCAAATTTATTTGAGGTTGCAGACGCATTTTTTGTCATGTTACACTACATAAGAAATAAATTTAAACTGCAATTTTAAAATTTTTCTTATATGTTTAATTTTTTTTTTTTTTTTTGTAATTCATTTTTATTTTAACATTTATTTTAAAAACATGAACGGTGTTTTGTTAAAGAGGGTTAAGTGAATTATGTTTGATTTTCGTGAAATTTAAAATGAACTTTATTGGATACTTGTAAACAAATGTATTTCAACTATTATGTTATTGTATTATGGGTAGCCACAAGTGAGGTAAATTTGTCAAGTTAATTCTCAATATACCATCGGATTGCCTGCATGATTTGAGATGGATTCGGTCAATATTGATTATTATTAAACATAAGAAAAAAAAAGAAAAAAAACGTTTCGTAGAAAGAGGGTACAAAAGTATGAAGCCCGGCAAAGTACACACATAGATGAGAAACGCAATTTTTAGTGAAATTAACTTGAAACTTTTATTCAGTCCTTTAATTCGTTAATTTAACAAATCACCATTAAGTAAATTTAAAAATAATCTTCAGGTCTGAGATGCACAACTTTTTTAAAAGTCCTATTAAATTTATGTTTATTATTCTAAAATGCATTTTGATTTTAATATTGCTTTCAAGATATTTAGAAAGTAGAGCTTTTTTAAAAACGCGGTAAAGCAATACTTAATAAAAAAAAATAATAAATAAGTAGAATTAAATTTGATAAAAATATGTATAAAAGCAAATTAATATTTAATTACACGATTTTTTTATAACAATTAAATTCAATTGGTTTAAGATTTTATTATAGGCCTTTTCAGAATCTCAGTTAAATTTTATATACTGAGCGGTATTTTTTCAATAATACATTATGAAAATAATATTTATATTGTAGATAACATAATGGTGGTGCTTAGTAATTTTTTGGCTCCAGAGGAGGGAGTGCGACATGAAGAGGAGCACACAACTTTATACATTAATGACAGAGAAGTTGGAAAGGGAACGCTTTACATAACTGAAAGGTGTGTTTTATAAGAAAAACATTCATTTTAGGACAAATTGATCGTCTAAAATTGTAGGATATCCTGAATGTCAAGGTGCTATAAGGGATTAATTATTTAATTTACAAAATATATTCTACTGTAATGGAATACAAGTTGCATTTTGGAATAGAAAAGAATTATTTTTTTAAATATTCTTTACAATTCTGGTGATATTGAAAATAAGAGGGAATTCTTTGTATTAATAAATAGAATAAATTAAAAATTTTAGAAAATTTGAGATAATTTTAATTCCTTTCTATTCAAGTCCAATTTTATAATTCTCTGTCATCTTTTCTGTCTGTCCTTATTTTATTCTTTCTATAACAAAAATAAATTTATCAAACGAGATTAAATTTGTGAATACACTCACAACTATTGGTGGGACTTCCTAGATTGTTCCAGTTGGGTCTTTAAAAGTTCGCTAAATCATGTCTAATTATAATTATTTTATTGTTATTTAACGTAAAAGGTGAAACTGCATTAAAATGACTATTTATTGACAGCGTACTTTCTTGGATCAAAAATGATACACGACAGGGATTTTCATTGGAATATCCTCATATTTCCCTTCATGCAATTTCACGAGACGACCAAGTTCATCCTCGACATTGTCTATACGTAATGGTAGATGCTAAAGTAGATCTTCCAGGTAATTTTTTCTCAATATTTTTTATATATGTTACAAAAATTATTAATAAAAATAAATTGTACAAATTTTTATTAATTTAAATAAATAAATTGTTTACTCAGACGAAGCGCAAACACCTGAAAGTAATTCAGATGATGACGACGACGATGATGATGACTCAGATGGACCTATGACAGAAATGAGGTTTGCACCTGACAATACAAATAATTTAGATGCTATGTTTCAAGCAATGAGTCAATGCCAGTCACTTCATCGAGATCCACAAGACAGTTGTTCTGATGGTAACTTTTTACATTAACATCAATAATATTGAAAAAATATTAATTTAACTATGTATACATAATAATCGTTGGGTTGTTAAAGTTGAATAAATAAATCTTTCCTTCTTTCTTTGATCAAATCACTCGAATGGATCACTAATTTTTAAATAATTTTTATGAATATTTACACATATTTTTTGATTTTTTTCTTAACATTTATAACAATTTCTGAAAACATATAAAGTTTTTTTTTACATTCTTCTTTTAGCCGAAGAAGATATTTACGAAGATGCAGAAGAAGATGAATTTGAATATTGCGCAGGTGATGCACCTCCATATATTTTATCTGCAGGTATTTATTTTATAGTTCTTGTTAATGTATTATATTTTTAATTTTTAAAAATAATATAAATTTACTGATTTTCAATTTATAATTCTGTTATTTATGTTGAAAAAATTTTTGTTTATTATTCATTCACAGCAAAATTGAGAGAATGTTCTATCTCTTTAACTAAAGTCAGAAAAATAGAAATTACTATTCTTAAAATTAGTAAACTTAAAGAAATTATTACATTTTATGTTTTAAACAAAAAATTCATTAAATTTATCTCCTAAAATTTAAATAACTGTAACTAATTGATTAATGCAAGTTAGGAAATATAAAATAAAAACAATTAATTTAAAATAATTTTTAAATGTTGCTTGCAAATGAAATTTATTTTGTTTTTAAATAAAAATTTCTAGACTTTTCCATGATTTTTCAACAACAGTATAATACCTAATTTTTTAACAATAAATTTTCAGAAACGGTTGGAGAAAATCATAATGGAGTCGAAGCAGAAGAAGCTATGGATGTTGAAGCAGGTCAATTTGAAGACGCAGAAGAAGGTCTTTAAAATATTTGAAGTGCAAGCACACAGCAGTTGATATTTTTTTGCATTTTGTTGGAGTAGGTTTTATTTATTTTTTACACAAATACCAAACTCAATTTATTTGCAAAAAATAATATCGTTACTGAAAATGTGGTATGATATATAGACACTCCACACATTTAAAAAAAAACACAAAACTTTATTTATATTAATTTTGTACGTGCTTATTTTTAGGTTAAAAAAAATAAATAATTTTGCACCGTATAACGGTGTTGTTTAGTTATTTTTGTTATATAAACTTGATGCACTAAACGAAAAAGAACTGATCAAAAAAAAAAAAAAAAAGATTCTGGGAAATTTTCTATGTATTTTAAAACCCCCAGGCAAGAAAACGATAGTTTTAAAATTAAAAAAAAAATACTCATTATATCACAAAATATTCATGTGCATTTATCTGATGTATTAATCAATCACTGGCTTTTTCAAAATGAACTTCATTTTTGAGAAAAAATCTATGTTTAAATAAGTCACAAAATTTTTTAGATTTTTATATATATATATATCTGTACTGTAACAACTCTATCTTTTTTAAGAATAATTTACACCGCGCAATGCTAAGTTAATATAGTTTCGGAAACGAAAGTAATAATTCTTTTTTAACGTTATTGATACACATTATATCAAAATACATTTCCTTTTTGTATGATTGTTGTTTGTAATTTTGTGAAAGATGTTTAATATTTTTAAAGAAAGAAGCAATTGTTTGTTTTCTCAAATATACTTAAATTGTCTACTATGAAATTCTTTTAACTTAGTATACAAATTTAGTATAATTGATTTTTAAAACTTTTGCTCAATACACATTTTATTTATAACTTATTCTCTGTTTGCAAACTGAGTATAATTCATACCGAAAGATATGTTTAATTTATCTAAATGGAATTCAAGTTAAGCTAATTTTCTTTTTTCCCCAACAATAATTTCCCCCTGATATTTAATAATAGAAATGATTTTATTAACTAGAATTTCAATTTAAAAAAAATAGAATTACAGTTTATATAATCACGAATTTAATTTGTAATTAAAACTTGCATTTTAGTTAAGAATAACCAGAATTTTTAAAGCAAGGGAAAAGTGTTAAGTATAGCTTAACTTCAACTCGAACTATAGGTTTAATCCCTTTTCAACAAGTGTATCATTAAACATTTAAATGCTTGAAAAATAAAAAAAAATTGATCATATCTTCTGCGAAATTTTAATTACTTCTATAGTTAGACAATGTAACAGCGCTTGAATAAATTACGACATTTTAGCAGATTTTTCCCTTTTTAGAAATTCTTTCACATACCTATCTTTTTTGTGTCTTGTGGGAAAGGAAATTTTTTATTTGCATATCGCGGATATATTTAAAAAATAATAAATTATTCTAAAAATATAAAAACATAATATACTTTGAATTTGAAGAAAATTGAATTTTAAATAAATCTTGCTTGTTTAATTAAATTTTATCAGAATAGATATTTACATTATCACAAGTTATATATATATATATATATATATAATAAGCATAGTTCACTAAAAGTAAGTAAGATAACAATTAATGTAAAGTTCGACTATGCTCTCAAACAAAAAGAATTATTAGTTTTTTTTAAATAACCAAATATTACTTTAGCGGATTTTTTTTGGTCCAAAAATAAGATCTGCATCAGGTGCTCCTTTAGGATGATTATATTTCTGTCTTCTTTCTCTATTTAAATTAACAGTAACTGGTCTAGTTCCTTGATTAATAGTTTCTTGATAATCTTCCTCCTCTTGTCTTTCGGTGATATTGAGTGTTAATCTTTTCACACGTTCTTTTTCCTCTTTTTGTTCCTGTTCACGATTTCTCAAATTCATAGCTAACTCAGATGAAACGGGCACTGCCAAATTTTTATACTGCTGCTTATTTCCTTTTCTCAACATTAAAACAAAATCAACAGTCGTCTTATCTGAGGGACCTTCTTGCAATTGTTCATATGTTTTTTTTGTACTTCTAACATGAAGAGGAACAGAAATATCAACTTGTTGAGGTTTCACGGAATCACGCATTCTATCTTGAATATTATCCGATACCATTTTATCGAGTGCTGATAAAAAATCATCATCCTCTGGACAACTAACTCTTTTTGGCCCTGATGGACATGCTGCATTTAATTCTGATGAATCCATAATTGCCATGTCATTGCAACCTTCAGATAAACTTTGATCACCTTGTGTATTTTCTTGTGTTCCCAAATTTTCATCTCGTTCAGCATCAACATCCCATTCATCGTCAGATAGACCTTCCGAATAATCCTCAGATTCTTCAAAGTGCAGATCGACCATTCCTTTTGCATCGCCGCTACCATTTTTTGCAGCTGATGATGTTTCCTCGTCAACTTCAGGAATTACGCCCATTTCACTTTGTCCAAATTGTTGATCTTTTTTAATAGACGCCACAAGAGATGGATATAAATTATTTCGAAGTTCCTCAATGGCAAATTGAGTTTCTTTGTAACTTTCAAAAAGTTGCATTTTTGGTCTCAACATAGCGAGAGTATCACGAAACATATAATCAATATCGACTGGAAAGGGATTATCGGCAGTCCAAATGGGATTTGTGCGTTTGAACCAATAATAATTTTGAAAGAAAATTAAAAAATAATCGAGTTTTTTCTTACTAGATCCACCGCTGAAATATTGTCCACAAGTTTCAAGAAGAGTGCAAACAAGTCTAATACGAAATAAATGTTCAGGTGGATCAAGAATACTTGGAATTCCTTGCTCTGTGCTAACACCAAATGTTATTAGAAGATAAAGAGTTCTAAATATATCGCCGCTTTCTACCATTCGATAATTGTAAAGCTCTCCAAGATATTTCACCATAGCGACGCGACGCTGATTAAATTTAGGAAGATTCACTTCCATACATACTCTTATGTCATCTAAAACTCCATCAACAACGTAGGGTCCAACAGCTTCATAGTGTGCCACAAGTCCTGCTAGCAAGCTGCCAACACATCTAAACAAAAAAATAATTTTTAAAAAATTATAATAAAATATAATTTTGTTGAATTAATTTTACATCCGTAAATAGAAAAAAAAATCAAATGATTACCTTATATTCAGGTACTTGACATTGTAGGCAGCAGTTAAACATTTCACAGCATAAGAAGAAATACTCTCATCCTCCCAATCCAATTTTCTCATCCATTTAAGAACTTTATCAGTATTAGTTTTCGATAAATCTTGATACATCAATTTTCTAATAAATTCATGAATTGGAGGTCTTTCTTTTTTTGTAATTCCACCAGTCGATTCGGGAGGATTAACAAAATAATATGCATTTTCAATAATAGTTACATATCTAGAATCAAGAGCAGTGACAGCCTTCTTTCTCATCATTTGCTCTAAATAAATTTTCGTTCTTTGATGTGAATCTGCCGAACAAAATAGAAACTTTCCACATGTTTCTAATAAATTACAAGCCATTTCTATATGATGGTGGGTAAAATCATGTAACAAGACTTTTAGACAATATAAAGCTTCGATTTTCGAATAGAGTTTGAATTTTACAAGTTCTCCTATATATCTGACCACTTTTATTTTTGATTCAATATTAATTTGATCTTTTTTATGTACATGATATTTAAAATCATGTTTTAACATAAGACACAAATCATTAGCAACATCTGGCATTACAGGATAAAGAATTGCAGCAAGTCGCGAATAGAATGGTAATAAATCCAAACGAATACGCGAAACACCAAAAAGTGCTTTTATCAATTTTTTCTTATTGTGCTTAGTATTAAGATTCATGAGGAAATCAACCGCGGCATTATCTATTAGCTCACGGTTGACGCAATTTGGAAGGTGTGTGAAAAAAGCGTCCAAAAGAATTTTATTACTAATATTCGACATTTGAGGTTCTTCCACTTCTTGTTCAGGTTCGTCTACTTTCTCAATTTCCTCTAATTCATCAAATGTTAATTCTTCATCTAGCGTCTCTTCAGTTATTGGTGGGTCTTGCTTAACAATTTCCCTCAAATAAGAACCAGGTAAAAAAACTGTTAAATCTGGTAAAACTTCATAGAATCTTCTCGTTTCTTCATCACCCCATAAATCTTCAATTATGGTACATTCCTCACCTTCAACATTTGTCTTAAAAGATTCTTCAGTTTCCATTTTAACTTCAATATCCATTGGTAATTCCGACATTGGTTCGTCTAAAGTTTCTGAGAAACTTTGAACATTTGTTAAAATACGCTCATAAGAAAATTGTAGAGCTTCTAATTTTTCTTTTCTCTCACTGCTCAATTCACCTCTTGTTTGTAAAATTTTACGATTTTGCCTCTCAAAAGCTTGCAAATCTTTATGATCCTTGAGCAAATGTTTACATAGAGAATTATAGTAATCTCTCAATAATAGCTTAACATTTTGTTGTTTATCAGGAGAAAGAAGTTTACTTTTTGGTAAAGAGACATTTAATTTTTCTGATAATATACGAATTTTTTTAGGTACTAGTCCTGCATAATCCTCTCCACAATGACGACAAAAGCTTAGTATTATACTAACATTACTATGTTCTTCTTTATCCATATTGATTAGTACTGTTAAAACGGATCCCAAAAGAGACAGCCCCTGCTTATGTGTAAATATACCAGCGTTGACGAGTTCAGCATAAAACCTGAAGAAGAAAATAATTTTATTCAATTTTTCAGATTAATTTTACTTTACAATAATATTGACTACACTAAGAAAATTTTGCATTAAGAAATATTTAACGGTTGCCATGTTTTTAATACTTTTCCATAGAACAGGGAAGAAAAAAAACCAATATATTGTTTAAAAATTAAACATTTAGAATATATTTTTATGAATACTTAAAAGTTTTATATAAATGTTTATTTGAAGTAACAATATTAAATTAATTAATCATTCAATTTTTTTTTAAATTAAAATTTTAACTTCTGTAACAATTTCTATTTATATTATTTCTTTATACAGTGGTAATCAAGAAGAAAGATCATATTTATGTATAGTAATATATGAAAATAATTCGATTCTTTTTATTTTTGTAACAAAGTTTTTTTAAAAGAAAAATTTTAAATAACATTTTATAAAAATAATTTAAAATCTTACCGGAGATCAACTCTCAGTTTGCTGGGATTTGAAATTTTATCTCCTATCTTCAAAGACAAACTCTTTTGCCAATTTTCAAAAAGATGAGACGAGAATTCAGCATAAGTTTGATGTAAATAGCTGCAAGCTTTAATAGCGGGTATAATGTCAGTCATTTTGAGTTTGGCCTCTACTAAAGCACTCGCAACTTCACTAACATATTTTGTTAAATTTAAATTCGACATATCCTTAAGAACACTATTAAGTTGTGGAGCACTGAAATTCTTTAATTTTTTAACAAAGGTTGTATTCTTTTTTAAACTTGAGTCAAGAGTGGTGAAATATGATTCAGGTGGTCTAGTTACATTCATATTAGAAGTTCGAATTTCCTCTTTACTTGCTAGTCTTAATTCCGCCTCCTTCACATAATCTTGTAGAAATTGTTTATCCTCATCGGTAATAACATTTGGATCAGCATTTTCCTCCACGTTTAATTCAGTTTCAGACATTGTATTTTTTTTTTTTTATTTATAAAATTTTCACAGAATTTTCTCTTTATCACACTGACTATGTAAAATGTTAGCACTGCAGAAAATTAAAGATATTGAAATTTATATTCATTACTCTACACGTAACATGTTACAATGTGTAAATTATTGTTGTAATAAATTTATCGGAATAGAGTTACTTCGAGTAAATGTAAACATCACTTTTACCAATATGTTTTTATAGTAAATCGAGACAGAAATTGTTCCTATTTCATTAATATACTATGTATTTCCATTGTGTGATGTTATAGATAAAGTGAAAAATCTTATTAGTTTTTTATCAAAGTTAATTAAAATGTTTTATTAGTACATGAAATTAAATTGTTAATGTTAAATTATTATTAATTTAATAAAAATTTTAATATAACTTTTTCCATCCCTTAAAAATAATAGGTACATATACTTAAGATAACTTTCTTATTAAACCCTTCTTAAAAAGAATTATTGTTTACATTTACCTCAAAATTTCAGAGTAATTTGTGATTACAAGGGTAAATGTAAAAAGAACTAAGCAATTCAAGATGATTTATAGTTTCCTATAACTCCATTAACTTTTTCTAAGGTTTTTGAAAATGAAATATTCTGTTTACATTTATCTCATTACTATATATAAAAAATCAGAAAAAAAAATTTAACAAATATTTTGTACTTACCAAATGAATTTTTTAATTCTTATGGGAATTGTTATTAAACGTAATAATTCTTATTATTTAGATATATTTTTATACCATTTTTCTAAAAGCACTATTTATATCAAAAATTGACATATACTATTCTTTATAGCTACTTCTTTATGTTAGGATATAAAATTAGATATTTTAAACTTGACACTTTTAATTATGACAAGCAAAGTTAAGTATAGACTTAAATTTATGGTTTTATTTAATTGATCTGTTGTTAAAAAAATTAATTGTATTGTAAAGGAAATATCAATTACAAATATAATTTTTTTCTTGTTGGTTATATGGTTTCTTGCAAAATTACAAATCCTTTAAATCACCAAATTCAATGGTATTGTTGATATTGCAATTTTGACATGGACTCGAAGCTCGGTTCACGTATTCTCCTCCTACCACGGTGTTTTAAAGGTGTTTCTACAATTCGGGTCAGAGAGACTGTATTCAGGATATTAATTAAATCTAATAGATTAATTTAAAAATAATAAGTTATTTATTTATTGGATTTAGTTAATTAGTTTATTAAGTAATTTGATTAATAAAAAATCATACGGAGCAAAGGAAATTCCTGGCAACAATATCAGAGATCGAGTTCCAACAACCACCATCGAGCTTCCCTACTAATTTATTGTATTCCCAGGCCGTCTATCATTACCTGCCAGAAGATTTTCTTGAGAAAATAATTCATTGATTGGTAAACATAACCAACCAACCAATGGTGCGTTGTGTGTAGTCAAGTTTGACAAGATCGATAAGATATTTATTTTCTACTCATTTTGGTAAGTTTAAATCATTTCAGTTTTTCTCTAATATTTTCAAGTTCACTTTCCCCACAAAAATATATTTATTAATTATTATAAACTATTTATAATTTTATTTATATTCAAAGTAGAAAGCAAAAAAATATTTGTCGGCAAAGTGTAAATATAAACATGTGACAGGTTATGTACAAAATATTGTATATCATTAAACGACTATAATTAAAATATTTTATGATGCACTCTTCCATAACAATCCCAGTAATAATGCTGGAATAGAATGGAATTTCATATTTTTTGTTTCAGATTATAAGATATTTTATCTTATCAGGTTATCACATTGACTGATATAAGTCTCATATTATTTCCACTACAGAAGCAATTTGCGTGAAACAATGGCCTCAAATCAGGTAAAAAATAATATCCTTTTATTATTAGGTCCAATTTCGAGATATCTTGCACATCATCAAATCAATAGAATTTTCATTAATATTTTTTAATGAATTAAGCTGAGAGAATAGAGAAGAACTTAAGTTTTCAAAAAAAAATTATTTTTTATTAAACTTATCAAAGATTGAAATGGATAGGGAATTATAGATCCTTTATCTATAGGTATTATTTTCATAACTTATTATAATAATTTTTAATTTAATAATTATTTTTCTAGATTGATAAGGTTCTTAACCTTTATAAAATTCTTTCGCAAAATCCCACGTTAACCAAAGCTAGAATAACATCAATTACAAAAAATGGAATTACTGTTCAGAGTCACTGGTCTCAAAGAAATTTGGAAAGATGCTCAAAGCAAAAATTTATGCAAGACTTCAGTCTTGATACAAATTTAAATCCTCTCGACAAAAGTTTTCCCGTTGATGTCTCCAATGAGTGTGTTTTTTATATATTAAAAAAATATATAAATATATATCGTCAAAGATTAAAATATTAATTAATAAATCCTTAAAAATCATCGATAACCCTTGTTCGTAGAATGCTATAATAAAGATCAAGCCACCATACTTCTTACTAAAGAGATACAACAATACAAATAATTCAAAAAAAAAGAAAAAATTGTGAAAGCTAATTCATTTTAATTTTCAGATTGTTATCTTACTTGCAATTTAGAGTTAAATTTATATTGCCCTGAATATTAGGAAGTATTATTTTGCTAAACATTTTTTTTATATTTCATTTTGCACTTTCTTTCGCGTAATAATTGCATGAATCTTTGTGTTAGCATTGTTTATGATCAAGAAGCTCTGGTTACATTTGATGAGATAATAATATTGACAAAACGAATCATTTATAAATTTTCTCAGACTTCTAAGTACCTTCTCTGAGGATGAACAATATAAAGCAATTTTAAGGCAAGTTACAATAGACAACACTTCCAAACAATTTATCGAAATTTGGGATAGACAACATTTAATCAAAAATTATGATCTATCAGTATATGATGCACATGGAGAAATTTACACTGATGGTAATTTCTTAGGGCTCAATGAGTTTACAGTGATTTTATATAGGTAATGTTAAAGTAATGTCAAATATTTTCACAGATCAATTCAGTTCGTTTCAATTTTCTCCGGATAAATCGAAATTACTCTACATTGCTGAAAGAAAAAAACCAAAATGTGAACCATTTTACAAACAAAAAAGCCAAGAAAAAAGGGAAAAAGAAATTAAGGACGCGGAAGTAATATCAAGGGTAAATTTTAGAAATCTATAATATAATACTGAAAGGCTGTTGCTAAAATTTAAATAGAATTATTTTTGAATTACTTTTGGTGAAGATAAGTTAATTTTTTTTAAGGGAAATGAATATATTTTCAAACCACATTGGGGTGAACAGTTAGTTGGCAAGCACAAATCAGTAATTGTAATTATTGATATAAATGAGGACGTGATCAAAATTAATCAATATATTCCTGAAGAATATTTCGTTGGACAAGTAACTTGGACTCCAAATGGCGACGATTTAGTTGGCGTAGCTTGGAAATGCGAAACAAGATATTTAGGATTAAATGCCTGCACAAACAGAACTAGTTGGATATTCTTCTTAAAAAATTCTGAATTCCGTAAGAACAATTTTCTATGTCTAAATAAATAAAATTAAAATAAACTTCAATAAAATAGGATTTTTCTTGAAAACTGTTAGAGAAAAAATTTTATCTTATTGAATCATGTTTCGTGATACAAAAACAAATGAAAAATTGATTTAACTTTCACGGCAACAAATTTTATTTATTTTTATTCCCCACATAATTTATAGAAAAAAAAGTAAATTGTTAATTAAATAAAATTCTTTTCTTAAATGTATAAGAAAAAATATCCATCGATGGATGTGCTGTACGTGCTCCGCGATTCAGTCCTAATGGAAAAACTCTTGTGTGGTTGGAGCGAGATTTGGGAGGGGCACATCACACATGCCATAGACTAATGCAGCTTAAATGGGACACAAGTGAGAAAGTAAGAGAATAAAAAATAAAAAGTAAAATTTATTAATCAAATTTAAAAAAAAAAACTAAAATTTTAAAGAAATATGTATAATTTTTTACTACTTTTTAGGCCGATGCACTTATTAATATTGTTTCTAATTGTATAACGATTGCTCAAGATAAAAACTTCTATGGGCTTTATAATCAAAGTCTACCTCGTCGTTGTTTTAGCAATGATTCTCGATATATTTTCTTAAGTTCTCCCCAACGATATAACATTAAATCTTATATGGTTAATATTGGTAAGCTATAAATCGTACATTTCTTGTCTTAAAATAAAAATTTATTTAACATTAATAAAAATTTATTGCCCATTAGAAACAAAAAATTTAAATGAAATTCAAAACAATGACTCCAGTTTACTTGTTCTTGATGTAAAACAAGATAGACTTGTAATGATGAGAATGTCTTCCATTGAACCGCCTCATTTAATCGTGGGACGATTCGATTCTTCAGTTGAAGATGCAGAACTTTCAAATTTACATTTACTGGAAATTACAAAACCTGTAGTAATGCCAGAAGGAATAGAAAATCTTATAATAGAACATACAGATTACAAATATAATTCTAAAGAAGAAGTCAGTAAGTTATGAAAATATTTACATGATTCGATTTTAATTTCTTTTAAACAATATTTAATTTTCATTAAAATCTTCTTCAAAAATTAATCTCAGTAATCTGTAGTCTTTTACTTCTAATAGTATTAAAAATATTTAATTTTATTATTGTCATACATTCCTATAGTTGTTGGAATACGTTTTAGATGAATTTAATTACACTTACTTTGGGGAAAAAAGCAGTAAAGTTAAAACAGTGCCATGGATTCTTAATCTTCATGGTGGACCACACTATTCTTTTGATAATAGTTTCTCAATTGAGACTTGTATTTTAGCCATTTTGGGTAAGCATTTATTTGTTTTAAATAGTTTATATATATATATATATATATATATATAAACTATTTAAACACGATTCAGAAAGTGATTTTTTTCCTATTTAGGAAAGTCTAAATTTATGAGTTTCCGCAATGTAAAAATATCTTGACAGATTAATATCTTTATGAAAATATTATCAACCAATCTCTAAAATTTATTATAATAATTTTTTATAGGTTTCGGAATTGTCCATGTGAATTACAGAGGATCGTTAGGAATGGGTGAAAAAAATCTTAAATACCTATTAGGTAAAGTTGGTGAAGTAGACGTTTTGGATTGTGTCACTGCCACTCACGATGCCTTGAAAAAATATCCATGGCTTGATCCAAATTATATTGGATTGAGAGGAGGTTCTCATGGAGGATTTTTAGTTTCTCATCTCAGCTCTCAATATCCCGTAAGTCATGAGATAACCATCCGTTTAGGGGAAATTAATGGGTTACAAAATGTTATATATATATATGTATATTAATTTACAGAATCTCTACAGAGCAGTTGTTTCATTAAATCCCGTAATTGACATTGCAGCTATGTATACCATATCTGATATCCCCGATTGGTAATAAAAATAAATATAAATATTATATATAATTTATATGCTGTTTTTTTTTTAAATTAATTTTACAGATGAATGTTGTAAAAAAATAGTTTGTAATAAACGTGCGTAAAATACTTGTGCAATTTACATTACTAGTAAAGTTATTTATTGTAGATACACTTATATGAAAAATAATAATTGTTTATTAGAATCATTATTTCGTAGGTGTGCAGCTGAAAGTGGAACTCCCTTCATTGAAACTTTACTTCCTACAACAATGGAGATAAAATCTTCTGAAATATACCTAAAGATGTTTAATCATTCACCAATCGTTCATGTGGATAAAGTCAAAGCACCCACTCTACTTCTTCTAGGTAGTAATGATTTGCGAGTACCATTTTCCCAAGGAAAACTTTGGTATAATAGATTAAAAGCCAATGATGTAAAAACAAGGTAATTCATAATTTAAAAAAGATTTCATAAAAAGAAATAGACATTTTTTCATTGGAATCATATTTCTAACGTTACTTTCTATTAATTTCTATAAAACTTGTAATCCATTTTCACTAATGACATTTTTAGACTCAAACGCGAGTTATTTTTTATAAATTTAAATTATTTTCATGTACTCACTCATGTATATATTTTTATGTGATTCATTTAGGATGCATATTTATGAGGACAATCACTCATTAGCAAGTGATTCAGCAGAAATAGATAGAATAATTAACGGTATACTCTGGTTGATGGAACACAATTCTAAGTTTTTTCCATCAGAGGAACAAGTAAGAGTAATCGAAACTGTTTCTGATGAAGAGATGAGAGAAGAAAAGGCTGAACAGAAGCCAGTGACAAATTGAGAAGAAAAAGTTGATACTTCTCAATACTCGAAAAAATTATTCTATACTTATATTTCCTACTTTTATATTTTAAAATGATTAAAGTGAAAATCTATTTTCATCATCGGAATTTATTGTATACCAAGGAATATTTTTTGAGCTTAATGGGTAAAAAATAAAAATATTTTACTAACAAATTTTATTATTATTCAGATAGTGTTGTTTAATCATCTAAAAGATTATTCAAGTTATAGCTGCAAAAATAATAAAGAAAGAATATGAAAATAATATGTCTTATTAATTAATCTGATTAAAATTTATCATTTCAAAAAATTACACGATTTATTAAAAATAAAAACAATTTCTTTATTTAAATAAAAAATCTTTACTTCTTTTTGTCAAATTGTTTTATATGTATATATTTATATCTAAAATTATTTGCAGAAATAAAAACTTGTTAACTTACATTTGGTTGGAAATTTTTAATTTTTTTATCAGAATAGCGCCCACTGAATGACTTATATATCTTGTATAACTAATTTGAAATATTAAGGCCAACATAGAACAGCTTCACGAACGTGGTTCATACGATAGAAAATGAACAAATGTATCTATGTCCTTTTCTAACGCTATCATTTTTTCTAATGATTCGCGAAACTTACACGAAGCTATTGTGCGTTGGCCCTTAATGTGCTCATACCTTTATGCTGATTCCACACTAAAAATTTAGTAACTTTTAATTTTAACAATAAAGTCACTAAATTTTTACTAGAGCAGGGTGCGGTAGTTAAAGAGATTTATGATAAATGGCGAGTGTGGACAATGGAAACCAACTGAAGCTTATCTGTTATATGTATATTGGGTGTTTACGGTAACAACATTCATTAAGAAGTTGTGAAAGTACCTTTAGACTATGTCCACAATAAGCTCATTTTATATCCTTAAGATCGTATCGATGAATTTCATTGGTTGTACAATAAATTCTATTTTTCTGTTCTTTATATTAGAACTGTGGGGTCGTCATGGTAACGTATAAGAGTGAGAGAATTAAAGAACAGTCTTTATTTCTTTCACTCTTATACGTTACCATGACGATCCTACTTAGATAGCTGAGCTGTGGCCGTACCCTGTGCCTTGGTTTTAATCCTCTATCTACTCTACCGAACCTTGTATATACCAAACTTGAGTTGTGGAAAATTAGAGCGCTTGCGCAAATGAATGAAAGGAAGGGGCTTCCAATGCCGTAGCCAAGGAGACGACGTAGCAGACAACCGACAGTCGGGCCGGTCCTTATCAACAAAATTCCTTGTTTTGTATTTAAATTATCCACACTGGACATTTCCCACTATATAATTTCAAAGTTATAACATCAGGGACAACCCCTTGATAAGCGTTAAGCAGGAGGTGGAGTTTAGCAGTGACCGTAGATCTGCTTTAGTTGCAAACACCATTGGCTTTCATTACGACTACTCGCCATTCATGAAGACAGGTGAGCCAAGCTAATATTAATTTACAATTTTCTTCCATTTTTCCAGATCATTCACTCTTCATTCAATTTCATCTATTTCTCTCTGCTATTACGTTTTAATTTGCCATTTGCATGTTCGGTTTCTCAAATTTAAAAATTTTTTCATAAACTCATTGATATCATCACTTTGACATTTGAAACCCTAACTTTTTGCCATTGTGCCGGTGCATGTAGTTTAGTTGTGATGCAAAAAAATCTAATTAGACGCAACAAAAATTTAACTAGGATATAATTTCAAATTAATAACAATAACTAAAATGTTTAATCAAATATTTTAGTTTTTAATTTTTTTTCTGATTGTAATTTTTGAAACTTGATAATCATAAAATAAAAATTAAGATTTAAACAATAATTTCACATTAAATTTTAAATATATATGATAAAGTTATAATGATTCATTTTTTATTTGTCGATTATTTTCCATAATTTTATTAAATGTATTTAAAATAAAAATCCTAAGTTGCCATTTATCCTGAGAAAGAATGTAAAGAATAGGAGTATTAGTGCTAAGAAAACGTGATGAATTTCAAAAAGAAATATCCTAAGATATTTTTGTATTGCAAATTATGTAATATATTTTTAATTTGCATTATAGGCAAGTTTTCTTCTATTTCCGTTATAAACAGATTTTATTAGTTAAGTAAATTTTTAGTTTCAAAAATGCATTCTTCTGATAACTGATAATAAATAAATTTGTTGTATAATTTAAATAATTTTATTATTTTTAACAAAACTTAATTTTTAATACTAATAAATAAGTATGTATATTAACAAATTTTTTTTATAACTTATAATATTTAGCAATTTTTCCTTATTTTTTTTCTGCAAAAAAAATTCGGTGTTTAAACAGTTGCTTTTAAATTATAGTGACAAAGAATGTTATAAATATATTAACTACAATATAGGTAATTCAAAGATAATGTACTTGAATAAAAAAAAAAATTATAAATTTTATCTTCTTTGAATGTTTGTACAATTTTTAAATATTAACAAATATTATGGAGTTTCAATTTATTAATTGCAGTTAAAATTTTCATTACATTCTTGTTTACGATAAAAATATGAAATGGTACTTATGTATATAGATATAAAGATGTTAAAGTAGGTAGGTGTCATTGTATGACTAATTCTCTTCTATTATTATTATTATAAACAGATCAAAACCTTCAAAATTCGTAAAAAATGCATCTTTCTAGACACATTATGCAAAACGTTTTTAATTAGCAACAACAATTTGTTGAAATAACAAAAAATGTATATAATAAGAAAATTTGATTGTCAAGAACAGTTTCACCAACTCTGATTAAGAGGTAATCAATGATTAAAGCCATAGTTTAATAACTCACTATTTTTCGCTTAAGGATTTAATAACTGATTAACTCCTTATCAGAATTGATGAAACTGGACTTTAATATTGTTACATTATTAATAATTATTCTTATTAATTTTCTCTAATTTTTACTTACCTACATAATAAGAACATAATTATGTGTCTAAGTTAAAAGGAACCTATCGTTTGAAAACAAGTTTTTGAGAAAACTACTGCAAAAGTTAACAAGTCGATATTGGTGCGCTTGCGCGTTACTTTGGCTTAAAACTCGTTATTCCGGGGGGTTCGATATTACATATTCATTACGAATATGATATTAGAATTTCAAAATGGCGTATTCAATATGGCGGAAGAATTTTAAAAAATCGTTCAAGTTTCAATATAATCACACTGAAACCTAAGGGTTCCGTACATGAAACGAACTTATTTAGAATAAAAACAGATTTGTAAAAAATGTAAACTTTGCATGTCAAAAAATGTAAGTTGAACATGGAGAAAGAATTTTTCAGAAAATTCGGAAATTGTTCCTCCATGTTTCGCTTAAACTGTCGATTATTGTACGTCACGTTTCTTTTAACTGTCCAAGAATGATTAAACTGTTAACGTTTTTACATATATGTACAGACGAAAAATCATATGCGCGGAGAATTGAATGCACGAACTTAAAGTTTATAAATCATAAACCTAACTATAGCGATCAGTCTTTTCTTATTATTTATAAATTCCGCTACTAATTAAAATTAAAATAAAGAAAAAAAAATTTTAAATGCTACCTATAGGTAATAAATTTTTTATTTAAAAGTAAAAATTAATGTGATTATTGTAAATAAACTAAAATTAAATTTTTTTTTAAATTGGGAGTAAATATAATGCGATAATGCCCAGCACGTGACAGTGCCCGGTAGGAAGGCCATAAATGTGGAAGGGTGGATTGCGCTTTGCAAGCAGATGAAAAAGAGGGTAGGTGGGTAGCCTGGCACCAGCCATGCATAACTGAGACCAGGTGCATGCTCGATATGCTTTTACAATTTACATATTGCTTTTGTATGTTACCTTTAGTGTCAGGACGTTTAGAACAGTTTTGTTTAAAACTTGCTTCCGAAAAGTGAAAGTTTAGCTTAGTTTTTTTATTTACATTTTTATTCAAATTTAACTCTTCATATAAATATTTTACTGATAATAATAATTAAATGCTATTACTTATTTGCTCAACAAATTATAAAAATTGATAAGATATAATTATGAAGGAAATTAAAAATATCTTTCATGGAAACATGATTATGAAGTATAAATACGAACTAGAAAATGAAATTAATATTTAAAAAATTAGTTTAGAATTGCATTAAAATTGGAATATTTTGAAATTCCTTTGTTATTTTAAGGAACTAGAAGATGATTTCAGTGTAATTAACTTTTTGATTGATTTTCTAAATACAAAATTCGCAGATTTTAAGATAATTTTAGAAGGATTAGAAGCATTATCAAAAGCACAATTGGGTTTTTATTTATTTATTATTTTATTAGATATGAGGCATGAATTTATTACTATATTCAAAGACATCTTGGGTCAACCTTAGCATCCCTTTTGGAGTTGTTGCTTAGGGATTTTATATATTTATAAATATTTTCAAGTTGAATTTTAGCTTGATAAATTTTACTCTTTACTCCGGTTGCTATTAACTCCCTAATTTTTTTGTAGTCCACGATTTTTAACAATAAATATATTAGAGGAAATTTTTTTTGAAATTGAAATTTGATACACTTATTTATCACCAAAATCAGTATCGATTACTGAAAAAAATAAATATTCGTTTTCATGTATGAAATGTCTAAAAATGTAGGATTACCTATGTATATATTAATGTGGTTCAAAATGAACTGGGGCCATCCCTAATATAGCAGTAGCCAGGTGTACGTATGATTCTAGCAGATTTTAATACTTATTAGGCCTCTGTTCGTATTTGAGTATATCGAAGAAACGAGGGTTTACAAAGTATGTAATGTATTGATATACATAGATATACGAGCAATGTATATTACCCTCTAATTGCTCTTGTGATCTGAACTTGTTTCACGTTCCATCTAGGTCTCTTGAACCCCTATTCGATGGCGCGTGTTTCATTTTCGTCCCCCTTTTTCTTCTCCCTTGTTACACTTGCGTTTGGTACCTGACATCCGCTGCCACCCCATTCTACCCATACCATTCATATACATATAGAGAAAGGTACACGGGGTATGCGCTAACAACACAAAAGTAAAGTTCTAAAGAGCGCTCATAGTCACGCAGTGACGTGTTTTTTCTGAATGTTTGTTCCTAGCTCTCCCTTTAATCTCTATGCCTAGCCTTAACAGGGATCATTGTCTGCAATACGGTGTCACTATCGTTACAAACATATAATGAAATATCTAAGCTGTAAGTTGACGACCTTTTACGAGTACACCGCCCGTATTTCCATCCGAGTAGGTTAGGTTGCTTGTTGTCAAATATTATTGATCCTCTGTGCAGGATCTAGAGCAGGGGTAAGAAAATGTATTTCTTTCATATCATGAATTGTTATATCATCTTTAGAATTACCTTTTTTAAATCGTTTATCGTACATATTTCATTTTCTCATATGTAATTAAAATTCATTTATTCCTGAGAAATGCTTATTAGTGTAATACACTTTTTTTAAAAAAGAGTTTACAATGTTACTCTTATTTTTTTCTGCAATTGAAAAAAAATATAATCAATCAAAAAATTCCAATGATTTACAAACTATATTTCAAATTTATATTATGTTGGAAATAATATATTAGGCTAGAATTGTCAAATGTAGGTGTATAAATGATAGAAATTAAAAAATAATTTTCTTCAATTTAAATAGGTAAATTACATTCTATTTAGTATATATCTTTCCTAAAAGCGGATTTCATTTACTTTTTGATGTTTATTTACATCTGTTGAGTGTATATTCTGGCACTTACTAAATTTTCTAGGTATTTATATTAAACAATGTTTTTCATTCTATATTCCAGAACCATCGCTTCGGATTCGAGGTGATAGTGATACACCAGGATCCGAAATAGGTGAGGGAGTGATTGCCATGACTACGACAGGAGCTCAGTATGCTTTGGCAGCATCCGCTGGGGCAGGTAATGGTGGAGGTGCCTCTACAGCAGTGGGGGTGGATACCAAACCAAACATTGTCACTTTAACTGCAACTTCCACGGGCAATAGTACTACATGCCAAGCTCAGCCTACACGAGGTCAACAAGTCATTACTGTTGTAACAAGTCCTGATCCATCAAGTCCCAACAGTCTTCAACCCATTCAGGTTTAAATCTTTTGACATTTATTGTTTTTTCTTACTAACCCTTTCCAATGGCATAGTCTCAAGAAATGTTTATTTTTCTTTCTGACCTAATATTTGAAAAAGTAGAATTTTCATGAAAATATCGAATTCGATATATGCATATCTACTATTGGCATCAAATATTACGGAGATAAGTGAAACGAACCATCTGCCTTTAAACATTGATAAAAACTGTTGGTTCATTTGATTTTTATCAACTTTCTGCTTGCTTTTTAATAATGGTGAATTTTGTTTTTATTATAATAGCTACTAGTCCAGGATACACTTGATTCCACAGCAGATTCTTCAAACGGTTCTTCGAGTACACCAGCTCACGTAACAGCCCAAGTAGTGGTTAATACTGCTCATGCTGGACAGCATACTCTTGTAGATCCTGACGTCACTTCCACGTCTGCTGGTACAATTGTTAGTGGTTCACCGCATTACATAACTGTTACAGGTAAGAAAAAAATGTTTATTAATAAATTACATTAATTGAAAAAATAAGTTCCATCGCCCTCTGAAATACCTTTTTTATACTTGAATTTTTTACGAATGGTGTTTGAATGTTAAGATTTTCATTTTATTATTAATTTGTCAACTAATGTTGACTTTTATTATATTTTAGTAAATTAAGTAGATATGTAGTTTTTGAGTAGAAATTTGACCCTTTCCATGCTGCCTTTAAACACAACACGCACTTGACACTGACTACGCTAGGAACCAGCGATTCTTCATCCTACGCTTCCCTCACAACAGCAGTAGGTGAGGGTAGTCTAAGATCGGCATGATTATTATGAATATAAATGTTTAGATTTTTTGTTTCATTCCATAAAATCACTCTTAAATTTGTGTATAAACGTTATAAGATTAGGAACCGATGTTTCCGACATTAACTCTAACTCAGGTTAAATCATTAGTTACTTAATCAAAATTTACTTTTAGAAAGTTTGCTAGTCATTTAATTTTCTAGTTTTTTTTTTTTTTTTTTTTTTTTTCTCTTAAGGTTTATAAACTTCTTTATTAAATATTTCTACACATAAGGATTAGCAAATTATTTTACAAATATGTGAATGGCTGAGTAAGGTTTGGCTTGATAAAACACTGTTGAAGAATGTCTTTTAAGAAGTAATTTTAATTTATTTGAAGAAAAAGTTACACCATCTGTTTTAGTGGCTGGTGCTCCTGAAGCAGTGGGGTCCGATTCAGTTTCACATCCAACTTATGTTCAATATGTTGAAGAAGATGGATCCGCGTATATTCCGACGAATGGGCAGATGTAATTTTTTTGATTATTTTTTATTTCTTACAACATTTAGATTCTATTGCATACATTATATATGTTTTATAGGACATATCCTGTGTATGCTGTTGGCGAGGCAGGTACAATGTATACACCATCTTCCAGTCAGTATTTCACATCCGCTACGACACCAGTAACTTACGCACAGGTAAGTTCTTAGTTCAACTCCGGCGTAAAGACAAAGTATTGGAGAGAATTAAAAGCAAATGATTAGAGCTTATTTCGCATAACTAACTAACTAACGAAATATAATTACAGGTTCAGGGTTCAAACACAGGACAGTTATTATCACAAGGAAATGGAGCTTATCTTATACAACAGAGCGTTGTTGATGGCGATGCAGCGACTCATGCACTTATTTCAGCTGCAGCAGCTCGTGCCAGCCCACAAACCGACAGTGCGGTCAGTTAATGTTCTCAAATTTGATTTTCTAATGAAATTCCTACACATGATCGTTTCTTTGATTACAAATATGTTATGTTCCTAAAACTAAACATGCACTAACATTTACTAATTTTATAACAAGGAATGACAACTTTTCGCTTTAATGAAATGAAATTCTGCTCCCAAAAATTGCTTATACTTACTCTGAAATTGAGGGATCACAACCAAAAAATGTCATTCACTCGAATACTTCTTTAAACTGATATGGTAATGCATTTGTCCTTTTTCATAACACAGTTTATTATAAATTTTTTAATTGTCGAATGGTTTTTAAACTTTTTAATTGTATAGCCACACAAGAAAAAAAAAAGTTTCTGGCCTGGAGGTTAGACCATATTTACTGTTTGTTATTTGGTACTGTATTGTCGTAATCAAATCCGCAATTTATTTAACCCCATCATGTCAGGTTCTTAATATAACTTGAAAAAAAATAATAAAAATGCCATGCTCTAACTCCTAGGCCGGAATTATTTTTTGTGTTCGTGTGAAGACTTTTTAACGTAGAAAAAAAATTTATTGTGTGGATATATTATTTTTGAAAATTAATGATTTCTTTAACAATATTTAATAGGTATTATTTTTGTTTTTATATATTTTCTAGACATTAAAATTTGCAGTATTAATCAATTATTTTTTGTTATCATACAAGTTGTGGAACATTTTAAATGATTTTTATTTTCTAATTTTTATTAATAATAATAATAATAATAATCCTTTCAATTAAAATATTCTATATTCTTGTGTATTATAAACTGTGCAGTAAAAAATGAAAACCTTTGATTCTATATAAAAATATAGTTTTGCAAATGAGTTAAAGTTTTGTGATAAAAGTGAAATATTATTTTAAAGAAATTAACGTTTAAACTTTTTTAAAAAAATAATGGAAATTTTACAAAGAAAATAGAGTAATATTGCACGTGAAACGTCTGGGTATTAACATAGAAACAGTAAAATGGGCTGTTTAATAGGAGGCAGTGGTTAGCGGTGGTGGAGGGGCATACTTGATCAGCGGCAATACAGGTAGCACTACAGTCAGCGTGGAAGAAGCTGCCGCCGCCGCGAATATGACACATGCTACTAGAGTCTCCCAGGCCACCGTAAGCCATATCGACTCCCCGTTTGTTAGCTACTTTTTATACTAATATGTGTTATTGTTTGCATGAATTTTCATTAACATCTCACACTTTTTAAACTAATCAATTATTCCTATACACGTGTTTGAAACTATACTATACTAATCCTATACACGTGTTTTAAAAAAACGCGTTAACTAATTAATTTTATTATTTGTGAAATAATTATTTTCTCTTAAATTAATTGGTAAATCATTTTTTTTTTTTTTTTAATTTATATAAAAATAAGTATGAATGTAGAATGTCTAAAAAATTGCTATAAATGTTTTTAAAAATGCATAATACTATTTGTTTCATGCAATTTAGGTTTAATTTTTAAATTAACTAAAACTACATTCTTACTATTATTTTTAATTCCGCATGATTTCTACTTTATTTTTTATTAATTTAAACTTTCCACAAAAATATTGCAATTTTTAAATTGTTTTTCAATGATTTTAGTTGATGAAAATTAAAAATTATTGAAGATCAAAAATAAAATCGCATAGCATATGTAAAACGAACTCGCGTTAATTATTTTCCATTATTTTTATAGGTACAATGGTTATTAGAAAATTATGAGACTTCAGATGGAGTATCTCTTCCAAGATCAACACTTTACAATCATTATCTTCGCCATTGCTCGGATAATAAATTAGATCCTGTTAATGCAGCGAGCTTTGGAAAATTAATTCGTTCAGTATTTTTAGGTTTAAGAACTCGACGTTTAGGAACTCGGTGAGATCATTTTTAAATTAGAAAAATAACAGTAATAACTTAGAAAAAGTTAAACAAAAAACTTTTTAAAATTTCAGAGGAAACTCAAAGTACCATTATTATGGTATTCGTGTAAAGCCTAACTCACCATTGATTTTATTAAATGAAGATGGAACTTCACGACAACAAACAACTTCAAATTCTCAGGCCAAGAGATTTAAGTTTGTTAATCAGAAACAAGATCCAGCATATGATGCTAATACGCATTCTAATACGAATATGTCGTCTCATAATTCACCGCCTCAGTATCAACAATATCTTGGAGAAGGGGGCAATGCAATTCCAGAATTTCCAGAAATTATCGTCGGACACGGATCGTCTTTACCGGAAGATTGCACTTTAGAAGATATCGATACATTCCGCAGTATTTATAGAGAGCACTGTGAGGCCTTTCTAGACGCTGTTTTGAATTTTGAGTTTGCTACAATTGAAAGTTTATGGAGGGAATTCTGGCGGAGTCAAGATAATAACAATGGCGATGAATGCGAAGAAGAAAAATATTTGTCAAAGTATGTCTTATTTTATTAAAAGCATAGAAGAAAGATATTATTATTTTTTCGCTTTTTAATCTAATTAAATTTTTAGGACTAAACTCTACCAGATGTGCAAATGTTCCGAAGTGCAAGATTTCATCAGACAAGTGGATTACAACTTTTATCAAAACTTAGTTGAAGTTCTCATGCCTGATGTTTTACGACCTATTCCTAGTAAGCTTATTTCCACATTTAAACAAGTAAAATACACCTTCTTTTGAAATGATAACATTGATAAACTTATTATTAAACTAAGTCATGCATCTACAGTGGTGTCAAATACATATATATATATATATATATATATATATTCTTTTAGATCACATTATAGAACGTAATTCCCATAGTCACCACCAGGCATTTTAAACAAAATATTTAGCTGTTTCTGATCTCATGCATATTTTATTTTGCTTCCTTAAAGAATTGTACAGTCCTAGAAACTTTTTTTAATAAATTGATAAAACATTCATTATTAACAGGTTCACTGACACAATCTATAAGAAACTTTGCCAAAGGTCTTGAATCGTGGTTGACGTCAGCAATGAATGATTGTCCTCAAGAGATGATGCACATAAAGGTTAATATTATGTAAAAAATGTTAACTAAGTTCTATGATATCATTTTTTTTTAATTTTTGAAGCAGTTTTACAATTCTTTTCTATATAGCATTATAAATGATTAACGTAATGTATTACCTTTTTTCCGTAGTTGACAGCAGTATCTGCATTTGCACAAACATTGAGGCGATACACTTCTCTGAATCACTTAGCTCAAGCTGCGCGAGCTGTACTTCAAAATACTAGTCAAATTAATCAGATGTTAACAGATTTAAATCGAGTAGATTTTCACAATGTTCAAGAGCAGGTAACTTTATTTTTTTACTTACACTGTTCATCTATACTATATTCTTTTTTCAGCAAAAAATTACTATACCTTGTTTTAATTGTAGGCATCATGGGTTTGTCAGTGTGACTATACAGTTGTTCAACGTTTAGAAACCGATTTTAAAGTAACACTTCAGCAACAAAATTCTTTGGAACAATGGGCAGTATGGCTGAAAGGAGTGGTAACTCAAGTTCTTAAACCTTACGAGGGTAAACCAACTTTCGCTAAAGCTGCACGTCAGTTTCTTCTTAAGTGGTCATTTTACAGGTAAGATTATTTACATAATTCCTATAGTAAATAATATCAACCAAATATGCATCGCATATTTAAATTTTAGTTCAATGGTTATACGAGATCTCACATTAAGAAGTGCTGCAAGTTTCGGTTCTTTTCATCTAATTCGCTTGCTGTATGATGAGTACATGTTTTTCTTAATTGAACATCAGGTTGCTGTAGCTACAGGAACAACTCCCATTGCAGTAATGGGCGATGTGAGTTTTTTTTTCTTAAAATATTACTTATGAATTGCAGATTTTAACATTATAGATGACATATTATTTTGATGAGCAATGTATGTATATGGTAAATGTATACTTATACATTTAAACTAATCTCAACTAGTCTCCAACTGCACAAGAGACTTGCGCACTATAATAATTCAAACCCTCTTGGCGAGGATTTAAGACAACATCTAGCTTTGATATTCTTTTTCTTTGAAATAAATATACTTAATATTTTTATTTTATTTGATGTTAGACGCTTAGGCAAATTTTCGTGCTCATCGTGAATTTTTAGAGCGCCTCGCTCTAAAGAGAGGATATATGAAAAAAGTACATTCTTCTATTGCATCTAATCTCTCAATTTCTAATAACTAACATAAAAATTTTTTATTTTAGAAAAACCAAAGTCCACCTGTTTTCTATACTTTTGGAACAACTACAAATGGAGGTACTTTTATTCATAATTAAATAAATTTAACCCTCTACTTATACAAGTGAACGTTATTGTCAAAAAAATGTGAAATCCAATGCGTAGGTGAGGATTATATGGTCTATAGATGAGTTCAGAATAGGCATGTAAATATTCGTGTAACACGACGGTCTGAAAAGATTTCGATTCGCATTAGTCGAGCGTTTACTATTCTGGACTTACCTTATACTTCCAAAGTGAAAGTAAATCAGTATAGAATTTTTAAATTCATAAAAATGACACACATCTTAACAGAACAATATTGTTGTGGCTAGAATCTAGTTAGGATACATGCCACCAGTCTGTGTGTTTTGTTCAGTTCAGTTCAGTTATAGAGAATTGCATTAAATTATTGTTAAAGATTTTTTTTCTTCTTTTATTTTCAATTAAAATTTAAATTGAATACCATTTCTAGAATAATTGATAAAAATAAATTACGACAGTTTGTTTATTTTAATTATCTGATCTTTCAGATTCAAATCCAACCAAACGTATTAAAATGAGCTAACTGCACACTTTGCACTCTGGAATAGTAGGAAGTTGATAGAAGTGAAGGAGCTCACAAAAATCGAACAGGCCTATTATACTTATACATACATATACTAGTCTAGTAAGTTAATATTTTATATATAAAAAGTGGATAATTTATTGTGACTCTATGAGGGTTAACACATAATAATAGCCTACTTAAAATAGGCTTTTTTCGGAAAAGTTTAAAATAAGAATTACAAATTCTTTTATTTTAACAATCAAATGTTATATATGAGGAAAAATAATTTTGCAATAGATTCAAACCAAATTGTTCATTAGTATACTATTTCAAATGAAACAATCTTAATGTATATACACGGGACCATGAACTCATCATGTCCAATACATACCTACCTTAATATAAGCATAATATTATTTATCTTATCAATTTTAAGTATTAACATTTTTCTTCTCAAATTACGTTTTTATTTAACGTTTAATCAATTGATGTTTTTACTTTTATAATAAACATGAGTTCTCATTGTAAAAAGTATTGTTTAAAATGTGACTATTTTAGTGGTTACTAAAGTGATTTAAAAAATAAAAAAAAATACTGATGTGAATTTTCACGTAATATAAAAGTGTACTTGTTTTGAAGAGGACGTAATTATCTGAGCTTATTTTTGTATGGGCAAAGTGAAACAAAAATATGCAGAAAGATATATAGATTTTTTTTATAAATTATCTATTATTTAAAATTTAATAATAAATCACATGTTTTATTAGAAAAGTGAATAACTAATTCATAAAATGCAAAAATTTATATTTCAAAATTTCACCTATTTTAATGAACATTTTAATTTACAAAATTCCATTTCACTAAGCTTAGTTTAATAACTAGAAGTTCCGGCAACCAAATTTACACTTATTATTTAAGTCCAATGAAATTTTCGTTTAACGAAAATTTTCAACATTTTACATTAAATAGTATTTTTTGGAAGAAATTAATAAAGAATTAAATTTTGGTCCTATATAAATTCTATTAAAAAATAATTCTCTAAACATTAATTATTTGTGAATTTTTTGCGCCTTGTTTTTCTTATACATTTCTGAATAATTAGGTATTTTTAATGTATTTGCTATTAACTTCACTTTATAAAATATAATAAATTTATTGATTTTCTAGGTATTTACTTAAATAAATTTTTTAAAAAATTATTACAATTACTCATTAAGTTATTTTTTTTCCTTAAAATTATACATTTCTTAGTGAAGTTAATGGTACATAGGAATTCCTAAATATTCTACATCTGTTTTAGTAAATTTTATTTAAGATTTTAATGGGAGACAACATTCTGATCTATATGAAGTATTTATTTTAAATTGTTAAAAAAAACTAGAATGTTTTTAATGTTAATTTTTCGCTAGGAATTCAATTATCAAAAAGTGAAAAGATGTTCAAAACTGATGGCTGAAACAATATTGCAAACAAACCAATTTGTAGAAATCAGATTTCTAAAAATGAAATCGTTCGTTCTCAAAGTAAATATTTTTTAAATTTAAGCAACCAAATTTTTGGAAAAATATACAAAAAAAGAAGGTTTCATATGACAATTTAGAAGAGGTCCTTCATATATCTGAAAATGACATCAAAGTCTTCCCTTAACCACATATTTTCATCTAGGAAATAATTGTACATGAATTTATGTAACTTAAATTATACTTTACATTATTTGATTTTTATTGTGTAAAAAATATTACAATTTGTAATGCTTAGTCTAAGTTTACATAGAAAATAACTATATTTCAAATATCGATCATGTAGGATTTAGTGGTTATTTATTAGACTAATTTCCGATTTCGTTTAAAACAATATTATTTACGATTCAGTTGAACCCTGATAAATCCAAATTTCTTTTTTGTAAAAGAAAATGCTTCTTAAATTTTTTTTTATTTTCTATATTATTAAACGTTTCATATGTCAAAATGTATAATTTGATTTATCCGGGTTCTACTGTTAAGCGATTTAATTAAATGATAATAATTATATTTTATTATAAAAAATTAACAGCGAACCACAATGAAAATGTATCCGCGTTTTATTTTAAAATTTAGTGACTTAAAAGTATTTATATATACTTAAATTGATTCTATTTATTGAATAATTAAACTTTTTATAATTAACCAAAGACGTATTTTATAAGAACCTCTTATGATTCGGTATTTAAGAATGAATCAATGACTGCACAAACAACGCACCAAGAAATAATTCGTAGTATGCATTTTATTTTTAGAACAAATATAGAAAAAAATAAACTGCATAAAGTTACAATTCCTTAGATTGCGAATTTAGTTAGAAAAAAAATTGTTCAGTAATAATTGGTGTAAATGTTTTTCAAGGTAATTTATACATAATTGTTTAATCCTCACATTAACTTGTGCAACTGATAATAAATAAGATTCCAGTTCTATACAGCATAGTATCCCAAATTTGACCTGAACAAAAAAAAATGCTCTTTATGATTCCGTTGTGAGTAAATTTATTTCGCAAGTTTATGAACTTCTATATACCGTGAAACTCGATTTACTTAAATAAATATCAAAATAAAAATCAGACTTTTGTACCGTACTTTAAATGCATATAAATTTTTTGACAAAATAATATTAATTGCAAACTATTACCATATTAACCGTTGCTATAGCAATTATTTCTTTGCCTTGGCAACGATTGTCATGGTAACATATCATATACTCACCATTGCTATGACAACCGCTATCATAGCAACAGCTACCATATAGTAACGAATAATAAAATAAAATTTTGTTTGTAAGAAAAACGCTTTTGAATATAAAATAAAAATACCTAATATTTAAACGTTATTCAAGTAATAAAAAAAAAATAATTTAGATGGAAAATATAATTTCAATCTCAATTTTGATAACGTATTTTTAATTTATGCAATAAGACGTTTACTGAATGTATAAATGTGTCTAGAAACCAGTCAAACACTGTAGATACTACATATGTTAAGAAACAGGGATTGAATATTAAATATGCGTGCAAAAGATTAATAAAAATGGTCGATTGCACTTAAATAGAGGGAAATCATGTTTCCCTAACTGTAATGAGCTTATAAGTGTAAAAAAAATTATTAAAACCTAAGTGTACCTAAGCGTAAGAACATTATATATATATATAATTCAACTAGATCTTTAATTTCAAGCAAAGAAGAATTCAAATCTCGAGGGATACAAGAAACAGACATGAATAAAGTATAAATTAATGTCATGCTTAATATTATCTGAGTTTGTATAAGGATATTACTTTAAATCTAAAATTTAATTAATATAGATTGCTGAAAAAATTAAGCCCGTCCATTTCATCACTACAACATAATATGTATAAAACATTTTTAAGAAAGGATAATTTTCTTATTACTGCTTTTATTTTAAAATGAAAGATTTTAGTTTTATTATTCTTCAGCTTGGAAATGACAATTTACATATGTATTGACGTATATTGAAACATTTTTCATTAAAACATGTATATATTTATAGTGAGTGAAATGCGAATTTATTATAAAACTTTTTAATTTAAAATAATTTCGTACTTTGCGGAATAATAAAAACATTGAATACGGCCTTAAATATTCCATGTGTAAGAAATGAAAAAAAAAAAATGTTCTACGAAAGGCCTGAGAGATTATGAAAGAGAAAACGTTTTATATTGCTTAAAAAAATATACGTATGGGTGAGAAAAATAATTTCTTTGATACGTATAGAAAATATTTTGATACTTCCGAATTTGCACAAACAGATAACCATTAATTACCGTTTAAATAAGATTATTTTTACTGAATGTAGCTCAAAAAAATAACAATTGTGAATTTTCTATTTGTTAAAAATGTCCAATGACCATATAAGTGTGCAAATCACAAAAATTGACCGAATAATAAATATATGTTTAAAATTAAAACTTTCTTATTATTTGTGACTTGTCATTTTTTGATACGTCCTAAAATTATTATTTTATTGCTTGATAACTCCGTAACCCCCAAGTAACTATTTTTAAGCAAATCCGAACTGAAAAAATATGTAAGACAGGGCAGTCTATATAGATAGTGAATTCCAATAGAAGGACTATCGAATGCACCTAATCAATTTAAATTTATTATTACTAAAGTTTTATATGTCGATTTGTTTTTCGTTTATTTTAATAAAATATTTTAAAGCTTTATTAAAATAAATTTTTAACAAAATAAATGTTTTTTTTATTATTAGCGTTCTATAAAAGTGTATTACAATTATGTATGAGTTGGGAAGAAAATAAATTATCTATTATTCCTAGATTACATTTTTATTTTTAAAAAACAATTTTACATTAAATTTTAGCAAATCCATAAGTTCACAATATATTTTATTGTATTATGATAAAAAAATATAAGACAACCAAAGCAAAAAGAACACAAGTACATGTTTTTGAAATTTAATATTAAAATTGATTTCATTATTAATAATAAAAAAAAAAAATTAAGTAATATTGTTTTATTTCTTGTGCATTTAAATTGGATTAAATCGATACCTACAATTTTTTATCAATTCCTAAAAAGTTTTGATTTGTGACTTGTGTAGATTTTATACTGGTTATCTCAATTTTTTTATATAGAGTATTTCATATTATTAATATCATATACATATATGTATGTATAAAAATAATACTTCCTGTAAAACGTATAAGTAACCAGTAAAAATATATTTGAATCTACATCATAAAAAGTAAAAATATACACAAAATAAATGCTAACACACACTTTAAATTAATTTTATAACGAAAGAATCTTTAAAAAATTTTTGCAGTAAAATTTGTTAAATACCATAAATGTTTCAAATATATTTCCAATAGTTACACAATTTATGTAAGGCACTAACACGAAATAAACTCTTTAATATTAATTTAAATTGATAACTGTTTGCTGATATCATTAATTTAAAATAATAAATACATATTATATAATTATTAAAGCACCGTCTAGCGTCATGGTATATACTATATGTATTAAGTAGATAATATAATAAAAAATGCGCAAAATCTTTACAGATACAACATTTCGCGACATTTGTAACAACATTTTTTATAATTTATGTTTTAGTTTCTGAATTAGTAAGATTAAGAGGATTTGATTTTATTTTTTTTGCATTAGAGCAAGCTTGATAGAAACTTTTACCTGACTTTAGATTCAAAACGTAGAGAGACATACCTATATTACATGTATACATATTTAAATATTTTATTTTTATAGAATAAGGAAGACGGATTATATTTATGCGAAGAAAGTCACTGGAATACTTTTTACAATTAGAAGTAAAACTTGACAGCTTGAATGAAATAATATTAGTTATTTTATTTTCCCTAATAATAATTTTTAAAAATTAATTAACTTAAAATTTTCCAGCTTGTCAAGTTAAGGTAAGATTTGAACGTTTACTTAAATCAAAAATCTTGATTAAATTGTCTTGGTTAAATAGACTCAAAATTATTTCTGAAATCACCCTTTGTAAATCATACAATATAATAATTCAAAATTTTAAATAAAATAAATATTCAGTGTACATTTTCGATGAAATTATTGTAATTATGTTTTTTATTTTTTATTGCCGTTTAAGAATATAGTGTTTTTTCAGCCCACTCTTCCAATGTAAATGTTGCGAAGTTGTTATGATCAGGATCCTTTTCTCGAAAAATATCTTAAAAAAAAAAAAAAAATTAATAATTAATATATAAATTACAACAAATTTATATTTATTTTATGTTTGTTTTAATTCCATGCTTAGCAACAGTTTGTCAGAAAAATAAATATTTCAATTTTACGAATTTTTTCTGCTTTCTGATAACTTAAAAACTAATAACGTTTTATTTAGATTGTAGAAAAATTTATCGAATTATATTTACATTCATTCCCTAATTTAAACACTGAATAATAAAAATTTTACATTTAAAATTCATCTTTTTTTAGAACTGCTATGATTGACTGTATACATTTTAGAATTAGATTCGATACTGTGAAACTTGTTTTAAAAATTACCGTTTTTATAACAAATAAATTAATTTTATTGGAAGAACCGTGAATAAAACTCATGTTAATGTTTACCAAACATTAAACTAAACTTCACCAAATATTATAAGCTAATAACTATAATGAGCTTATTACAGATTGTCTGCCTTGATGGATGACAGGAAAGTTAATTAATAAGGAAGATTATAACATGGATTTTAGGTTTAGAATTTTGAAATAGTGACAAAAATATTTAAAGCATTGCGTTCAAGACACTTTATGAATATTACTAGTGAAATAAATTCAAATAGAACAGAATAATCGTATTTTTATCATAATAAAAAAAATTTCTTTAAAATATCTTTATGTTAAAATAAAATATATATACAAGAATAAATTCGTAATGAAGAAAAAACTATTAATTATACTATATAATAATTCAATAATGTTATTACTGAAATTAAAAAAAAATCATGTTTTTTTTAATTCTGACAATTTCAAGCCACACATGTAATTGTGTATTTTCATATAAGAACTTTTAAATAATAATTAACATTTTTAATTATCTGTACTTTTTAAACAAAAGATGATTAATACATTTTTGTTTTTTACTAAGATTAGATTTTTTTTAAAGGAAAGCATAGTTTAGAAATAAGTGACAAAAAAACTATATAATGATTTTGTTTTAAAAACAAAATTTAAATACCTACGAAATATAAACTGCTGTTAAGAAATTAATATTCGTTGAAGGAGAATTGATCTGGAAAATCGGGATTTTGGTCTAGAAAATCTAAATTTCGGTCTGGAGAATCTGTAAAAGTCAAAGTAAAACATAAAGTACCAATTCTTTAATTGAACTACCATAGGGAAAAATGTCGCACAAGAATAGAAACCTTAAAACGTCTTTCTGTACTGCATTTTAGTAAAAATACTATATATTATATATATATTTTTTTTATGTATATCTCAAAATTTTTAATAAATCTTGATATAAATTATTTAACAACTTTTGCGCAAACATATTTTAAATCTTATTATGATTATGTGTCATATATTGTTAAAAATATCTTGAAAATTAAAAATTTGTGTGTATGGGTGTGAATAAATACTTTTAAGTATTCTTGCGCAAAAGGTAACTTAAAATGAGAATAATTCAAAAAACATTTAAAGCATAAATACAGAAAAAATTTTAAACTATGGTGCGGATCCAGTTTTAGAATTATTTTCTTTTTACAAGAACGTGATATGAAGTACAAATAACTGTGAGATTATAGAAGATACGGACTAAAGAATTTAAAACATCAAATGTATGTAAGCTTGCAGATATATTTATTTGAAATGAACAGAGAATAGATAGATCACAACACTACAGTTACACATCATGTGTAAAACATGTTAAAAAATATAAATAATACTAACACAGAGACAACCTAATCCAATGATGAGATTACGAGCAAGGCAGATGTTGCATACACTTAGAGAAAAAGGTTTTTTTTACTAGAATACTATTGAATACTTATTTGGATCCGCCCATTTATTTATAGAAAAGAAAAAGTTTCTATTTAAATATTTCTGCTTACCAATCATAGTTTTAATTCGGACTGCACACATTATATAATCATCAAAAGAAATCATTCCTTCTTTAGTACCGTAACGGTGTACTAAAATATTTAGTATATGATTATTAAGTCTGTAGCCTGCACTATTTAAGGCTTGTCTTAATTCAAATGCACTTAGATACCCTGAACCATCTCTATCATAGAGGCGAAATACAGCCTAAAAATAATAAATTTAAATACAAAATTCAGAAAACAGTGTTTATATTAAACGTACATTATTTTTTTCTATCAAATTAAATTGTTCAAATAAATAAATAAGCTAAAAGAAAAACATACTCTCCAGTTTCTAATATCATTCCACAATGATTTAAATTCCTCAAATCCAAGTTTTCCTGAGTGATCAACATCTAACATTGCTACCATACTGCGGCAAATGTCTTTGCTAAATCCTTGATTATGCATTTCTAAAACATGAATCATAATTTTTTTTATTTTATTTGTGAAATTCATTAACATATATGTATAAATAATTGTAAAGATAAAAATAATAATAATTTCGTTAACGACCATGCACAACGATACAAAGTTATTATTAATAATACATTGAAGCAGAGGATTTAGTAAAATATGAAAAAAGAAATGAGATTACTATACTAGGTATGAAAAAATGAATCAATGTTTGCTAAACTTAAATTAAAAACAAGTTTCTTTAAAAAATCATTTAAATTTACTTGTATAAATGAAAATTGTAGAACGGTGTATTCACGTGAAGATATTTGGATTTGTTGTTTTTAATACATTACCTACTGGTTTATTGTATTGCTCATTATTGCAAACAATACCACATAGCAGGGAGATGAATGTGTCGATAAATGAACCGTTTTCCATAAAGGTTTCATTTGCTTCACTTCGAGAAGGCACAGTTTGCGGTAAGTCTATCCTCAACATATAGCACTTACTATCAATAATTATACAATTATATATAACCTTTAAATTAATTAGAATTCGATAGAAAGCGTGCCTTAAAATATACAAATAAATCTAATATATCTTCTCATTATGATGAGAATGTAAAAAACTATTCAAGTAGAGTTATTTATAGAGATAAATATTCAAAAATAAATTTCGATGTCTTGTATTTCAAAATGAAATATGAAAGTTTATGATGATTAAAATTAAATAATTTATCAAAATATTACAATGTATTACCGACTTATTTGAAAATTTATAAGAATTTTAATTAAATTATTTTAAAATCTTATTTCAAGAGTCACTATTAATTAGAGTTTGGATTTTGTATATTTATACTTCTTTAATGTCGTGAATAAAAAAATCATCTTAAAGATTGGTGTGTCAAAATACATAATTTTTTAAACAAATTTTGAATCTATTTAGCTTTAATTATTGTGTATATATATATATATATATGTATACCTACATCAATTATGTAAAGAAGCGGATGATTTAGATACTTGATAAAAATTTTTACGAGAATGATGATATATTGCTGCAGAAAAAGAATTTTGATATGAAAGGAATAATAAAGCCAAAAGCGCAGCACAACAAAAGTGAACTTTTTTTTTATTTTTTAGACTTAATATAATAAATTACCACTAATTTGCAGACTAATTTTGATTTTTCTCCAAAGTTATGACTTTCAAATATTTTTGAAATTTGTGACATTTTATTGATTATGCCAATAACTATATCATCAGTAAAACAAATTTTTACTTGTTAATGATTTTATTTTAAACCAAAATTATATAAGGTAATGTTTTTTTTTTTTTTTTTTTTTTTTGTGAAAAAGTAAGTATTTATTTCTTGTTAAGTAAGCAAATAAATTAGGAATTTATTTTATTACAATAATAAGATATAAAGTCTAAAAAAGAAAAATGCAATTGTACTGGGAAATTAACTCAAATTATAACATGCAGTTAAAATAACATTTATATAATAATTCTTGAAGGAAGCGTTTTTATATGTATATAATTACAGTCCAACTAATGTCCTTATAAAAGCAAAACGACTCTGGCTTTTTTTTTGTTAATAACTAAATAGAAAAAAAAAATTCTACTAAGCACATGTTCCATTTTACAAACTATAATATTTAAAACTGACAAGTGAAATAGCAAAAAAATAGCTGAAACGATTGCTAGGACAAACAACATTTTATAATACTGTAACGATTTCTTTAATTAATATATTAATAATGCAATATTATTATCAATCTTTTTCTCAGAACATAAATGTTGAACAAATTTTTATGTTAATTCGATCAACATCAAGTCAAACAAACATGTTAAATTAAATTCGTGTCTAATTTTTTCCCATATGCACTAAATGTTCCAATAATAATATTAATAATATTAAATAATTTTACGTTAGTAAATACTAATTTACCTTTTCGCATCGCATAGTCTAGAATTTCTTTTAGTTCCATCCAATCAACTTCCATGTCATCACCAGCAAGTTTTCTAAAGAATTCTTTAACTTTATCCTCATTTTTCTCTGGTTGTGGTTGATCATGTACCTTTAAATGTAATATACATATAATAAATCATTATTAACAGTCTGAAATATTTTTAAAAAGTTATTATTATTAATCTTACCCTATCATCTACTTCACCGATACCAACTTCTTCATCATTCTCCCTGTAGAATAAAATTATTTAATAAATTGAAGAAGATTTTTCAAAATGTATGTTTATGTAAATATTTTTTTTCATATAAATACTGCTAGTTGGAAAAAAATCAAAAAATGACAACCACTTACTCCAAATTATTTTTATTTTCTGAGAATATTCTTAGTAAAAATTCTCCTTCTTCATTAGGATCAAAAGTACTGGGAACAATACAATAAACTCCTGGCGGTAATTTGAATCTACAAGTGACTTCTCGTAAATTAATAAAAGTAGGAGTACTTGCTGTCGACCTAGTATATTTAAAGAAATTGATATCCAAAGGTTTCGGTAATCTATCAGGGTCTCCCAACTAAAGCAATTTAACAATTATTTTGTATTTAATAATATAATTACTACTATATGTATATACTATATTTACTAATCTGCATAATAAAATTGTTATCAATGACATAATTAACATACAACGATTTAAAGAAATAAAATGTAGCACTTACATGATAAACAGCAAAGCCAATTGTTAAACAATCAGCACCCATTCTTCTCTGTGCTCTTCTATTTTTTTGCATCAAAGCAATAATGACCGTGCATTTATCATCGCCTTCATCAGGACTTTCGAGAGTAATACGATATTGAGGATTATGCCAAAAAGTTTCTACATAAACAAGAATGTTAAAATAATCATTAAATATATTTTACAAATGAAACAAGTTATTTAATAAAATATTTTCACGTACCAAGATAATTTCTGCAACCACCAGCAGTAACACCGCGTACCCATTCACCTTCAAACACACTTGTTTCCCATTTTTTCTTGCCTTCATTATAATCATCTTCTGTAAGAGAATCTGCATTCAAGTTGCAAATTTCTAAATTTGTAAAATATGTTTTAAAGTCTTGGAAAGACATCCAAAATTCTCCATCTATGTCAAATGTCAAACCTAACTCAGCCTTCTCATGCTCTGGGATAAATCTCCATTCTGGTGAACTGTTTTCGATAATTTTTTTTATAATTAAATTATCTTTTGAATGAATAAAAAAAGTATGTATTTACTCACCCATCACTCCAAGGACCATTCCATTCGGTCTCATTTCCCCAAGGATTCCTAATTCTTAATAATGGAATTGTACCACTTCTATGGGGCATTTCAATATGAACATTTTTAATTCTTGTGATGCTGTAAGCGTGGCCCCTAACTAAACCTTGTGGTGTTCTTGCTTCCAGTACATTGGGATCTGGCTGCACATTGTTAATGATTATCATTATATACTTATAATTTTATGATAAAAAGGCCTAATATTAATCTTTGGTTTTACATTTCATATATTCTTAACTAGTTTCGAACTGTTACAATTCCTTTTCAAGGTTGTTTAGAAATTCATAAAATTATCAAAATCAAATAATTAAATACTTAAAGTTGAATAAATCATTATTACCTCAATTGAACAACCTATTAACGAATTTCTTTCGTAGGCCTTCAATAAAACATTGAATAAATTTGATGGAGTTTTATCCATGTCGTACATTTCTGTCACACCACCTGTAAAATCTTCCATGGCCTCTACAGCGGTACCACCTTTAAGAGATTCATAAGAGCCGTGCAATTTCGCATATGCTTTTTCAAGAAGTGCACTCCAAAATTCATTAGGTTCTGGAGATTGAAGAAATAAAAGCTGTCCGTGGTAAGTTGGTAATTTGTCGTCAATTACAACATCTACCCATTTTCCATATTGCCAAAATCTGCAACAAAAAACAAACATTAAACACATTTGAATTTAGATCAGTTCTCATAAAATTATCCATGTATGTATATACTTGAAGTGGAAAATTCCAGCGTAGTTTTCTTCAAAAGACTGTTCTTCTGGTACAACTTGATGAAATAAATGAGGAAGCATAGCTAGATTGGCAACAGCAGCAAGTAACCAACAATCACCCAACTCTCCTTGCTGAACATCAAACCTTGAATATCCTTCCACAAAGAATTGAGGATTGTCTGCTATTTCCTAATAAATAAAAAGATATAATAAATTCATTCCATTACATTACATTCAATTTACAATTTCAATTATACTTAAAAGTATAAGCATAGAATTAAAAAACATATTTTCAAAACATCTTATAAAATTATTATTTACATAAAACAGTAAAAGTCTACAATTTTTAAAATGAATGAAATTTAAAAACTATTAAATTACTTACCATTGGCCTTCTCCATTCAATATATCTATCAGGCCTTTTTGAAAAATATATTGATGAATCAGTGGCAGGGAAAATTGGATCCTCAAATAATTGTCCCCTTGATAAACATTCATCTCGAATTTGAAAATAATCTTGTACAGGACCTCTGTGTCTATGATCAGAACCTTGTTCTCCAAGCTAAAAATTATTTTCATTTCTTAAATAAATTTTATTTAAAAAAAAAGAATTTGATTCTCAGAAAAGAGAGAAAATGTAATGAATTGAACAAAAATTTTTAAAAAAATTTAACTGCCTAAACTTGTTCTCTTACATTAATTTTTGAATTCCAAGAATTGTAACACGATACTATTAGCCTTTCTTTCTCAGAATATCTCGCTCAAATATAGATTTTCTGCTCCAATTTATAATATGTGTAATTCTATTAATCCTATCTGCCTTTATAGTAATGAAAATATTGATCTATTCAAAAAAAGCATTATTTATTCTTTCATTAGTGAGTATGTAATTTCTAAGAACGTTACATAGTCTTGACAGAATAAATAAACATTTATGAATTATCATTAATATATGTAAATTAATATCATAATAGCATTAATGAAAAAGTGTAATTTTTTATTAAAATTCTACTGAATTCCTTTCGAAACAATCATCTATTTAAATATCTGACTACTTTCATAACAAAAGATGAATTTTATCATTCTCGACAAATTCCAATAATTATTTTTCAATTTTTAAGGATTATTTTTTGTAACATATGTACTAGGTACTAAAAGACGACAATTATTCTTATCTCCTAAACTTTTTAATTATAATAATTATTCTTTTTAAACATAATAATTTTTTACACTCGTTTTCCGTTTTTATTTAGGTAATTTTTTACGTGGCCTTAATTTTATCAATGTACACTAATATTTTTATTGGAAAATGGTCCGCAACCACTATAGTCTAAATATAAAGGAATTATTGAGTTGAAATTAAAAATTTGAATTTTTCCAATAAATATATTTAAAAAATTCTACTTTAATAAAAATGTAAGTAGATTTGTAAAAAAAAATTCTAGGAGGAGAAATTTTATATTTTTATTGTCACCAAAGTGATGCTTTTAAAAATAATAAAATTTCAACTTTCAATTTTTGTTGTTGTACCACTTGACTGCCTTGAATCCATTCGACAGAACGAAAATACAGTTATTTGATTCCATAAAGCAATTTAAAAAAACCTTGGGTGACGTTTTGTCAATTACATTAATATGGGCACCTTCAACTGCACGCGATTTTTTATAATCAAAATATAAGTAAATAACTGTGAACGGGAATACATATAATATTCTTCGATTAGATCTAATCTAGAAATAAATATTTTTCTTTACATTGAAATTCTGTTAAAAGATCAATGTACTTTCATTCATTTTTTTGACATATTTTTGTTCATCAAAATCAAATGACATTTAACCATTAGACAAACACATACAATTGAAGACACCTTTCCCATATTCCAAATTAAAATTTTTCTAATTATATATTTACAATAATTAAATAACGATTTTTAATTATGTTTTTTTTCAGAATTAAATGGGCAATTAATTTATTATATTTATATATATTATTCATTAAAATATATCGATAAAAAATACATACCACTTTTATATTGAAGAGAGAAGGTAAAAATCTTTTAACAACTGCCGTCTGTTTTGTAAAAAAATTACCATCACTTGCATCATCTCCATAAGAATATTGGTCACCCATGGTAGCTTAATGTGTTTATTTTAATTAAAAAATAACAATTTAGTCATACACAAGAAAGCTATAAATAATGTTGACACTATTCTTCTTTTAACAAAATAAAGTTTCTTTCTTTATTTTTCTTAAACGTCAAAAACGATAAACTTTAGGTTAATTCAACTGTCAGAACTGTAGTATATATTTTTATAAATATAAAATTTATCTTTAAGAGAATCAAGTTTATTTTTGCAGATTTTGGGTAGGGTTTAAGGCACAAAAAGTCTGAATAATATTTTTTCAGTTAGGCTGTTTTTACAATAGAATAATTTAATATCGAACATCCGAAATGTGAACGTATTTGAATAATTAATTAAATTATTTGTATATTATTGTAACTTTCACTTTCAAACATTTAAAATTTGTCCTTAAAACTTTATGAAATTTAGTAGATTATTAATTTTTCTTCAAATTAGAATATAAAGATGCTTTTAAGGTGATTTCACAATACATAACTTGTAGTAGTATTAAATTTAACGTTGGCACCCATACTACATAACTTGTATTTGCACTTGCTTTGCTTCTGCTCAGCATCTGCATGAATAAGGTTATTCAAGTTGGGTGGGGGAAATCCAAGATGGTTGCTTGCTGATAGGCTGATAGGTGCACCAGCCATCATCCATCTTGGCTTTCCCCCACCCAACTTGAATAACCTTATTAGTTGTTGCGCGCGCAATGTGTCCATCAGTAATTTTAAAGGTGCTTTTATACCTCCAGTATTTTGGTCGAGCAATCGGCTGGATTGGATTTTCACGGTAGTATCACTCAATTTGATTGGCTCTGACAAATATTACATTTTCACCGTGAAAAATGAATTTTGTTAGAGCCAATCAAATTCAGTGATTCTCCGTGAAAATTCTATCCAGCCGATTGATTGACCAAAATACTGGAGGTATAAAAGCACCATTAGAATCCAAATGAAATATTACTTTTCTGTGTTGTAAATATATTCATTATAAATATATTATAATGTGTAAAAGCACCTTAATTAATTAATGGAATTCTTAGGCTATGTTTACATGAAGGCAATAAAAACGGTCTTTCCGTACCGATAGATGTCGCATGTCATTCAAAAATATAGAGGCACATTTCTTTTGACATTATTCTTTCAGTGGTTCATCTCAGAGTTTTGTTTTCCCGCGCAACTCACAATAAATTTCATGTGAGAAGCCTGATATATTTTTTAAAATATTTTATGACTATTTATTTTTTGAAATTTTTCAATTTGCAAAAAATTATTACTGTTTTTTTATAAAACAAAAAAGTAAGCAATGAGTTCATTTAATTTGAGTAAAATTGGAGAATTGTTGGAAGATACTAGTCAAAAGAGTGTTAGCACAGGTGTGTCTTTTGCTGGAAAGTCTCTTAAACTTAACTCTGAAAATGATGGTATGTATTTTTTTATTAAAAATTTTTTCTTATAGACTTGTTTCAATTTAATGATTATTAATGATGTACTTCTTTCATTACATAATATAGTCTAACATTTCATTTATTGTTTGTTTTTGCCTTTTTTCTTAACGTTTTTATATTAATAAAAATAATTTATAAATATTTCAAGATGACAGACAAGATTAATTTATAATATTATTAAATTAATATTAAGCCGTCATATGATGAGAGGAACAAATTTTGTCAGATAAATGGAGAAAATTGAAAAAAAGTACTGAAAGAGCAAACATTTACTTCTAATAAATGTAAACACTTCTAACAAGTTTCTCCTCTACTCTAATCAAAGGAAACTTTTGATAGATAATGTTTTGTTGATATTATAGATTATTGACAGTTTCAAATCATGACTTGTTGGTTATTATTAATACACTAAGAAAGGTCTATTTTATTACATTTTACCGAAAATCGTTTGCGGTCTCTTTCTAAAAAATTTGATCTTTTATAGAAACAATTTAAAATACCTTTTTCCAAAAATGAAAACATAAGAATTTTAATGCTACCTTCAAAAGTTAAAGATTTTTCTTCAAAGAAACTACAAATTAAATATCAAGATTTTACCATACTTTAAGTAATTCATAATGCAAAAATTTCTATCGTTAGAGAAATATTAGGGAATTCTGAAAATGAAATTTTGCAGGCACTCTGAAAAAATTAGGAAAAAAAATTGTTTGTGTTCTACAGGAAAAGAAGTCGTTGATGCCATTAAAAACTGTATAAAATTGGAGTATTTAGATCTAGAGGGTAATACTTTGGGTCCTGAAGCTGCTAAAACAATTGCGAAATGTTTGGAAGAACATGGTTCAAATTTAAAGCGCGCTCTTTGGAAGGACATGTTTACAGGTCGAATGAAAGATGAAATTCCATTAGCTCTAGAATACCTCGGGAATGGACTTTGTACTGCAGGCACAAAACTCGTTGAACTTGACCTTAGTGACAATGCATTTGGTCCTATCGGTGTAAAAGGATTAGCAACTTTATTAAGTTCTAGCTCCTGTTACAGTTTACAAGAACTAAGACTTAATAATAATGGTCTCGGCATTTCTGGTGCAAAAATGTTGGCTCAAGCTTTACATGATTGTTACTCGAAAAGTGTAAAAGCAGGCAAGATTAATTTTTCTAAATATATTTTGTCAAATATAATTAAAAACATATCATTTTAAAAAAATCTTTAATTTATCAGGTAGTCCATTGGCGTTAAAAGTTTTCATTGCTGGAAGAAATCGTTTAGAGAATGAGGGTGCAACCGCTTTGGCGTCAGTTTTCAAACAACTTAAAAGTTTAGAGGAAATCGTTATTCCACAAAATGGAATATACCATGCAGGTATATCAGCATTAGCTGAAGGGCTTTCAGCGAATTTAGGTTTGCGAATATTGAATTTAAATGACAATACAGTTGGACCAAAAGGAGCTCAAGCTCTTGCTCGAATTTTACCCAATTTGAAATGTCTTGAAAATATTAATCTTGGAGATTGTTTATTAAAAACAAAAGGAGCTATAGTTTTGACACAAGCTCTTGGTGATGATGGCAGTTATCCAGCACTCACTGAATTAAATTTAAGTTATAATGAAATTCGAAGCAATGGTATTGATCCTATCGTTCAAGCTGTGGCTCATAAAGCACAATTAACGAGTTTATTACTCGATGGTAATTTCTTTGGAAGTGAAGGTCGTGAGAGTTTGAAAGAAGGTCTTTCTGCATGGGGAAGACTCGAATCTCTTGGTACTTTAGAAGAAGATGCAACTGATGATGAAACTGAAAATACAGATGAAGAAAGCGATGAAGATGATGATGATGATGATGATGATGTTGGTGATGAAAACATCAAGATACAGAAAGATGTTAAGGCTGGAATTATTCAAAGTCCTGCTAATAAAGATGCAAAAAAGCCAATTACCATTCCTGAATTTTTAAATTCTCCAAGTGGAGAAAATCTTTTGATTTTAAAACAGCACGGAAATAAAGCACAAGATTTTATTGATCATGCAAAAGTGAGTCAATTAAAAAATTTATTAATCGCTCATAAAAATAAACTAAAATTATTCTTAATTCTTAAAATCTTAGTTGAAAATTTTTCTATTTGTACTCAATTTTTCATAAAGCTTGTGACTTTTCCTAAAAATTTTATTTTTTCAGTGTACAGTAGATAAACAAAATCAAGATACCTCATTTTCTGAAGAACTACTTCGCATTATTATGAAAGTATCTTCTCTTTGTGGAAGTGGATTTATGGATGTTCGAATTTATGCCGAAAGTTTATCTGACGAATTATATTTAGCATTATTTTCTCATGCGATTAAAACTAATCAAATTCATGTTTTGAATAATAATCTTCTGGTCAATTTAGGCTTATTAAAAGTAAGTAATTTTTCATTAGTCTATTATTTTTATTATTATTACTAATGAAATGTCCAGGGCTAATAATCGACTCTTATAAATAAATAATGTGAAAATTTTTAAACTTTTCTTCAATAATTATTCAGTGACACATGTCAAGCATTTAATAATAAAGTAATAAATTATTTCCAGGGTGAAAATAAAGATTCTGAAAAAATCAACGTGAATTTGGAGGGATGTTTTAAAGCTTTGGAGATAATTAGTCAAAGAAATTATTTTCTTTCGCAAACTAAGGAAACGCTGAAACTTTTTATTGATAAACCAATGAAAAAAGGTAGATCACAAGTAATTGATCCACTTCAAGATGTAAAAATGTCTTTGAAAACAGCTCTTGAACGGATATCAATTGTTTAATTATTACAAGAATATTTACTGTATATGCGTCTGTTTGTTTGTTTATTTATTTATAACAAATTTTCTTCAAATCACATACATTACATCAAAAATATACAACTCATTGTATGTTTCATTGCTTACATTGAAAAAAGAAAATGAAAATAATACTTTTTTATGGGACATATCTAATTATTTACCTATAATATAGAATAACTTTATTTTTATCTTGAAATGTGTTATTATTTTAATGTAGTACTTATAAATTGAAAATGGAACAAATATGTATATGTGACGTACTTTGAAAAAAGGGACCTAAGAAGCAAAAAATTATATAGGTTATTATGATAGTTTTACTTTAATTAAAAGTTTCTTTTTAATTATGTAAAATAAAATTTTTTTTATTGCATATTTTGAATGAATAATTTTGAATTAACAATTGTTTGCATTGAGAGTTGATTCATTTTTTGCTTCTTAGGTCCCTTTTTTCAAAGCATGTCACATAATAATTATAATTATAAAATTGCACTTAATTTAAAATTTAACATGTTCGTGCTCCCAGCAAAAACAAATGTTAAGAAAAGCAGAATTTTTTTTATAAGAATGCAACATTAATAATAAAATAAGGTAGTAATTAAATAATAATGTTCAATTTTGAAAGAAAACTAAACACTCACTCAAATTCACTATTTTATTTATTGATTTTATTCATTAATACAATATTTTCTTGACAGCAAAGTAAAACAGTTTTACTTTAAATTCTATTCAGTAATTGAAATTATGAACGAAGGTTAAAGAAAATTTAAAGAAAATCCCTATCTCGTATTATCCTTCACCGTTGGGAAAACTATAAGTCTTAGGGTAGATGAAATAAACACCATAGGAAATCGAAATAAATACAAAAAATTATATATTTTTCAAATTATATCTTTCAAGGGTTAATTATTCAAGACTGAAAAAAAATTTTATGGATTATGTATATTACTACATTTTTACTCTTCTTTAAAATCTGTAGAGACTAACTTAGTGTGCTCTCAATTCAAAGTTTGTTTTTTAATTACAATGTTTATGTGAGAGTCAAACAATATTGTTTTATATTTCTTTTAAAGAATCCATTGGTGACGGCATCAACAAATACAAAAAAGTTCTATTATTATTGGACACTTCCAGTGCACGTAGAGAAATCTAAATTGCACTTAAGAGAAATAGTGTGAAGAAAATCAATAATACATATTATAAAAAAAAATTGATTTTCTTTACGTTTTTTTTTTCATCGGTTAAAGCTTATAACCAATTATTGAAGAAAGTAACAGTAAAATTTTTTTTTATATTGTAAATACAAAATTTCTACATGTTTATTGTTAATAATTAATAAATAATAAAAAAACAATACGAAAAAAAGTCTTTCTGATTAGAACATATTATAGAAGTCAATCATACCAGAGTAAAGAAAAATTAAATATAGTTAAATTAACCCACAATTTTCATAGATTTTAATATATTTAAGGGAATGATGTTATTGCATGATAAAAATAATAATAATTTACTCTTCTTTTTTTAATGTATAAAAACGTTTCTCATAATCAGACGGATCCCAGCCTGGATGGAAAAATTCATTTTCTAATGGAACGCAATGTTGAGATGCTTGATCTACCATGTACTTGGTTGCCTGCAAAATAAAATACAGATAATTATTTTCCATATAATTCATATTATTTGTATAGAATTTTCAGTTTTTCCTTAAAATTTGCAATTTGTAAAAGTTAGACAATAAAAAGTCGAAAAATTATTATTCATATATTTAGATGCCAAAGAAAGTTGACAAAAATGTAAGTATTGAAACCTTAAAATTACTTGAAATAAACAGAAATTTTTTTAATTATTTCTTTTGGTTAAAGATTACATGATTAAAAAAAACTGTTTTGTCAAAAAATTTAATTGTTTAGTTAATATATGACATACAAAAATATAATAGTGAACTTACAAGGAATAGGGCTAATTGTCTTTTCTCTATTGGAGTAGAAGTATGTCCTAAATCAGAAGGATAATTTATCTCCCAATTACTTTTTCCTAAATCAGTTACTATCCAGTCGATACATTTCTCTTCACTTACTCCAACCGACTCCATTATCATCTCTAAAAAAACATTATTTTATAAAAAATAAATTAGTGAAATCAATTTAATCTTCTAATAATAATAATAACTGACATCGTAGATATTATTTGAGGGTTTCTTTCGCATCAATCTAACGAATCGATTGAAGTGCTAAAAAATAAACCTTCTCAACAAAAGAAGTTTCAGTGTTTCCTTTAAGAAAAATCAGTAAATAATAAATTACTCACTTCGTGCATTTGGTGTTGGTGCATTCAAAAATCTCGTTAACAGTGGACTGGAATCAGAATCTTCAGAAAAAACATGTGGATAACGTCTCATGAGCAATTTAGCAAGTAAGATATTTCCACGATTTCCAGATAAAGTTAATGACGGTGCACACACCATTTCATCTTCTGTACGCCTGATTAGTAATACTGTCCCTTTGTATCTTTAAAAATGAAAATTAAATCCTTCAATTTGTAAATATGTAGAAATATAACTGAAATCGATGTATATGGTCAAGTCTCAGAAATCTTTAAAATTTACAATAAAAAAATTTTTTTTTTCATTTTATTCCTGTTTGCATATTTTATATTTTTATAGTATTGTACCTTGAAACAAAATAGATTAATTTAAATTTAATGATAGATGAAATAAACTGCATCTCTTATTTAATAGAACATTAATTTCATGAATATTAATTGGCAATTTTTAACTTCTTTTAAAATAAAAAGCAGAAAGGACATAAGTATTAAAAGTTCTAGAGATTAACCCATATAGTGAATAAAATTTAGAAATAAATACCTAATAAGTTGTTCAGCTATATTTAAATTAAGATATTGTCGAATCGTGCTACGAACTATATTTTCTATTGCAAGTGGCATTTTGGAGGTAGCTAGAGGTAATACGTCATCAAAAGTTGCATCCAGTATCTTAAGAAAAACAATTCATCATTATTAATAATACTGTGATAAATATCAAAAATTTTAATTAAAAATAGTTTGAATTAATATAAAACTTATTTATTTATTATTATTTATTATTTATTATACGGACACAGAAATGTCCCGTACGTAGATAAAGTACTTAAAAAAAAATTTTAAATATAAATTGTTACCATGCTTTTTATTGTCGGATAATTCATAGCAGCCCAAGTTGCAGTATAACCACCTATACTCCATCCATAAAGAATAATTTTGTTTTCTGGAAATCCGAGATGATCGATAGCGAATCTCAAAACACAATCAATAGCGTTCTCCTCTTGTGCAGGATACGGAGCTCCCTTTGTAAATTATAAAATTGTTTAGTTGTTACTGAAAAATTTTCAAAATCTAAAAATCACTTTAATATTTTTTTAAAATTAAAATTCAATTTTAACAAGAATGTCTCATTTGAATCAATTGGATAATTAATATAACAGGTTGACAAATTTTCATTTCATTAATGCAGAGGTTTTTTTTTACTTTTATTTATAAGATATTTAAAATTAAATTACAAAATAAATTTTTCTACAAATTTTCAGAATTAAATGTTTTAAATTGAAATGAGATATTCTGTAGAAAATTTTTATACTTACAGTACTATTGGCAAAACCTGGGTGATTCCATCCCAAAACGGAGTAACCACAGGATATTGGAGTTCCAATAACACCTGTTTCATAGAAACCGCAGTTTCCTTCGCAAGTTATTACTAAAACGTCCCCATTAGAAAATCTAATAAAAATAATGCTAATAAATACAACTTTTCTTTTAAATTTTCGAAATAGTATTGTATAATAGAACTATTTCTAATCATTAAAATTCATTTTTGTAAATTGCTTTATGAATTTTTCACAAGTTATTCAGATGTGCCTTTTGAAATTATTTATCAAGTGTTATATAATGTAATTTAATGCTAAATAAAAACTCTTTGAAATAAAAATTAGATTTAATGAAAATTCCATTAAATAAGAGTTCTGTTAAATACGAATTCAATTATGAGAAAATACATTTTAGGTGAATATTCGAATGAGCAGAAATTTAATTACTAAAATTCCTTGCTAATCCCTTATTTTTCTATTAAATTAAATGTTATTACCTGCTATTTTTTCGATTAATAAAAATAGTGTCTAAATAATTTCCATCTGAAGTACCAATTTTAAACCGTTCTGCTCCTCTTTTTATGAGATCACTTCTACCTTGAATCTGAGCTGTTCCTGAAATTTGAAACACCCCCCCCAAGCCCAAAAAAATATTAACTTGATTCAATTATTTTTTCAATTCTCATTACTGAAATAAAAAACTTACGTAAAATCCAATTAATAAAACTAATACTTCCGGGATACATCAGTTTAACAGCAATCGTATGCGCAGTAACATAGGATATTATTTTACATGGCAATGCAGCAATATACTCCTTGCTCGTTTGTCGTCTGTTGTTACTTCGTGAATTGAAAATTTTCTCTAAAGTCTGCTTTTGTTTTCTTACACCCCTGGAAATAATTTGGTTAAAGGGTAATTTTTTTTATCCATTTTTCGATGTAAATAAATGAAAAAAATAATTTTATATTTTTAAAGTACAATACATTACCCATCTATTATTGCAACTTGAAAATCCACTGGATTAGCCCAGAATTCAAAATCATATTTATTTAACTCCTTTCTTGCTTCCGATGGATTTCTGACCTTGGCTTCTTCAAGAATCTTTATGAATTTTGTATATAGAGGATTGCTAGCTCTTGAATAACCTCGCGCTACTAAAGAAGTGACAAGAATTAAACCAGCACCAGCTGCAAATTTTGTCAGTGAATAAAAATCAAAAACTGGTGTGATACGACGATAGATTAATATTGCCATCAGAGGAAAAGTGTACAAGCTCAGAGACCACATCGTCACAAACTGAAATCAAGGTAAATGATCAAGTTTTTAATTTACACTGAAAACTTTTTTAATATTAAATTGCTTAAGTAATTTTATAATATTTTCTGATATTGTTCCATGATATTTAAAAAAAACTACGTTTTTATTATCATTAATATTTTTATTTGATGAGTTTCCACTACTAATTTATAAAATCCTCTTTTCACATCATCATAATAATTTTCAGTTATATAAATCAGTTCTAACTAAATCAATGTTTTCTTTGAATCAGAGTACTTTCTTTCTTTTTGTCTGCTTAAATAATATATCAACCTTTTAGTAGACCAACACGGGCTTTTTTAGTTTTCCATAAAAAATAATATATTTAAGGGTCAATAAAATTTTCAACTTGAAATTAGTAAGTCTGGCTGATTAAATAGATTTTAATCTTCTATATTTTTTTAATGATAAAACTTACAGATGTGATTACTTGATCTCCCCATCGTTCCAAACTTTTAGGTTCGTAAGGCCTCTATAAATCAACAGTAAATTCAATGTTTAATTCACAAAGCCAATATAAAATATAATATTAAAATTATTGTTAAGGTAAAATGATACCTACATCCACAATATTATTGAGCCACGTAAATTCGTAAATTTTATACAATCGAGGACTAAATGTACAACGCCATACAGTTTGCATTAATGACATTTTTTACATGCAAAACAAAAACTTGGCTGAAATCTTTTACAATTTAGTTGTGCTTGTAAAGAACCAAGCAACATTAGAAGACCTCAGCGTGTCAAGTTGACAGTATACTGTAAAAAAACAATTTAGTGTATTAAAATATGATGAAAGTAATGTTTTACTATTTTACACAATGCAACCTGACATAAATTTCTTATGTTCAAAAAGTACTTCAACTCTAAGTTTTCATAGTAATTTGATATAATTTCAAATGGAATTAAGTGTAAAATTATTGTTCATTGTCGGAAGGTTTGACCATCATATTCAACATTACGATATCGTAATTTTACCTTCCGCAGATTGTCCAAATAACCATCGAATAATATTAACATGTCGTATGCAATTTTTTTTGCAAGAGGTTATGTTGAAAATAAGTTAGAGCATGAAAACATATATATTATACAGGTTCATACATACTGCATCTGCGCTTCTTTAAAAAGCAGAGATGGGTCATAACATTCTTTAAACATGTACATATTGACGAATATGCCTACACTTTTATGTCCTTTTCTAACACACGTGTTGTCATGGCAAAACGAAGAGAGCCTTTTATTTTATTGTGCGTTGGCCCTTAGTTGTTAAATCATGGTTCCGCTCATCTTCCGCTGGCCGGTATAGTATGGCGTTTCAGCATTGTTGTTGTTGAAAAAAGACCTCAGATTAAAAGTTTTAACAATAGTGTCTTGTGTAATCTATGGGAAGAAGTTTAAAAAAACATTATTAAAATAATAATTTTTTAATGTTTCGAATATATAAAAAATAGCCGTAAATATGAATGTTCGAAGAAATAATGGTACACCTGTTGACAGTTTAGAAGAATTAGGCATTCCAGGACAAAATTCACTTAGAGATGCTTTAACGAGTTGTGAAGATCCATTAAAAGCTATTGAGGAGTTTCAGGTAATTGATATATATATATAAATAAACTGTGATATCTATATTTTTAAATTGATTGTCTATTAAACTGAATTTGGAACGAAGTAGCTAAACGTTCAATTTACATGGAACATTGTTTCTATTTCATCACATGTCTGGCGAAAGAACATTAAAAAATGTATATCCAATTTTTATAAAATAATTTTTCTAATTGTTAGAAAAAAATTCGTTTTTACACCTCTGGCTTATTGACATTTTAAGAGTTGGTTCTTCCATTTTGTATTTAAAATTTTCGATTACAGATATATATATTCATATATTCATTTATCGAACAACATATTTTAGATGCAAAATGGAATTCTACTACCTTCATTGCGACCCATGCTACCTTTATTGGATCTTCATGGAGTTCGAAGATTAGATTTCCATGCCTCGGTTCTGGAAGAGTTACGTGAAAAACTTATTAAACGAATAAATGAAATTGGAGCCGAGAGAGGTGATAAAAGTTCAGCAACTGATCGTAAATTAAAAGAAATGTTAGCAAAAAGTTTTCCTGCTGTTAGAATCCCTGCACTTAGACCAGTTGTTATGTGCATTCTTCGGAATACTCCTCACATTGATGATAAATATTTGAAAGTTTTAGTAAGAGAAAAAGAATTGTATAATGATGCTGATACAGAAGTTAAAAGACAAATTTGGAAAGATAATCAAAGTTTATTTGGAGATGAAGTATCTCCCTTGTTTAGTGGTTATATCATGGAAAAAGAACAAGTTCTTTTTGATCATCAGAACTTAAATAGTCTTTTCTTCACTCCTTCACCGAAGGTAAATAATGTTAATTTTACTTAATTTCAGAAAGTAATTAAGGAAAAAATGTGTTGTTCCTAGCATTATAATGCCGTTATTTTAGGTTAGACGACAAGGAGAAGTAGTGCAAAAATTGGCACATATGATTGGTCACAGCATTAAATTATATGATATGGTTTTACAATTTCTTCGAACTCTATTTTTAAGAACGAAAAATATTCATTATTGTACATTAAGGGCAGAATTATTAATGGCTTTGCACGATTTAGAGGTATGTAGTAAATTAAAAGCAATTACAATGTTTATTAGAATATATTCAATGAAAAAAGAAAATATTTACTCATTAAAGTAAATAGGTACAAGATATTATATCAGTAGACCCATGTCATAAATTTACATGGTGTTTGGACGCCTGTATCAGGGAAAAGAATGTCGATGTGAAAAGATCAAGGGAATTACAAGGATTTCTCGACAGTATTAAGGTATGAAGTAGGTTAATTATAAATTTGTTTTCTTTATTATCAATTTTCAATAGACGTATAAATAATATTTTGTTTTAGCGAGGCCAAGAACAAGTATTGGGTGATCTAAGTATGATTCTTTGTGATCCATACGCTGTAAATTTTTTAGCTAGCAGTGCAATAAAAATTGCATTTCATCTTATTAATGGAGATTCACTTCCTAGAGAAAATGCAGTTTTAGTTCTACTTCTTCGAATGCTTGCCTTGGGCCTCTCTGCTTGGCAAATGATTGATTCGCAAGAATTTAAAGAACCCAAACTTGATAGTCAAGTTGTTACCAAATTTCTTCCAGCGTTGATGTCTCTCATGGTAGGTTGATTAATTTTTAATTTCGTGTCGACTGTTTTTCGAATGCTTCAAGGTCATATATTGAAATAACTTAAAAATTGTGTAGGTAGATGATCAAATACGACAGTTGAATCAAAAGCTTCCTCCTGATGAGAGAGAAAGTGCCATTGCTATAATAGAACACTCTGGACCACCACCAGATGCTTGTCAAGCTTATGCTGAACTTTCTGGTGTTGCTGCTGTTCTTTCTATGTATTATGCTCTTCATGTTGGAGGCGGAGGTAGTGGCGTTACTGCCAGGGGACGAGGAGATGCACGAGGCCTTATGAGAGTTTTATCAACATTACAAAATTGTCAAGGACAAAGAGCATTTGAAGATCCGTTTCTACATACATTGGTAAGTTTCTTAACAAAATCCATTTTCTTCATTAATATAAAACACTTATAATACGAAGAATTAAATATAATTCAATATTTACCTTAGGTTTCCTTACTTATTGTGAATTTAGCCGATGAATTTTCAAATGAATCATTTTGTACAGTTATTTTTGATGAATTCTTTTTGACGAGTTTAGGAAGAGATAATGTGATTCGTCATTTATTGAAGTTATTGTGGTACATTCATTCTAAATTACCTCCAGCTCGATTACATACTTTGATGAAAGCTCTTCAACCAACTGGTCAAGTAAGTCTAGTTTTTATTTATTTCGAAAAAGTTATGCTTTTACCATTTAAATTACTACGTACAATATATGAATATAGCAAGCAGCCTTTAACCTCTTAAATAGGGGTTTCAGTATAAAATATTATAAAACTCGGATTTTCTTGGAAATTCTTTAACAATATTTTCCCCTTTTTGCTCTTAAATTAATTTAATTTAGACTTATTTCTAAACAGAAAGGTTTTCAGTATAAAAAATACTAAAACTCAATTTTCTCAAAATATATAACAAGTATTCTGAGAGAAATAATTTTTTTTTTAGCACAATGAAACAGTACACAGTCTTTATGAGGCTTTACATAAAAAACTTATCAATACATCAAATGAAACACAAACTATGGTTTCGAATCAAATGGATACTCTTACTATGGACTGTTCTGCTTCACCACTTCCAGGAATATCAACTCCCAGGCAAGGGTTTCCTTAACTTTGTTTAAAATTAACTATAAATTTTATATTTGTATTTATATTATATTTAATAGAAAATTATATAATTTAACTCTTCTTATGAAATGTTATTTTTTGGAATACATAAATATTTGAAATGCTATTTCTTAAATACTTTATAGCAAACTGTTTCTCTTCTTGTTAAGTGTCACTTATTGGGTAAGCAATAACAAATTCCTCATTTGAAAAATATTTTTTATTTGCTAATATAAATTCACTGTTAATATAATTCTGTTAATTCTTTTTTTTTTTTTTTATCTTAAACTACTTACGAATGTGTCCAGGTAATCTGAATTTAATTGATAAGACATCAATATCATTGAAATATACCGTGAAGAATCCTTAGCGTTTATCAAATTGTTCAGCTGCGAATCAATTAAACTTAACCTGTTTAATTGAAATTAAACATATATAGTAAAACAGCTTTTGAAATATTTTTCAATAAATTGATTTTAAATTTCTATTAAATTAAAACCACAATGACTGTAGTTTTAATTTATATTTTTGATTCTAATTTACAGGAATTGTCCACATTCCAGGTTTTCTTACATGTTTCGTATGTAAACCTTTAGCTGAATTATAAATTTATGTTCAACTTAAAACAGTTTGAATTAATTAATTCTAAATAGAATATTACTTACATTTTGATAGTAATGAGACCGACAAGATTCCACTCAACAGACTTAAAAACTATATTTTCAGCCGTTAAAGCAAATGTGCTTACTATTGCTTTTATCATTTTAACTCTTTCTTTGCTGTGAGCGTATAAAGTTGGTGCACATTGAAGTAGATCTTGCAATCTTTGTTATATGAAAAATAAGTACAATTATTATACGTGAGTTGGTATGAAATACATAAGAAAATAATAAAACCATACTTACATACTATTTAATTTATCTATAAAAATTCTACGCCGTACGGCATTTGGAGCTTGAGAATCAACCAAAGGAGCAACGGAAAGCTCTTCTTCAGATTGATTAACATTACTCACATTTTGATCATCTTCAATTATAGTACCTTTTAAATATGCTCGTACCTATGAAAGAATAAATAAATAAACGTAGATTATTTTAAATATCTATACTTGAATATAAACGAAAGACTTTTATGAAACTTTAGTTTCTTTTTACTGTTAGATGTTGAACACGAGGTATGTACACTGATTTTTCGAAAGCTTTTAAATTAATCTAACTCGATTAATAATTTATTATTTTAATAGTACCTTTAATTGCAACTTTTTTCCTTCTTCTTGTAGAACTGAATAATCTGGAACGGTTTTAAAACTAATATTATCCATAATTTCCGTCTGCTTGATTTCCCTATTGAACTGGAGTTCATTCAGCTTTTGACAAAGTGTAATATATTTTTCATGTTTTTCTAAATTTTTAAAAATTTCTTGTTTATCAATTTCTTTTCCAAAAAGCAATCGAAGTGTATCTTCTGTAATCCATTCTTTAAAAACACTTTCAATTCGTTTAACTAATGAGCCAATAGTATCAGCATTATTATAACATTTTTTTGATAATTTTCTTTCTTTCTGAAAAACTGACTCTTTTCTTTGATTCATTTTTAATGTATCAGACGAAACTGTTAATTTATCATTTTCCACTATATCTTCAACAAGAATAGACGTTACACATGTTTTATTTTGGTTTTGAGAAGTAACTTCATTATCTTTCTCCACGTTTGGTAATTGAAAAGTAACGCATTTCGTTTTACCTTTTTCAGGTAATTCAGTGCTAATTTTATCAATGGTTTCTCCCGTAAAATCATCTTCTACATGTTGAACAGATTCATGTGGATCAATTGAATTTTTATAAATAACTTCTTCGCCCGGACTATTATTTTGTTCATTTTCAGGTAATAATCGAAACTTGGGGGATTTTTCATTTTCTCTTAACCATAGAGGACTTGATAACATTTGCTCCAATAAATAATTTGCCGCACCATAACAAAATGAACTGCAAAAATTTTTTCGTCGTCTAACATCGTAAACTTTATTTCTTGATGTTGATATATGATAACGTTGAGATATTACTTTAGTCAATAAATTTTTACAAAGAGCATAACCACACATCTTCTCTATCGCTCTTTCTTCAATAACGTCCTCCATATGACATTTATTTATATGGATTAACTACAACACAAATAAAAAGAAAACAATAACTGCGATGAGAAAAACTTCCAGTAATCATAAATTTAAATATAATCATTTACATTTTCTAGTAGCCATTCAGAATTAACGTCGGATTCAAGTAATCTTTCCACTATTGTTTGTGCCTTAGCATCCAATTCCTTTTTCTTAATAATAGCTAGTTGCATCTGGGCTTTACTGTAAATACATATTTAATTTTAAAACTATGGATATAGTTTGAGTTTTCAAAATAATTTATTTCTTTTTTTTTTTAACAAGGAATAAGATTTATAATAACTTTTTGTATGATATATTGCATTTATTTTACGAAGCTTTAAAAATTTATCGATCAACCTATTTTTTTTAAACATACAGTCTGAAATTAACAAATTATTGACATTTTTAAAATTATAAATTTATTTATTTTTTTTTTTTCATTTTTTTGTCTTATTTAAACTCAAATATATAATTTCTAGATTATATAGATTACTGAAACCCTTTACTTATTAATTATGGAAATTTTATGCTTCATAAATAAATAAAATTTTCTTTTTAATATCTTCAATTAATTTCAAAGTTGTAGTTAATTTTAAATTAATTATTTAAGTAAAAAATTTTGATTTTTTAAATCTATTATTTTAATCTCAAAAATTAACATATTTAATTATTGATATAAGACTAAAAAATTAATTTAATCTTAAATATCTATAAAACTATTTTTTAAATTGTTATTAATGATATCTTAATAGAAAAATATTTAAGAAAAAACATTTTTTTAAGTTATATCCTTTAACAAACATAACCTTTACCTCTTTTATACTATAATAATTTTTATATGTCAATTTTGATAATACTATTAATTTATCACAGTAAGATCGTTAATTTATATTTAAATGTGTCACTTATCTAGGTTTTTATAGAATATATTTTTCTGTTATTTTGAAAGTTGTAAAAATGTTTCATAGTGGAAGAATCATTCCAATACGTTCAACGAAATGAACATTTAATAAATAATATATTTTCTTACCTCATTTTTTTTTTCCTTTTAATATTTGATACATTTGCATTTGTAGAATTCATTTTTATTTATTTATATTTCTAATTGTTCACTTCTTCTTAATGACTTTTTATCAAAACAGAAACAAATTTTCATAACATTTGTTTTTTTGTTTATTTTTATAATCATGTGGCCATATCTTTAAGGCGAGTCCAGAAGTAGCCTAAGCATAATAAGTGTGCACTGTGCAGTCACACGTCACACCTCGTAAAACAAGCACTGTCAGGGTTGTGTATAGAGAAACCTCCAAATTGTAACACTTTTCGAGTGCAGGATCAACAAAAAACTGTCACTAAAAAAGTACCTTAAAGAAACTTTTGCTTGAAAAAAATAAAGTATTTCCTCAATGCACGTAATCAATTTGCAGTTGTCAAAGCTGCTTTCAATAGTAAATTGTATAAATATAAACGATTTGCAAATGCACACGTCAACATTTTTCTGAATATTTCTTATATATTTTCATGACATATATGCAACTTCAAATTTTAACAAGTTTATTTTGAATTCAAACACCAGGTATTTCCAGTTTACAATTTTGTGAGTTAACCTATTAATTCTTATTGTATATTAAATCATTAACTTATTTATGCCTAAAATAATGTTTTTTATTTTACTATATTTAGTCGAAATATTTTACAAAAACTTTATCTTTTATTAGTTTTATTTAAATATCTGACACTCACACTATTATATTGACATACGCAAAAAAATGGATATTGCTCAATAAAGTATATTATTGCATCCACATGACTCACTTATACTGTAAAGAGGAAATTTATTATTTTAATGCCTCCATCAATCCTGAAAATATTAATTAACAATTTCTTCCATATGGTGTGAATAAATTATTAGTGTAACTAAAGTTTACAAATTTCTTATTTATTTTTTTTAGAAAAATGAAGCATTTTATACTTTTTGCACTGTTTATTTGTATCATTCAACTATCCGTTGCACCGCCAGTAAATGTAGAGGAGAAAAAGAAAGATGAAGAGTTTGCGCCAATACAAGACCCGGTAAAATAATTAAATTGTCATTCATATATAATTGAGTTTAAATTAATTAATTAATAATTTATTTTACTTTGAATATTTTATTGACCATTTTGACTTGGATGGATTGATAATTTTATTCCATTACTATTCATTACACCAAGTGATAAATTCATCATTAAATTAATAATAATTAAACTTATAATCTTATTTCATTAGAATTAAATTAAATATTAAAAAATATTAATTCCTTTAATATTTTAATTAAATATATAAATTAATTTAATGAAAGTTAATTTACTAATCAATTTATGTTTATAGGTTAATATTGTGGAATATAACAGATATGCCAGAGAAATAATACAAGTTCTAGAAACTGATTTGCATTTTATAAAAGTACTCAATGATTCTACTAATGAAGATATCCAAGTAAGTAAATGATATTTTATTATAATTATTGAAATATGATTAATTATTATTAAACTTTATTTAATAATGTTAGAAATGAAATGAAGTGAAAAACTTAATTAATATACAAATATTTTTTAAGAGTGGAAAAATAGCACACGAGCTTGATTACGTAAATCACCATGTGCGAAATAGGTTAGATGAAATAAAACGTAATGAAGTGGAAAGACTGAGACATGTCATAAGAGAAGTAAACATGCAAAATGAAGAGCATAAAAAACCTTCTAAAAATCTAGAACATTTGGATCATAATAACATTCAAACTTTCGAGAAAGAAGATTTAAAGAAATTAATAACTCAGGTAGAGAAGTAATAATTTTTCAATTAAAAGTTTTGTAAATTAAAAATTATGTTCCGCTAATTCAGCTAATACATAATTGATTTCATTTAATTAATTGATCAATTTTTTACTATCATTAATTAATTTTATTATTAACAAATTAATTTATTCAATTAAACTTATTATCTACTTTATTAGTTGTTATTTAATTAAATTAATTTTTATTCTTTTAAAGTAATTATTTTTAATTTAGTAATCAATTTATAGTAGCATTAATAATTTATCTTTAATATTGCGTAATAATATTTTTATTGCAGTTGCATAAAGATTTAGAGGCATATGACAGGGAAAGGAAAGTGCAGTTCAAAGAATATGAAATGGAGAAAAAATACGAACAGGAACAAAAAATGAAGGGTAATACGGAAAAAAAGGTTTTTCATACTAAGGATTAATTTATTGCATGCCTTAATGGAAATACATGTGTTACTCTATCGATAATCTTGTTTCAGATATTATATTTTTTTTATTATATTTCAGGTATGAATGAGACAGATCGCAAAAAGTATGAAAATGAAATTCACGAAATGGAAGAAAAACATAAAAAACACAAGCCCGTAAGTGAATAAAATTTACTTGGCCAAACATTTCTTAATATTTAATTCAAATATTAAACATATTAAAATTAACAGTTGCATCATCCTGGAAGTAAACAACAATTCGAGGAAGTCTGGAAAGAAACAGATAATATAACAGACCAGGACTTTGATCCAAGAACATTCTTTTTTACGCATGGTAAATAATTTAATATATTTTTATTTTTAATTTTTATTATAATGATATTTATTCCCAGCATTTAATTGAGTTAAAAATTTGTTTTAAGATCTTGACAGTAATGGCTATTGGGATCAAGATGAAGTAAATGCTATATTCAGTAAAGAATTAGATAAAATTTATGAAGAGGGACATCCGGAAGACGATTTAGTAGAAAGAATTGAAGAAATGAATCTAATGAGAGAACACTTTTTAAAAGAAGCTGACACTAATAGGGACTCTTTAATAAGGTATATTTTACAATAAAAAATCTTGAGCGCACAGAGTTTTCAACGAAGGGCCTAAGATTTTTTAAAATAATATTTAATAATTTTATAACCTTATTTTTTGCTACTTCTTATTAATATACATTTTTTCTATAGTTACAATGAATATTTAGTAGTAACAAAAAATCCAAACTTTGGTGTGGATCCTGGCTGGGAAACAATTGATCAGCAAAAGATTTTCACTCCAGAAGAATACAAAGAATATGAAAATCGTCGAATAAAAGAGATTAACAAATCGATTTATAATGTAAGTACAGGATAGAAAAAAAGTAAAATCGATAAAATAAAAAATTTTACGCACCTTTAGGAATTGAGTATTAACATTCCTAATAATTTATGTAGTACATTTTTTATTAAAATTAATTTCTGCATTAAAATTCACTATCAACTTTAAAGTAGTTACTAATTTCTTTTTAATATTGTATAATATTAAACTTTGATTAAAAATTTTAATTATTTAAATTTACAATCAACCATTAATCAATTAATTTTTAATTAATTATTAGTTTATAAATTAGTTAATGAATTAATTTTATTATTATTTATAATGAACTTTCTCCTAAAAAATCTATCAAGTTTCTTAATTAGGCTTCTTTAAGAGTTTATCATTGTACATAGTTATAAAAAAAAACAAATTGTATACTGGATAATTTATGTGTTGCGAAAATTTCAAGGCTATCGGTAATATTTCATTAATTTAAAGTCATATTCACAAAGTTATTGTTTGTAGTAGTACGTTATTAGAATAACTAACAAGCATGTGCACGTTTAATTGCCTTTGGTAAAAATTATCACCATTTTAGCCTATTAATGCAGCATCTCAGCAGGTCAGTGAACAAATAGAATTTTCAGTAAACAAAACAAATAAAAAAAATCCCACCTACAAACATTGAATAATATAAATATATATTGCAATATCAGCAGGTTCCATCTCATCAAATGCCACAAAATCAACAATTTCCACATAATCAGGTACCACAATATCAACAAGTTCCACATAACCAGGTACCACAGTATCAACAAGTTCCACATAATCAGCTACCACAATATCATCAAGTTCCACAGAATCAGCTACCACAATATCAACAAGTTCAACATAATCAAATACCACAATATCAACAAATTCCACAGAACCAGATACCACAGTATCAACAAGTTCCACAGCACCAGGTGCCACAATATCAGCAAGTGCCAGTGCATCCTGGACAAATTCCTCAAAATGCTCCTCCTGTTCAGCCGCAGCAGCAGCAACAACAGTATCACCCAATTCAACATCAACAACAACAACACGTTGAAATTAATCATCAAAATCAGGTTAACCAACCACAGAGGCAAGTTAATCAAACACAAGGTCAACAGCAGGCTCCAGGTAATCAACAACCAGATCATAGTTCTCAACAAGTTCCAGTAAAGAATCAAAATTCAGATACTGTACATTTACAAAACAGTATTCCAAATGTAAAATAGATGTTAAAATTTAAAATAACAATTTTTTTTTTTTCATAAAAACGATGATTCAATTTGAGAAAAACTTGAAATTGAGAGATTCAGACATAAAAATTAGATTTTTTTATAGTGACGAAATATTGTATATTTTGATAAAATGAAGACTGATTAAAAAGATATATTCTTTTTAATTCTTCTAATTCTAGACAAGTTTTTAATCGCATTTAAGAATTACAGATTTTTTTCATAATATTACATTAGTTTAGATATATTGTAATATGTTTATAGTTTCCTAAGTCAATTTTATGTCAGGTGAAAATAAAATTGTCAAAATAAAAAATGGTAAAACGTTTTAAAAATCAGTGAATTTTTATTAATAAGAAACCATAAATTGCAAACAAAAATTTTACAGCAAGTAGACATTGCATAATTTTCTAGTTAAAGGAATTTGAAAAATCAGTCAAGACTATGAAATTGAAAGTTTGAGTATTATACTTAAGCAATATATATGTATATGCACTGTACATGAATATTATACATATGAATGAAATTGGCATTTCACTGTAAAAAGAAATTGTTCATTTAGAATTTTATTAATTTTTCTTTTGATATCTGAAATCAGCTTTAATTTTCTTTTTATAGTGTTAGCACTAATATATACATACATTGATGTACTGCGGTTAGCACATCTGTTGTACCTGAAATTTTTCCTGTACATTAGTATTGAATTAAATCTTTTGAATTTGCACAGTCATACTCTTATACATTTCCACCCCCATATCACATATTGATGAAATATTAGAATATTGATACAGTGTTGAAAATATTACTATTCAAAGATTAGGTGTTGTGTTGGAATGGGAAATTATAATTCATAATACTATTCTACAGGCAGCATTATATAATGCTTCTTTTACAGGACACTATTGAAACAATGAAAAAAGTTGAATATATTTACACGACAAATATTTTTTTTAAATACTTGGATAACAAATAATAAATATTTATTTAAATTAAAACTACTAATACTTTTAAAAAGTCTTCAACATTTTCCGTAAAAAATATTCTATATATAATTAAGGCATCTGTTAAATGACAGGCTTTTTTCAGAAAATTTGCACTACAAAAATGCATCTAATTTGCGAAAAATGTCTCATATATGGCAACTTTGCATTGCCAACTTACATAAAAATTGAGTGTAGAATTTTTCAAATACTTTACTTTGTCACAAGTTTCGTGCAAAAACTATCGCTATAATTTGAATAATTTAGAGAAAAAATTTTCTGAATATTCTGCAATTTTATACAATAAAGATTTATAACATTTCTTCTCGTTAGCACTGTCACATAACAATACCCAGAACAAACACGCATATCAGTTGTGTTTTGCATATGCTAACTTTTTAATATAATAATAATAAATAATATGAGAAATATACAGAAGATTATAAAGAAAATTAAAAAAAAATTTTAATCAATAAACTATTAAAAAATAAAAGATTAAAAAAAAATAGTAATATCCTTGTATGAAAATTACAAAGAATGGCATGAAATTCACCGTAAAAAGTTAATTTTGTAAGTTTGAACTTCCATAGGCTTGAGAAAAATTTCCTGAAAACCATTTCTTAGATGTCTTTCGGTTTTAGTACCAGTTAATGAGGTTTTTGTAATGTTAAGTTTACCTACAGATTTTGTGAAAAAAATGTCTTGCTTAAAGTTAGCATCTTCTTCGGAATTGAGCAAGGGACAATTGTTTAGAGTTGTACCAACCAAACAGCTATATCCTTGTCTGTGAAGTACTAAAAGAGCACTATTTTCAGGAAAATAAGGAAGCTTTGAATCATGATCAGTCCTTAAATTTAATAAGTGAACATCACATGGAAAACTTTGACTGACTAATCTTGTTTCAGATGCTATCTGATTTAGGGCAGCTGTTGCAAGTTCTACAACAAAAATGTTGACAGGATAATTCAGCGAATTGCTTAGATGATTGGCGATTAAAGATGGTTTTGAATATTTGTCACCGCCGTTATCAACGCTTTTAGCAATATTTTCAAAAAGTAACCAATGTTTAATTACAGTTTTTTTATTATCCAATAAGCCCTCACCCATTCCTCTTGAATCATCGTGTAGAGTTCTTCGATCTAACATAACTTCCAGCCAACCTGGTTGATAACTTGCTGCTCCTTGAGCATGATTAACGAGTAACGTTAATCTATGTGTATTATCTTGTATGTATGCCATTGTTGTAATAGGAAAATAATTACCTTCTATACCGATTCTTTCAATTTTCGTTCTCTTTATCATTTGATGTCCGTTTAAATCAGTATAAAACTCTGGAGGATCTCCATTGAGAATATCTGTTTGTAACCTCATAAACATTTCTGTTTCACGATTTTTCGGAGGTGTTTCAAAGTCTACTATATTTCTAAGATGGATAGCCTCAGAAAGATAACTGTGGTGATGATAAATGGCAACATGATGGGTCAACAACTTTCCATATTCAACTGTTAAACGCGAGCTAATATTACCAGAGACAATATACATTTTTTGGTGCGATGATTCAAGTATGTCTTTATCTGTATCTCTAAGATTTGGATCTGGCATAAAAAGATATGCTCCACTATGAAATTGAGCAGAGGAATATGCAGCAAATTGAATAGAACATTGCATAATTGTATTGGTCGATTTTTTCGTTATCTGCTTTAAAAATCCACTTTGTCTATCAAAAATGAGTTTTATTTTTTCGTTTTCTAATTGTACATCACTAGGTTGAATAGGCTTTATTGGAAATAAAATATCCTTATTACACCTATTGCAATAAACAGTAGAGATTGCTTCTCTCGGAATTTTGTCAATTTCATATATATAGTATGTAGCAATAGAAAGTGGTTTCAAATTAGCTACGAATAAAAGTATAAATACGTCATGAGTTATGCCAGTTGCATTCATGACTGGAGCAATTTGATAAGAAATTGAATTTTTGTATGGATCTAAAACTTTTATTTTACATGAAGTAACTTTCAGACTAATTACTTCCTGTCTATTTTGAACAAGGGAATTGAATAAAATAATTCTTTTATTGTTTGATCCTTCAACATTAATAGGAATTTTTTTCGGCAGTTTTTCATAACTATCTCTATCAGATTCAGACAATACATAATTGATTCTAGTCGAATCAACTGAAGCTATTGCAGGCGTAGAAGTTAATGATTGAATTGCAAAGCTTTGTAAATTTGTCATGTCGGTAATTGATTCAAACAACTTGAGAGCATAATCTTTCATAACAAAGGATTTTGAAGTACCAGTTATTGCATCATGATGTTGAAAAAGTCCTAAATTCCGTCTGGCTTTAACCAATTTTTCAAACCAAGCTTCATATAGTTTGAGATCACCCCCCCTGTCTTTTTTTTCTTCTTGTATAGATTTTTTTGCCGTATTCAATGCTATAGTATAGAGGATTTCAGCAGATCGCAAATTACTTTCAAGTTCTCGATCTAAAATTTTCATATAGGGTCTTGTAGTAAAGTAACCACTCCAGTAAGCAGGTCTGCCTTCACTAAAAATATCAGAGTATACAAAGAAATCTCCACTTAAAGTCGGAAAGTGCTTCATTCGTTTTTTTATCTCTCGAAAGTAATCTTTTGGAGTACCAAATACAACTTGCGCATTGTATTCATTTTTTTTGCTGTTAATATAATCTATAAGAATCTTGTAGTTGGTATATTGTTGGTCCCATTCTATTGCATAATCGTATCTGTAATAAAAAAAATAATCTATCTATGCCTCATATATGTATCTATAAAAATTTTGTCTCAAAGTTTTCATTTGTGTATGCTGCGAGCATCTGAACAAGCTGCAATATATTAGTAAAATAGTGCCTTAATATTCTACATGTTATATTTGCTGAAATATTACTGATATAACGGCAACCATATGTTACAATAATATTGCTGCAGTCTTAGATGCTGCATATAAAAATTGTTAATTGACTTGAAAAAATTAATATTATCCAATATGTATACTAACCTAAAATCATCACCCAAGGGCATCAAAACAACATTGTGAGGAAATAAAGAACCAGTCTTTGAGTATTGTTCCAATAGCATTTCCGCCATTGTTTTAACGTTATTTGATGTGATGTCTACTGCTCTAACAGAATATTCTGTATATTCACCACGAATTTTGCGAAAATCAAAATTTAGACAAACATGAGGATGAGGTCCACAAGAATGTTTAATATTGTATATGTCAAAAGGCTGATTATGTGTCAAAATATCAGCTATTCCATCCTGATCCCATGGTTGCTGCCAAATAAAATCACCAAATTGTTTTTTAGCAAACCATTGCTTCCAAGCATAATGAATCCTTTGAATAACTGTTCCCGTCACACCAGATGCCTTTAAAAAATAGGGAATGGTGCCACCATGACCAAAGGGATCAACTGCCCATCCTGATTCTGGTATTATATCTAAATTCGTTTTTAACCATTGGTGACCTACAATAAATGTATAATATAATAAACACATTAGAAATCTTAAAACATCTATTGTATTCATTATGTTATATGTTATGTTAACAAAAGGAGCTTGTTGTGGACACAGTTTCAAATAACGCAGAAGAGGTGCATTTTCTCCATAATTAGTTCATTATGTTATAATAGCATAACATAACATATATTCTATAGAATAATTCTTAGATTCGCATAAGAAGTACATACCTTCAATTAATTGATCAAGCATAGCATAAATATGAGATGTTGCTTCATCAGACATAACCCAACCTCCAGTTGTAACCTCCAGACGGCCTTCTTTTATTAGCCTCTTAACAATTGCTTTTTTTGTTGGATGAGCACTGTAAGTAAATAATTACAAAAAGTTTCAGAAATAGCATTCAATAACAACCCCTTAAATTGAAGAGTGTATCAACAAAATTTGTTTCATCACCTTTCCCACCAAAGTGATAGAAATGATACTTCGCTCCAAATAAAAGTCATATTTGGCCACTGCTGAAGTTTCGAAACCATATTGTTCAAAATTCCCCTGGTAGTGCCATGAAAATACTGCTCAAAAGTTTTCAACCATCCTGGATCAGTATGACTGTGTGGTACAAGAATGACCTATAAGTAATATTCAATTATTTATTATTATTATTATTAGCTATAATTTTGTCAGATAAACTAAACCAACTAGTATAGGTATATGCTACAAAACAATGATAATTGGATTATGTTGTTACTAAACTAACAGTCAACGCTGCATATGTTACATTAAACAGATAGTTGGCGCCTAAATTGACTGGGTTGCAATTTATCTATATTCGAATTATGGGATCATTAAATATTACAAAAAGAAATATTTACCTTTAAGGGTGGCCTAGTAGGATTTTTTTTTTGTTCAGCATATCGAGCCTCAAAACTATCGTCCCAATATTCACGACTTCTCATCCATGATGGCTATAAATATGTAGCATAATAATGGTCATGAAATTATAATTAATTTTCAATACAAACGGCGTTATGTATGTACATATGAAAATATGTACCCAAAAAGGAAGAAAATACTTTATTTTTTAAGTTTTTTTTTGTTAATCTATTCTGTAGTACACACTGCAAAAACTAGCCGTCTTAAAAGTGCAAAAAACGTCTTGTTTTAAGACACACACATAACACATTTGTTATTTTTCACTTCCAAAACTTTATCATCGTATATAATTTACTTATCAGAAAGGATTGTGTTTACCTGAAAATCGAATTTTTTAAACTCTTCCTGGACATCAATATCTGCTTTTCTGGGTCTAATAACAGGACACGTATATAATGATGATGTTATATTTTCTTGCAAATGTTGTATAAATTCAGTCTCTAAAGAATGACCTGCCGGACTGGAAGTTGGTACTTGAATTTGACTGACATAATATAGACATAGTAGCAAAGAAACGAAGATTGTACATATGATGAACAAACGGGCTTTATTACGTCGTAATAATTTATACATGTCTATATCATCTGTCAGTACAGCTTTCGTCCAGCAACATGAGCAATGTCAATGCGTAAGTAAGAAATGATCTATACATATATCAAATAATGCAAATCCATATATTCATTTCCCATTAACTGCCTCACCAGAAGCTTCTATTTCTGGACATACTTTTGCAGAATGACAAATCTTAAACGATATAAAAAACGTATATTTATATGTTACTATTGTGCATAAATTCTCTACAAGAAATATGCAATTACTTATAGTGTGTGTCAATTTTATAATTTTGATGAAATAATTTTTTTTTACATTTATACATTCAGCCGTACGAAAGAAAAACTTAGATAAACGACTTTATCGTATTGGTCGGTATTTTAGTAGTAAACTGCACAAAATCCGTCAAAGCGAAAATGTCGTTTACCTAAGTTTTTCTTTCGTACGGCAGTATTATTATACTCTATATTCCTTAAAACTTATTCTGCTTAACAGCATCAGAAAAACAGCATATTATATACATATATATATATTTAATTTTATATTATAATCATATGCTGATAAATTTTATAATTTTATAACTTTATTGTACTTAACATTAATACTATTTAATTAAATTATCTGTTAGATAGAAACTTTTGCAAATTAAGTACATACATGAATATGTGTAAAGAAAATAATTAATATTCAATATATAAAAGAAATTTAAATTTTTTTAGTTATATTGTTCTATTACCATCTTTAAAATATTACTGTAAGTGTCTAATGATTAAAATTATCACCTCAGTCATTTGAAGTTTTCTTTCATTACATGTAATATCTCCGAAAGCCCTTTTACAACTTTTATGTTTTCTATATACCATGCAGGTAAATAAGTATATGCGTTTTTATGTGTTTGGCAAAATTTGTTAAATACTTGTAGATTAAGAAGAATTGATTTCATAAACTTTCTTCTTTATATAAATAAAAAATAGTAAATCTGATCTAATATTTGGACAAATTACATAATATAAAAAATTTTCAGAGACATGGTACAGGTCGAGAGGTCGCGCGCACGTACATGTAGTGATAGGTCGATTGACACAGGCGCGACGCGCCATTGTTGCATTTGTGTTATAGGATATTTTACAGCGCATGTGTTCAATTATATGTATATCTGTCTAATATTATAAACTAGTTCCTTAAAAAAAATCAATAGAAAACGATTAAAAGCAATTGACCCATTTCAGAAACATATTGAATTTGCCATAACTGAATTCATTTCAATTGGATTTAATAAAATGTTTCCCGAAATGGGTTGAATCAGATTCAATCACATTTTAAATATGTATATAATTATACATCAGTACATATTGACAAATCTGGTCTCAAATTGTGTTGAAACACCTCACGCGATTGAGACTATATCGGGACCTCATCGGACAAGGTGTTATATATGCAAAAATATATTAGTTGTGCCCAAATGCACATAAACTATTTTACCAATTTTTCATTCTTTTTAGACCCTCTTTCACCCTTGTTACCTTTGTGTCAAATGTATTTTTAAAGATTTTTTGACCCCCACACCCCTCTAAAATAGATAACGTAGTTTATATGGATAGCCCCATACGACGTCGTGTCTTCGATTTTTCCTTTTTTCTTTTATATTATTTTTGGGGCTAAATAAGTATACCAAATTAAAATTTAATCAGTATTCTTTAAATTATTTGTATTATAATTATAAATTATTATAATTTAAAAAAAATCTTTTTATTTTCAATATAACAACAATTCAATTTCATTTGGGTGCGACAAAATTATGTTCATCGTTTCTCAATACATTTCAAAATTTATTTCTTAAATTATAAAATATTTTTCTCTAATTCTGAAATAATGAAAAGTGAGCTACTAATTTAAAATAGTAAGAATTATCACTAATTTTTAGTAACTTTTTACTAAAACTTTAGTAAAAAAATTTAAAACTATTAAAATCAAATAGTAATATTATATTAAAAATTAGTAAAAATTCTTACTAATGTGAATTAGTAGCTCACTTTTCACTAATTCAAAATTAAGGAGAATTTGAATCGCCTCATTTAGTAATTTCAAGTCCTATATATATATACATATATAATAAAAGATAACATTTAACAAATTAACTTGTAATATATAATAATTTTTGAATATCTACTCTAAATTAGCATTAAAAAATATTTCTTGACAAGTATATATATCGACTAAAATTACTCTGATCTACTTTCTTTCATTTCATTTAGTAATGAATTACATTGTGAAAATACATATATATATATAGTATATACATATATATATGGAAGGTTAAGGTTATGATATTGAATATACCTCTATGTGTTCACGGTTCACTGCTCCCATTTTTCTCATAGATAAAGAAACAGAAATAATATGCTTGGTGTGATACATTAAATTTTTAGTTACTATAATAAATTTGATAAAAGGTAATATGTCTTAATATATGTATACGAAAAGTGCTCTGCTTTTACATTCACAAAGAGAAAATATGTATTGTGAGATGAACAAGAATGAGAGAGGATATACAAATCCAAGAGCCCAAGAGGGGAGCTCAGTATCGAACCACATGCGTGAGCGCCCCTTACTCGAGATATTCTCATTGAGAATATGCTTCAGTTTAATCGAATTTTTTAATGAGCACGGCAATATTACAGCAATGTTGACGCAATACAACGTCAGATGTCCCACAGCAAGGGATATTTTAGGATATCCTGCACGGAAAGAAAAGGAATGGTTGGGCCAACCATAGGTATTGATAAATACGTCCCATCAATATTATATGGTTACCACAACCATATCTTTAGTTGATACAACCATAGTATGGTTGGCGCAACCAAAGGTCAGGTTGACACATCAAATTTGCAATTTTTCGTCATTTTGATGTGACAACCTAACCTTTGGTTAGGCCAACCATACTGTGGTTGTATCAACTAAAGATATGGTTGTGGTAACCATATAATATTGATGGGACGTATTTATCAATACCTATGGTTGGCACAACCATTCCTTTTTCTCCATGTGTGGACGTCCTTATAGGATATCATTTGGGTCCAGGAAAATTAGGATATCCCTAAGATCTCCTATAGGGATGTCCATGGACATCCTACGGAAATTCTATGGTTATTCTAATTTTCACGGACAAAATGATATCCGTAGGTCATCTTGAATATTCGGATACCGTTGGGGAAGTATCCGTTAATTATAAGTGCACTTATACACTTGCATAATCTTTCAATTTTTCCTAAAACCGTTTCTTCTTTTTTATAATTTTTATAATGAAAAGGCATAAAAGGGTTATTTTTATTATAAAAATTATTAGAATTATATATTAGTTTATTAATAAATTAATATTGCTTTTATGCACTTGTGTGAGTTGTCTTAATACACTATATGTCTTGAAAAGTATGGTGTTGTACGTATAATACACTTGAAAGTGCGTATCAAACTAAATGCGAATCACTACACACTTTGATTTGCAGCATATATAATTCCAAAAGAGATACTCTTTAGCAATGAGTATTAAACATACAGAAATTGATAATGTATAAGGCATGGTCAATGTCATTTATTTTAAAAAGGTCACATACGCCGGTAATGAAAATACGTTCACTTTGTCGCATTTATGCGTGCGTAAATATTGTCTATTATTAATTTTTAAATTAAAAGATGTTTTTTTCATTGAAATATATTGGCTTTAACCTAGAAATTTTTATTATTAATTTTTGTCTGTTTCTATGGTATTTAATGTTATAGCTTCGGGTTCTTCTAATGATCTAATCTCTCTTATTTCAAAAATTGTTTTATAAATAAAAGCAGCAATAGTTGATCCACCGATTGGTCCAATCCAATAAATCCATTGTTGAGAAAAATTGTTGTTCCAAATTGCGGGTCCTAACGACCTTGCCGGATTCATACTACAACCTGTAAAAGGACCAGCGGCGGTTGCCAAAGCAGTAACAGCTAATCCAAATTTAATAGGAACACTATCTGTATTTTTTTCATTTCTTTTGTCCCAAACAGCACAAGCTATCATCATTAAAACTGCTGTTGCAATACCTTCAACAATCAATCCTTGAAAAGAACTAACATCTTCCGACAAGCGTGTTACACAGAATTCATTTTTCTTTTTAGGATCACTCATCGATATCGGTGTTACTATCTGCAAGATATATTTTTTATGCAAAACATTCATAAATTATAATTTTCAAAATTTTTCTGCACGGAAAGAAAGGAATAGTTGGGTCACAACCATATATATATATATATATATATATTGATAAATATGGGATATCAATATTACATTGCTACCATATCCAGTTTTTTAATTGAAACATCCATAGAAAATTGATGTTCCGTCTATATTCATGAATATGGATGTCTCAAACATATCATTTTTTTCCGTGCGTTCTTTAAAATCGAGAATTTTTACCATTAACATTCCATAGCCCAATACAGAACCTCCTGTTTGACACAGAATATAAATTAAAGCTTCAGTTAAAGTCTTTTTACCCAAAACCAGTGCACCTACACTGATGGCTGGATTAACATGGGCATGACTTATGTGACCAAAAATCTGAAAAAATAATTATAGGCCTTGTTTAAATAATATGCATTTTTACCATTATGCATATGCCTGCACACAGCACCCAAAATTCCCTGAAACTTGACAGAGCCTCACACGGCGAGGTTAGGAAACTTCAGTGGCAAGGTTCATACAAGTTTGTGTCGATGTTTAAATGTCCACATGAAAAGAATATTTACACGAAACTTTGAGGAAATATTACACTGTAAATATTCGCGTGCAATGTTCAGTTAATGTTGTGTCAATATTCACCTATACTTATTTTATTAGTAAATGAAATTTTTATAACTAGGCGAAAATGTAATTTCAATATTGACACAACATTGACTGAACATTGCACGTGAATATTTATATGTAATATTTCCTCAAAGTTTCGTGTGAATATTCTTTTCATATGGACATTTAAACATCGACACAAACTTGTATGAACCTTGCCACTGAAGTTTCCCAACCACGCCATGTGAGGTTCTGTCAAGTTTCAGATAATTTTGGATGCTGTGTAGGTGGGTTCGACCATAAATTACGTCATACATTTTCTACCGTTTTTGACCCCCCCCCCACTAAACCTTAAAGTGTGACGTAATTTAAAGATGACATAGGGAGGGGGTTAAAAAGTCTACTATGAAAATGCATTTAACGCAATGGAAACGAGGGGGGGATGGGGGTCTAAAGGGAATGAAAAATTGGTAGTGTAGTTTATGAACGGTTCCTAAATTTAAACGGCACTGTACAAGGAACAATTATTTCTATCAAAAAAATATATGTTTACCTGAATAACTATCATTACTGATAATCCAAAATTCAAAGTGATTTGCAAATGTGATGGACTGATTGATCCAGCACATCCCATACATCCTAAAAACACTAATATAGCAGTTCCAAGAAATTCTGACAATCCTAAAACAACCGTCTTTTTTAGTGTAGCTTCATCCTGAGTCACTTCTTTTATTCCTATAAAAAAATGCAAGAACTAACAGTGAGTATTAAAGCTTCAGTATATAAGATTACCATTATAGCTTTCATTATGCTGTATGCAAGCAGTTACAGAATTCACAAAAGATGGACTTAATTTTGTTGATTTTAATTTTGCTATCATAATGAGTTTTTATAATAACCATTCTTCAAAATATTAATTATTCTTAAAACCGTTCTTTTTAATAATTTTAAAATAAATGAAATGAAACTAAATTAATTACTAATTGTATAGGTATATACGTTATTAAGTTTGTTGAGCTCAAGATTGACAATACCAATATTTTACGTGCAAGCAATGGAATATCGTTATAGTATAATTTCTTTATAGATATAAAAATGTATCAGTTTACTTTTTGAATAACATGTAGAAAAATTATTTTTGACCAGTTTCACAAGAGTAGGTTCCAGACTATTTGGTCACTCTGTATATATAAAGAAGGTCAAAAGGTGTTGAAAACCAGTGTCGAGCGGAAGTAACTTACTTTTAAATGTAACGGTAATTTGCAATAACGTCATTAAAAGTTAGCACTTAATTTAATGTTTATATAAGTTTACATAAGAGATTTGCAAACATTGTAATTAAACCTTAATATAAAACAGCAACCACGTGAACTGAACTTTAGAAAATCTGAACAAAAGTTAATTAAAAACGGGGATAAATTTTTGGTTTTAATATTTTATTTTATTTATTTACTAGAAAGAAAGTTTTTTACCTTATATGCACTACTATAATATATTTGGACATTACTTATTAAAAATTTAACTATTAAAAAAGTAATATACTTTTTTATTCACAAAACATTAATAATATTTCAAAAAAGCGAATTTCGAATTCTACAAAAAGTTGGACAAAAAAAATGAACAACATTATTATAAGAATACATAATATTATTTACAAAAGTACAAAGTACAAAGTACAAAGATTGTGATCCAATTGAAACAAAGGGGAATAAAAAATTGAAACAACATGTTATTTCAGAAGATAAAGTTGTTTAAAATAAAAAAATAAATAATTTGTATATTTAATAAAATGTTTTTATTTATAATAGAATCCTCGTTTAGTAATTTATACTTTAAATGAAATTACAACATTTACATTAATAAAAAAATTATCCATATTTCAGAACTTTTAGTAAGTAACATGTTTCAAAACAAAACATTTTTTTTTTAATTAAAACATAAATTGGTGCTAAGATAAAAAATACAACATTATAAACATGAAACTTACTTGAGCGAATGTTGGAAGAAGACATAGTTGTAAAATATTTAATAAAAACTTAAATAAAAATAAATATGAATAATATCAATAACATAAGTTATAAAAAAAATAAATATGGACAATATGGTAAAATTAAAAATAAAAAAAATGCTTTTAAATCAATTTGATCAATTTCAGTAGAAACAACTATGAACAGTGCTCACAAACTTATGATCATATCAACAGCCTCGTCACCTTATTGCGCAAAGCAAAGACTCGCTGCTACTGAAAACAAATTATAAATAAGAAATTAGCTTTTTTATAAGTCAAATAAATTTTTATACCATTTCATACAACAAGTTCTAAAGCATACAATATGTCAAATACAGCTCACATAATTATTTTAAAAAACCTATATGAAACATACATAAGTTATATTACAAAAGTTTCTAGAAAGTACTGTAAGGGCAGTTATTAAGATATGTTTTAAAAGTACTTTTTCAAAAACGCTAAGCCAATACACAACACTCTTATACAAAATATGAGTATTCTGTTATATTTATGTTATAGATAAAAAAATGTGACGTGATTTTCCATATAAACTTCTTCTTATATATTTGCATCAAGTATTTATAAACTTTTTGGAAAAATTCCATTCCTTTTCCGTGCAAAAGTATATGCCATCTCAATATTTTTTAAATTTTAAATTCATGATAATATGTAAATGATTCATTAAATGATTAATATTTGAAGATAATAATCACAGGAAAGTAAAAACTTTTATATAAATCAAAAGAATAAGAAATTCAATGCAAAGATGGTAATTGTTATTCTACATATAAATCCACATTTTATTTTTAAAAATTCATTAAAGCATAATCATACGATTTTTTCCCTTTTTTTATTCTTTAAAACACCGGCAAAAACTAATGTTTTGAAGATTTTTTAAAAATAAAATGTGGATTTATATGGAAAAACAATTACCATCTTTATAATATACTACTCTGAAATTCAAAAAAATTAACATCTATATATACTAAAATATTAAATGATTAAAATTCTTAAAGAAATTTTTTTTATAAATAAATAATTTTTTTACTTAAACATTACAAGTAAAATAAATTATAGCAGTTGTAGCATGTATCAAATGATTATTATAGTATAGAAGAAAAAAGAGAGAAAAAGATAGGGGGGAAATAAAAATGTATAATAGTTTTTATCATTATTGCAAAAGAGTAGCGATATATATTTTTTTAAATAATCTAAAAAGTATGTAAGTATACATACTTATATACGTTTATCGTCTTTATTTAAATTAAGATAAGATAAGAAAAAGAAAATTACAATAAGATCTGATTTTATTGAGTTTAATATAAAAGAGTTAGGGTAAATGGATCAAATGCTGCATATGCTCCAATTACTGCGCTCCTTTAAACTTCATATCCCTTAAAATCGTTTTATTTGTATTACTTATGAAAGTAAACAAACAAAACTTTTAGGATAGGAACTTGTTTAGTTGCAGGAATGATTATGCGGCTAACCATGCCTAACGTAAAATTATAATATATGCATACGTTTTTTTTATGACAGTAAATAAGATACACAAACTTACTCAAATACGCAGTCAGAGACGCATATATCATATCGTATTTTTAATTACTTTCATTTATTTAAATAATATCTATTTTAATGAGATTTAATTTTTGTATATAAATATCTAAACAGCGCCGAACTACCAGATTGATAAACCGTAAGTTACAAAAATTTATAAAAAATAACAATTTATCATCGCATATACAAATAATCAAGATTAAGTTTGGGTCTAAAAGAAAAATAAGAAAAAGATAACATATTTTTCTTAAAATGATATATTTATTCAAGACTTTTTAGGATAACCAAATCGTGCAGCTTCGTCAAACATTCCAATCAAAGAGTCAACTATTTCTTCACCATTGGGAATAATTTGATTTGCAGGAAGCAAAAAGCCATATCTGCCTTTGTCACGAAACTCATATGTAAATACAACTGGTAATTTTAATGTTCCCTTTACCCAATCGCTTGAACTTCCACTTGCAATATCTAAAACATATGAATTAATAGTTTTTAATAAGTATATAACACATAATTGACATTTATTAAAATTACTCACAAATGGTTTCAGCAATATTTCCAGTTACATATTTAGTGCCATATCTTTGTTGAAGTGCACCTATTGCTTTCTTTCCCATAGACAACTAAAAAAACATAAGCATAAAATCTACTTAGTGATGCGTATATTATCAAATAACAACAAAATTATTATTATTGTGCGATTCCAGGTGAGATTTTGACTTTTTCGGAGTAGGTTAACCGATTGCAATGAAACTTTGGAATTTTGTTATATATAGTAAGACTAATCTTTAACGTAAATTGCAGCTTAAAATATTTGTTAGTTTACGAGATTTGCAATAATAATAAAAAATTTTAAACTGCTATATCTTCCGTTCTAATAATCGGATGGAGGTCTACTTTTTTTTTAAATGTCAAGGAAAATGAGAGGAATAAATCTTTTTCAGAACTAACCAATATTTTAAGCTGCAATTTATGTTAAAGATTAGTCTTACTATATATAACAAAATTCCAAAGTTTCAATGCAATCGGTTAAGCTACTCCGAAAATGTCAAAATCTCACCTATGGAATCGCACTATTATTATTAATTATTTAAACAATGTGTAATTTGTTGATAAAACACATTTTTCTTAATTTAATTACCTCTTCTTCGTAATTATCCAAATGATCTTTTGTGTGACCATAAGGGAACATCAAAAGTTGAGAATAGCTATGGAATGAAATATACGCAAATAGTTCATTAGAAATTGATTTTATATAATTCGCCATTGATTTGGTTTCCGGTTCACTAAAGGCCACTGATCCAGCATAAGTTTCAGCACAAGGAAAACTGCTTGCACCACCGGCTAAAATAATAACAGAATAATATGTATAATTATCAAAGATGATTTAATAAACTTTTTTTATTAAATGTTTTAAAGCTTCTTAAAAAGTTTGATTTTTTTAAAGTAATTAAACCCTTACACATCCACTTAAAACCCCAGTTCCTGTTGGCATCAACTCCAGGACATAAAGCACTTTTCTTTGATCTCGTTTTTCTCCACAAGCGATTCTATAAAATTTGTAAACAAGACATTATAAATTTATAATATTTTCTTTCATAATAAAAATATTTATCTACGGCTATTATTTGAAAATATGTATATGTTCATGATATGTCAAAAATATTTTAGGCTTATCTTAGAAATTAATTCTTACCTTCGTATGAGTATAAACATATCCATCAGGGTTAAAGCTTGGAAATATGTACCAATTACGATTTTCAGCAAGACTTCTAATATTTTTGTCTTTACTCGTCAATAGTTGATTAATAAGATACAGAGCAGTGGCAGGAGTTATCCACTCTCGAGCATGAATTCCTGCTTCTATGAAGATTCCTGGGTTTTCTTTTTTGTACGAAATTTTTACCCCTTTAATAGAACGACCCTCCGTAGTTTTTCCAGCATCAATAACTTGAACAACATCATACTTTTGAGAAAGGTGTTCAAAATAAACATAAATTTCATCCAGTGTATGATATTTATTAAAAGCAAATTCAGAATCAGTTTTAATAATTTCTCGCGGATTCTCAGTGTCAATTAAATGCTGAACATTCTCAATGAAAATACTGTATTTAATTCCATAAATATTCATTGTCTTCTCAAATCCTAAACTCGTTTCAGGAGACACCATTAAATCGACAGAATTGTTCACAGAAGTGATTCCATTCCAAAAGAGAAACTAGTAAAATAAATAAATGGATTACACAAAAAAATGAAATATCATAATACATTTCTTCGGATTATCGTATTTTATCTTACATTATTATTATCCTGTTCTAATTGATGTAACAAATCAACATGTCCCTCAGTTTCAGGCAAAATTCTATAAACTTTAAAGTTTTCAAATGTAATCTTTTCATCTGTAGCAAAAACTACGGCAAAGGTTAATAGAATATTTAAAAACTGATGGAGACGCATGTTTGCTTGTCAAATTATCTGAAAAAAATAGACACAGTCACTAAATTTAAAAATTATTAAAGTTTTTAAATATTAATAACAATAAAGTACAAGGCATTGTTTTGTCTATTCAAGCTTCTGTGCAAATATTAAGTGCTTTAAAATTTTCTTCAAAGTCATTCTAGATGTATTTTCGGTCGCTGATGAAGGATTTGGGGTCAAAATTGACGATAAATAGTCTGCCTAAGAAATATTGAATTTTTTGAAAAATTTTTTTTTACGATAACGCATTAAAGGTCATAATAGGGGTCTTCCTCTACTCGGATCGGGCTGTCAATTTTTCTCTACACTTTTAAGTGTATTTTATGCAAGAAATTGCAATAAAATAGTCTGCCTAAGAAAAATTGAATTTTTTTGAAAATTTTTTTTTTTCGAAAAACGATTTAAAGGTCAAAATATGTGTCTTCCTCTACTCGGATCGGGCTGTCAATTTTTTTCTACACTTTTAGGTGTATTTTGTGCAAGAAATTGCAATAAAATAGTCTGCCTAAGTAAAATTGAATTTTTTTGAATATTTTTTTTTTTCGAAAAACGATTTAAAGGTCAAAATATGTGTCTTCATCTACTCGGATCGGGCTGTCAATTTTTTCTACACTTTTAGGTGTATTTTGCGCAAGAAATTGCAATAAAATAGTCTGCCTAAGAAAAATTTAATTATTTTGGGAACTTTTTTATAATTTTGGATTTTTGGGTTAAATGACATTTAGGTGGTAATAGGTGTCTTCCTCTACTCGGATCGGGCTGTCAATTTTTTTCTACACTTTTAGGTGTATTTTGTGCAAGAAAATGCATTAAAATCGTCTGCCTAAGAAAAATTAAATTATTTTGGGAACTTTTTTATAATTTTGGATTTTTGGGTTAAATGACATTTAGGTGGTAATAGGTGTCTTCCTCTACTCGGATCGGGCTGTCAATTTTTTTCTACACTTTTAGGTGTATTTTGTGCAAGAAAATGCATTAAAATCGTCTGCCTAAGAAAAATTAAATTATTTTGGGAACTTTTTTATAATTTTGGATTTATGGGTTAAATGACATTTAGGTGGTAATAGGTGTCTTCCTCTACTCTTTTTTGGCTGTCAATTTTTTTCTACACTTTTGGGTGTATTTTGTGCAAGAAAATGCATTAAAATCGTCTGCCTAAGAAAAATTAAATTATTTTGGGAACTTTTTTATAATTTTGGATTTATGGGTTAAATGACATTTAGGTGGTAATAGGTGTCTTCCTCTACTCGGATCGGACTGTCAATTTTTTTCTACACTTTTAGGTGTATTTTGTGCAAGAAAATGCATTAAAATCGTCTGCCTAAGAAAAATTAAATTATTTTGGGAACTTTTTTATAATTTTGGATTTATGGGTTAAATGACATTTAGGTGGTAATAGGTGTCTTCCTCTACTCGGATCGGGCTGTCAATTTTTTTCTACACTTTTAGGTGTATTTTGTGCAAGAAAATGCATTAAAATCGTCTGCCTAAGAAAAATTAAATTATTTTGGGAACTTTTTTATAATTTTGGATTTATGGGTTAAATGACATTTAGGTGGTAATAAGTGTCTTCATCTACTCTTTTTTGGCTGTCAATTTTTTTCTACACTTTTAGGTGTATTTTGTGCATGAAAATGCATTAAAATCGTCTGCCTAAGAAACATTAAATTATTTTGGGAACTTTTTTATAATTTTGGATTTATGGGTTAAATGACATTTTGGTGGTAAAAGGTGTCTTCCTCTACTCTTTTTTGGCTGTCAATTTTTTTCTACACTTTTAGGTGTATTTTGTGCAGGAAAATGCATTAAAATCGTCTGCCTAAGAAAAATTAAATTATTTTGGAAACTTTTTTATAATTTTGGATTTTTGGGTTAAATGACATTTAGGTGGTAATAAGTGTCTTCCTCTACTCTTTTTTGGCTGTCAATTTTTTTCTACACTTTTAGGTGTATTTTGTGCAAGAAAATGCATTAAAATCGTCTGCCTAAGAAAAATTAAATTATTTTGGGAACTTTTTTATAATTTTGGATTTATGGGTTAAATGACATTTAGGTGGTAATAGGTGTCTTCCTCTACTCGGATCGGGCTGTCAATTTTTTTCTACACTTTTAGGTGTATTTTGTGCAAGAAAATGCATTAAAATCGTCTGCCTAAGAAAAATTAAATTATTTTGGGAACTTTTTTATAATTTTGGATTTTTGGGTTAAATGACATTTAGGTGGTAATAGGTGTCTTCCTCTACTCGGATCGGGCTGTCAATTTTTTTCTACACTTTTAGGTGTATTTTGTGCAAGAAAATGCATTAAAATCGTCTGCCTAAGAAAAATTAAATTATTTTGGGAACTTTTTTATAATTTTGGATTTATGGGTTAAATGACATTTAGGTGGTAATAGGTGTCTTCCTCTACTCTTTTTTGGCTGTCAATTTTTTTCTACACTTTTGGGTGTATTTTGTGCAAGAAAATGCATTAAAATCGTCTGCCTAAGAAAAATTAAATTATTTTGGGAACTTTTTTATAATTTTGGATTTATGGGTTAAATGACATTTAGGTGGTAATAGGTGTCTTCCTCTACTCGGATCGGACTGTCAATTTTTTTCTACACTTTTAGGTGTATTTTGTGCAAGAAAATGCATTAAAATCGTCTGCCTAAGAAAAATTAAATTATTTTGGGAACTTTTTTATAATTTTGGATTTATGGGTTAAATGACATTTAGGTGGTAATAGGTGTCTTCCTCTACTCTTTTTTGGCTGTCAATTTTTTTCTACACTTTTGGGTGTATTTTGTGCAAGAAAATGCATTAAAATCGTCTGCCTAAGAAAAATTAAATTATTTTGGGAACTTTTTTATAATTTTGGATTTATGGGTTAAATGACATTTAGGTGGTAATAGGTGTCTTCCTCTACTCGGATCGGACTGTCAATTTTTTTCTACACTTTTAGGTGTATTTTGTGCAAGAAAATGCATTAAAATCGTCTGCCTAAGAAAAATTAAATTATTTTGGGAACTTTTTTATAATTTTGGATTTATGGGTTAAATGACATTTAGGTGGTAATAGGTGTCTTCCTCTACTCGGATCGGGCTGTCAATTTTTTTCTACACTTTTAGGTGTATTTTGTGCAAGAAAATGCATTAAAATCGTCTGCCTAAGAAAAATTAAATTATTTTGGGAACTTTTTTATAATTTTGGATTTATGGGTTAAATGACATTTAGGTGGTAATAAGTGTCTTCCTCTACTCTTTTTTGGCTGTCAATTTTTTTCTACACTTTTAGGTGTATTTTGTGCAAGAAAATGCATTAAAATCGTCTGCCTAAGAAAAATTAAATTATTTTGGGAACATTTTTATAATTTTGGATTTATGGGTTAAATGACATTTAGGTGGTAATAAGTGTCTTCCTCTACTCGGATCGGGCTGTCAATTTTTTTCTACACTTTTAGGTGTATTTTGTGCAAGAAAATGCATTAAAATCGTCTGCCTAAGAAAAATTAAATTATTTTGGGAACTTTTTTATAATTTTGGATTTTTGGGTTAAATGACATTTAGGTGGTAATAGGTATCTTCCTCTACTCGGATCGGGCTGTCAATTTTTTTCTACACTTTTAGGTGTATTTTGTGCAAGAAAATGCATTAAAATCGTCTGCCTAAGAAAAATTAAATTATTTTGGGAACTTTTTTATAATTTTGGATTTATGGGTTAAATGACATTTAGGTGGTAATAGGTGTCTTTCTCTACTCTTTTTTGGCTGTCAATTTTTTTCTACACTTTTGGGTGTATTTTGTGCAAGAAAATGCATTAAAATCGTCTGCCTAAGAAAAATTAAATTATTTTGGGAACTTTTTTATAATTTTGGATTTATGGGTTAAATGACATTTAGGTGGTAATAGGTGTCTTCCTCTACTCGGATCGGACTGTCAATTTTTTTCTACACTTTTAGGTGTATTTTGTGCAAGAAAATGCATTAAAATCGTCTGCCTAAGAAAAAATAAATTATTTTGGGAACTTTTTTATAATTTTGGATTTATGGGTTAAATGACATTTAGGTGGTAATAGGTGTCTTCCTCTACTCGGATCGGGCTGTCAATTTTTTTCTACACTTTTAGGTGTATTTTGTGCAAGAAAATGCATTAAAATCGTCTGCCTAAGAAAAATTAAATTATTTTGGGAACTTTTTTATAATTTTGGATTTATGGGTTAAATGACATTTAGGTGGTAATAGGTGTCTTCCTCTACTCGGATCGGGCTGTCAATTTTTTTCTACACTTTTAGGTGTATTTTGTGCAAGAAAATGCATTAAAATCGTCTGCCTAAGAAAAATTAAATTATTTTGGGAACTTTTTTATAATTTTGGATTTTTGGGTTAAATGACATTTAGGTGGTAATAGGTGTCTTCCTCTACTCGGATCGGGCTGTCAATTTTTTTCTACACTTTTAGGTGTATTTTGTGCAAGAAAATGCATTAAAATCGTCTGCCTAAGAAAAATTAAATTATTTTGGGAACTTTTTTATAATTTTGGATTTATGGGTTAAATGACATTTAGGTGGTAATAGGTGTCTTCCTCTACTCTTTTTTGGCTGTCAATTTTTTTCTACACTTTTGGGTGTATTTTGTGCAAGAAAATGCATTAAAATCGTCTGCCTAAGAAAAATTAAATTATTTTGGGAACTTTTTTATAATTTTGGATTTATGGGTTAAATGACATTTAGGTGGTAATAGGTGTCTTCCTCTACTCGGATCGGACTGTCAATTTTTTTCTACACTTTTAGGTGTATTTTGTGCAAGAAAATGCATTAAAATCGTCTGCCTAAGAAAAATTAAATTATTTTGGGAACTTTTTTATAATTTTGGATTTATGGGTTAAATGACATTTAGGTGGTAATAGGTGTCTTCCTCTACTCGGATCGGGCTGTCAATTTTTTTCTACACTTTTAGGTGTATTTTGTGCAAGAAAATGCATTAAAATCGTCTGCCTAAGAAAAATTAAATTATTTTGGGAACTTTTTTATAATTTTGGATTTATGGGTTAAATGACATTTAGGTGGTAATAAGTGTCTTCCTCTACTCTTTTTTGGCTGTCAATTTTTTTCTACACTTTTAGGTGTATTTTGTGCAAGAAAATGCATTAAAATCGTCTGCCTAAGAAAAATTAAATTATTTTGGGAACTTTTTTATAATTTTGGATTTATGGGTTAAATGACATTTAGGTGGTAATAAGTGTCTTCCTCTACTCGGATCGGGCTGTCAATTTTTTTCTACACTTTTAGGTGTATTTTGTGCAAGAAAATGCATTAAAATCGTCTGCCTAAGAAAAATTAAATTATTTTGGGAACTTTTTTATAATTTTGGATTTTTGGGTTAAATGACATTTAGGTGGTAATAGGTATCTTCCTCTACTCGGATCGGGCTGTCAATTTTTTTCTACACTTTTAGGTGTATTTTGTGCAAGAAAATGCATTAAAATCGTCTGCCTAAGAAAAATTAAATTATTTTGGGAACTTTTTTATAATTTTGGATTTATGGGTTAAATGACATTTAGGTGGTAATAGGTGTCTTTCTCTACTCTTTTTTGGCTGTCAATTTTTTTCTACACTTTTGGGTGTATTTTGTGCAAGAAAATGCATTAAAATCGTCTGCCTAAGAAAAATTAAATTATTTTGGGAACTTTTTTATAATTTTGGATTTATGGGTTAAATGACATTTAGGTGGTAATAGGTGTCTTCCTCTACTCGGATCGGACTGTCAATTTTTTTCTACACTTTTAGGTGTATTTTGTGCAAGAAAATGCATTAAAATCGTCTGCCTAAGAAAAATTAAATTATTTTGGGAACTTTTTTATAATTTTGGATTTATGGGTTAAATGACATTTAGGTGGTAATAGGTGTCTTCCTCTACTCGGATCGGGCTGTCAATTTTTTTCTACACTTTTAGGTGTATTTTGTGCAAGAAAATGCATTAAAATCGTCTGCCTAAGAAAAATTAAATTATTTTGGGAACTTTTTTATAATTTTGGATTTATGGGTTAAATGACATTTAGGTGGTAATAGGTGTCTTCCTCTACTCGGATCGGGCTGTCAATTTTTTTCTACACTTTTAGGTGTATTTTGTGAAAGAAAATGCATTAAAATCGTCTGCCTAAGAAAAATTAAATTATTTTGGGAACTTTTTTATAATTTTGGATTTATGGGTTAAATGACATTTAGGTGGTAATAAGTGTCTTCCTCTACTCGGATCGGGCTGTCAATTTTTTTCTACACTTTTAGGTGTATTTTGTGCAAGAAAATGCATTAAAATCGTCTGCCTAAGAAAAATTAAATTATTTTGGGAACTTTTTTATAATTTTGGATTTATGGGTTAAATGACATTTAGGTGGTAATAAGTGTCTTCCTCTACTCGGATCGGGCTGTCAATTTTTTTCTACACTTTTAGGTGTATTTTGTGAAGGAAAATGCATTAAAATCGTCTGCCTAAGAAAAATTAAATTATTTTGGAAACTTTTTTATAATTTTGGATTTTTGGGTTAAATGACATTTAGGTGGTAATAGGTGTCTTCCTCTACTCGGATCGGGCTGTCAATTTTTTTCTACACTTTTAGGTGTATTTTGTGCAAGAAAATGCATTAAAATCGTCTGCCTAAGAAAAATTAAATTATTTTGGGAACTTTTTTATAATTTTGGATTTATGGGTTAAATGACATTTAGGTGGTAATAGGTGTCTTCCTCTACTCGGATCGGGCTGTCAATTTTTTTCTACACTTTTAGGTGTATTTTGTGCAAGAAAATGCATTAAAATCGTCTGCCTAAGAAAAATTAAATTATTTTGGGAACTTTTTTATAATTTTGGATTTATGGGTTAAATGACATTTAGGTGGTAATAGGTGTCTTCCTCTACTCGGATCGGGCTGTCAATTTTTTTCTACACTTTTAGGTGTATTTTGTGAAAGAAAATGCATTAAAATCGTCTGCCTAAGAAAAATTAAATTATTTTGGGAACTTTTTTATAATTTTGGATTTATGGGTTAAATGACATTTAGGTGGTAATAAGTGTCTTCCTCTACTCGGATCGGGCTGTCAATTTTTTTCTACACTTTTAGGTGTATTTTGTGCAAGAAAATGCATTAAAATCGTCTGCCTAAGAAAAATTAAATTATTTTGGGAACTTTTTTATAATTTTGGATTTATGGGTTAAATGACATTTAGGTGGTAATAAGTGTCTTCCTCTACTCGGATCGGGCTGTCAATTTTTTTCTACACTTTTAGGTGTATTTTGTGAAGGAAAATGCATTAAAATCGTCTGCCTAAGAAAAATTAAATTATTTTGGAAACTTTTTTATAATTTTGGATTTTTGGGTTAAATGACATTTAGGTGGTAATAGGTGTCTTCCTCTACTCGGATCGGGCTGTCAATTTTTTTCTACACTTTTAGGTGTATTTTGTGCAAGAAAATGCATTAAAATCGTCTGCCTAAGAAAAATTAAATTATTTTGGGAACTTTTTTATAATTTTGGATTTATGGGTTAAATGACATTTAGGTGGTAATAGGTGTCTTCCTCTACTCGGATCGGGCTGTCAATTTTTTTCTACACTTTTAGGTGTATTTTGTGCAAGAAAATGCATTAAAATCGTCTGCCTAAGAAAAATTAAATTATTTTGGGAACTTTTTTATAATTTTGGATTTATGGGTTAAATGACATTTAGGTGGTAATAAGTGTCTTCCTCTACTCTTTTTTGGCTGTCAATTTTTTTCTACACTTTTAGGTGTATTTTGTGCAAGAAAATGCTTTAAAATCGTCTGCCTAAGAAAAATTAAATTATTTTGGGAACTTTTTTATAATTTTGGATTTATGGGTTAAATGACATTTAGGTGGTAATAAGTGTCTTCCTCTACTCGGATCGGGCTGTCAATTTTTTTCTACACTTTTAGGTGTATTTTGTGCAGGAAAATGCATTAAAATCGTCTGCCTAAGAAAAATTAAATTATTTTGGGAACTTTTTTATAATTTTGGATTTATGGGTTAAATGACATTTAGGTGGTAATAAGTGTCTTCCTCTACTCTTTTTTGGCTGTCAATTTTTTTCTACACTTTTAGGTGTATTTTGTGCATGAAAATGCATTAAAATCGTCTGCCTAAGAAACATTAAATTATTTTGGGAACTTTTTTATAATTTTGGATTTATGGGTTAAATGACATTTAGGTGGTAATAGGTGTCTTCCTCTACTCGGATCGGGCTGTCAATTTTTTTCTACACTTTTAGGTGTATTTTGTGCAAGAAAATGCATTAAAATCGTCTGCCTAAGAAAAATTAAATTATTTTGGGAACTTTTTTATAATTTTGGATTTATGGGTTAAATGACATTTAGGTGGTAATAGGTGTCTTCCTCTACTCGGATCGGGCTGTCAATTTTTTTCTACACTTTTAGGTGTATTTTGTGAAAGAAAATGCATTAAAATCGTCTGCCTAAGAAAAATTAAATTATTTTGGGAACTTTTTTATAATTTTGGATTTATGGGTTAAATGACATTTAGGTGGTAATAAGTGTCTTCCTCTACTCGGATCGGGCTGTCAATTTTTTTCTACACTTTTAGGTGTATTTTGTGCAAGAAAATGCATTAAAATCGTCTGCCTAAGAAAAATTAAATTATTTTGGGAACTTTTTTATAATTTTGGATTTATGGGTTAAATGACATTTAGGTGGTAATAAGTGTCTTCCTCTACTCGGATCGGGCTGTCAATTTTTTTCTACACTTTTAGGTGTATTTTGTGAAGGAAAATGCATTAAAATCGTCTGCCTAAGAAAAATTAAATTATTTTGGAAACTTTTTTATAATTTTGGATTTTTGGGTTAAATGACATTTAGGTGGTAATAGGTGTCTTCCTCTACTCGGATCGGGCTGTCAATTTTTTTCTACACTTTTAGGTGTATTTTGTGCAAGAAAATGCATTAAAATCGTCTGCCTAAGAAAAATTAAATTATTTTGGGAACTTTTTTATAATTTTGGATTTATGGGTTAAATGACATTTAGGTGGTAATAGGTGTCTTCCTCTACTCGGATCGGGCTGTCAATTTTTTTCTACACTTTTAGGTGTATTTTGTGCAAGAAAATGCATTAAAATCGTCTGCCTAAGAAAAATTAAATTATTTTGGGAACTTTTTTATAATTTTGGATTTATGGGTTAAATGACATTTAGGTGGTAATAAGTGTCTTCCTCTACTCTTTTTTGGCTGTCAATTTTTTTCTACACTTTTAGGTGTATTTTGTGCAAGAAAATGCTTTAAAATCGTCTGCCTAAGAAAAATTAAATTATTTTGGGAACTTTTTTATAATTTTGGATTTATGGGTTAAATGACATTTAGGTGGTAATAAGTGTCTTCCTCTACTCGGATCGGGCTGTCAATTTTTTTCTACACTTTTAGGTGTATTTTGTGCAGGAAAATGCATTAAAATCGTCTGCCTAAGAAAAATTAAATTATTTTGGGAACTTTTTTATAATTTTGGATTTATGGGTTAAATGACATTTAGGTGGTAATAAGTGTCTTCCTCTACTCTTTTTTGGCTGTCAATTTTTTTCTACACTTTTAGGTGTATTTTGTGCATGAAAATGCATTAAAATCGTCTGCCTAAGAAACATTAAATTATTTTGGGAACTTTTTTATAATTTTGGATTTATGGGTTAAATGACATTTTGGTGGTAAAAGGTGTCTTCCTCTACTCTTTTTTGGCTGTCAATTTTTTTCTACACTTTTAGGTGTATTTTGTGCAGGAAAATGCATTAAAATCGTCTGCCTAAGAAAAATTAAATTATTTTGGAAACTTTTTTATAATTTTGGATTTTTGGGTTAAATGACATTTAGGTGGTAATAAGTGTCTTCCTCTACTCTTTTTTGGCTGTCAATTTTTTTCTACACTTTTAGGTGTATTTTGTGCAAGAAAATGCATTAAAATCGTCTGCCTAAGAAAAATTAAATTATTTTGGGAACTTTTTTATAATTTTGGATTTATGGGTTAAATGACATTTAGTTGGTAATATGTGTCTTCCTCTACTCGGATCGGGCTGTCAATTTTTTTCTACACTTTTAGGTGTATTTTGTGCAAGAAAATGCATTAAAATCGTCTGCCTAAGAAAAATTAAATTATTTTGGGAACTTTTTTATAATTTTGGATTTATGGGTTAAATGACATTTAGGTGGTAATAGGTGTCTTCCTCTACTCTTTTTTGGAGGTCAATTTTTTTCTACACTTTTAGGTGTATTTTGTGCAAGAAAATGCAATAAAATAGTCCGCCTAAGAAAAATTGAATTATTTTGGGAACTTTTTTATAATTTTGGATTTATGGGTCAAATGACATTTAGGTGGTAATAGGTGTCTTCCTCTAGTTGGATCGGGCTGTCAATTTTTTCCTACACTTTAAGGTGTATTTTGTGCATGAAAATGCATTAAAATCGTCTGCCTAAGAAACATTAAATTATTTTGGGAACTTTTTTATAATTTTGGATTTATGGGTCAAATGACATTTAGGTGGTAATAGGTGTCTTCCTCTAGTTGGATCGGGCTGTCAATTTTTTTCTACACTTTTAGGTGTATTTTGTGCAGGAAAATGCATTAAAATCGTCTGCCTAAGAAAAATTAAATTATTTTGGAAACTTTTTTATAATTTTGGATTTTTGGGTTAAATGACATTTAGGTGGTAATAGGTGTCTTCCTCTACTCGGATCGGGCTGTCAATTTTTTTCTACACTTTTAGGTGTATTTTGTGCAAGAAAATGCATTAAAATCGTCTGCCTAAGAAAAATTAAATTATTTTGGGAACTTTTTTATAATTTTGGATTTATGGGTTAAATGACATTTAGGTGGTAATAGGTGTCTTCCTCTACTCGGATCGGACTGTCAATTTTTTTCTACACTTTTAGGTGTATTTTGTGCAAGAAAATGCATTAAAATCGTCTGCCTAAGAAAAACTAAATTATTTTGGGAACTTTTTTATAATTTTGGATTTATGGGTTAAATGACATTTAGGTGGTAATAAGTGTCTTCCTCTACTCTTTTTTGGCTGTCGATTTTTTTCTACACTTTTAGGTGTATTTTGTGCAAGAATATGCAATAAAATCGTCTGCCTAAGAAAAATTGAATTTTTTTGGAAAATTTTTTTTTTACCTGGATGACTTTTTGGTGGTAATAGAGGTCTTCCTCTACACGGATTTGGCTGTCAATTTTTTGCTACACTTTTAGGTGTATTTTGTTCAAGAATATGCAATAAAATCGTCCGCCTAAAAAAAATTGAATTTTTTTGGAAATTTTTTTTTTTACCTGGATGACATTTCGGTGCTAATAAGGGTCTTCCTCTACTCGGATTTGGCTGTCGATGTTTTTCTACACTTTTAGGTGTATTTTGTGCAGGAATATGCAATAAAATCGTCTGCCTAAGAAAAATTGAATTTTTTTGGAAAATTTTTTTTTGACATGGATGACTTTTTGGTGGTATTAGTGGTCTTCCTCTACTCGGATTTGGCTGTCGATTTTTTTCTACACTTTTAGGTGTATTTGGTGCAAGAATAAGCAATAAAATCGTCTGCCTAAGAAAAATTGAATTTTTTTGGAAATTTTTTTTTTTACCTGGATGACATTTCGGTGCTAATAACGGTCTTCCTCTACTCGGATTTGGCTGTCGATTTTTTTCTACACTTTCAGGTGTATTTTGTGCAAGAATATACAATAAAATCGTCTGCCTAAGAAAAATTAAATTTTTTTGGAAATTTTTTTTTGGACCTTGATGACTTTTTGTTGGTATTAGTGGTCTTCCTCTACTCGGATTTGGCTGTCGATTTTTTTCTACACTTTTAGGTGTATTTTCTGCAAGAATATGCAATAAAATCGTCTGCCTAAGAAAAATTCAATTTTTTTGAAAATTGTTTTTTTTACCTGGATGACATTTCGGTGCTAATAAGGGTCTTCCTCTACTCGGATTTGACTGTCGATTTTTTTCTACACTTTTAGGTGTATTTTGTGCAAGAAATTGCAATAAAATAGTCTTCCTAAGAAAAATTGAATTTTTTTGGGAACTTTTTTATGATTTTGGATGCCTTTTTGGTGGTAATAGGTGTCTTCCTCTACTTGTATCGGGCTGTCGATTTTTTTCTACACTTTTAGGTGTATTTTCTGCAAGAATATGCAATAAAATCGTCTGCCTAAGAAAAATTGAATTTTTTTGGAAAATTTTTTTTTGACATGGATGACTTTTTGGTGGTATTAGTGGTCTTCCTCTACTCGGATTTGGCTGTCGATTTTTTTCTACACTTTTAGGTGTATTTGGTGCAAGAATATGCAATAAAATCGTCTGCCTAAGAAAAATTGAATTTTTTTGGAAAATTTTTTTTTGACATGGATGACTTTTTGGTGGTATTAGTGGTCTTCCTCTACTCGGATTTGGCTGTCGATTTTTTTCTACACTTTTAGGTGTATTTGGTGCAAGAATATGCAATAAAATCGTCTGCCTAAGAAAAATTGAATTTTTTTGGAAATTTTTTTTTTTACCTGGATGACATTTCGGTGCTAATAACGGTCTTCCTCTACTCGGATTTGGCTGTCGATTTTTTTCTACACTTTTAGGTGTATTTTGTGCAAGAAATTGCAATAAAATAGTCTTCCTAAGAAAAATTGAATTTTTTTGGGAACTTTTTTATGATTTTGGATGCCTTTTTGGTGGTAATAGGTGTCTTCCTCTACTTGTATCGGGGTGTCAATTTTTTTCTACACTTTTGGGTTTATTTTGTGCAGGAATTTGCAATGAAATCGTCTGTCTACGAAAAAATAAATTTTTTGGGAATTTAGGGGTTGCCTTAAGGGTGGTAATAGGGGTCTTCTCCTATTTGTATCGTGCTGGCAATTTTTTTTTTACTGTTAGTTGTATTTCGTGCAAGAATTCGTAATAAAATTGTTTATCTATGAAAAATTGAATTTTTTTGGGAATTTTATCATTATTTTGAATTATAAAATTACATTATCATAATGATTTAAAAATTTTTATACAAGAAAGTTGACTAATGGGATGTTAGTAGCGCGCATTTAAGCGCGTGTGTGTTGCTAGATACATATCAATAAATAGTATGATAAATAAAGTTAGTTGCATATGCGTGTTGTGGATACATAAACATTCTAATAAAATTATTTATAACAATTATGTGTAACAAATGCCTATATATAATGAATAAAGATAACAAATAATTTATAATAATTAAAAAAAATTCACTTTGATCTATAATTAAAAATAAATTAAAAAGCATATAAGAATTCTTAGGATATTTGTAAAGAATTAATTTCTAATCATATATAGCTTAATAGGTATACATATTATATTTTAGAGAAATCAAAGACAAAATATCGATATGTACTCACCAGTCACCCACATAAGATACAAGAAAATGAAATCATGAGTTTATATACTTACCTTGAAATACCCCGCTCCAACATAATAATGACAATGTATATAAAAGGTGATTTCACTAAATAGTATCAGAAAAAAGAGATACAACACAAAAATCAATCAAGCAATTGGAAATCTAAATCAAGATAAAAGAAATTTTATTTTTTAAAAACGCGTACATTCCGATATAATCAAAATAAGAGGTGCGATAAAATACAGTATTAAAAATTTCTGATCAAAATACAATACAATTGTAAAATAATGAAATCTTCTACAGTAAAATAAATATTAATTCATGATATTTTAAAAATTAATTTTTTAACTTATAAACAAAAAATATGACCAGAATGTAAAAAACCATGACCTATTTTTATGCAAATGCTGGTAAGTAGACCTTGTATGAAACAGAAAAAATAGTTTTCAAATATTTTACTTTAATTCCTACCCACATAGAATAATCTCTTACTCAAATATATATTTCTTTGTGTATATAATTTACATATTCAGATAGGACACAAAACCACAATAACTTTGCGTAGAAATTTTTAGAAAATTTTGATTTACATGGAATTATTCCATTAGCAATTCAGATTGGAAGTATAGTCATAAAATAAAAATATATTACATATATTTTAATAAAAACTCATTAGCGATCTAAGATTTTTCCATTCCTGCAGGTATTCAATTTATTACTTTCTGAGGATATATGTATATATGTAAATATATACTTCTGCAACGGCTGAGCGATAAAAATTATATCTGAAAAATTAAAGTCAATATAGATAACGAACAGTTTTATGATAAAACTTTACTTTGCTTTAATAATAATTTAAAATATATTTATAATAAATAAGTACAAAAAATTGTGTACAAATTAGTAAAAACATTATTTTACATTAATTTTCAATTTTTAAAGAAGATTGAGACATGAATTGATATTACCGGTAATGTTATTAAATTAATAAAATAGTCTTCATTGGAATATTTTCTGCGAGATGCCTCTCCTTAGTGATCATCTGTCGATAATTATAACTGATATCAAGAAGTATTCTTGATTAATATATATTTATCGACGGTGGTCCTTAAGGAGGCCATTAAAAAATACTAAATCAAATAGTAATATTTTACTAAAAATTAGTAAAAATTCTCACTAATGTGAATATTAGCAACTCACTTTTCACAAATTTAAATTTAGAGAGTTAATAAATTTACTCTGTAAATCTAAATAATGAAGAAGTCTTTCACGTAAAAAAATAAGTGCATATACATTTAAAATAATAGGGAAATTAATATGAATTCTATGTTTTATCATTAAAAAATATCATACATGTATATTTAATAATAAAATAATATCCAAGGTTTTTATACAATAGAATTCATTTTAAAATAAATAGTAGGTATATAATACAAAAATTTATAAATTGTAACTTTTATTATGTAATATTTTAACAACTTATTGAAGTGCTGGAAGCTCTCATGAGAGAAGAAGGAGAAAGAATAAATTAAAATTTTTATGTATATGATACGGTTTTATACACATATGTACATATATGTGTGAATAACAGAACAGAGATAACAGAATTCCAGTTGCTCCCCACATGTCTCTACGACCTGTTGAAACACAGACTATACCAGAATCAGTATATACAATTATAGTGTTTCTCAATAATTACAATGAGCGTTAAATACAAAATTAAGGTAAGAATAAATAAATAATAAAAATTGTACAAAATAAAGGTACCTCTCACAATGTATAACAACATACAATTGCCCAGTGTGCACGTTATGTAACTGTTCTAGAAAAAAGTGTAACTTGTTCTAGAACAAGTGTTACAATTTTGCAATAGAACAGTTTTGGAACTGTGTTCTAGACCTGCTCTGCAACAGTTGTTCTGCCTCTGTTCTATAAGGAAGATGTAACATTTGTTCTAGAACAGTGTTGCAAACAAGATGTAAATTCAGATGTTCATTACATGAAAATTTTGCTTCCTCTTTACGATCAACAAAAAAATTTGCATCCTCGTGGAGAAAGCATTAACATTAAAATAAACGTACATTAATAATATAATAATATAAACATTTGAGTATACATTTGAGTTAAATTTAAAAAATTAATGGAAGTTAAAAAATCAAAAATTCACATTCTAGCTGAAATTTCTAAAAATTAATGAAAAATAATATATAATTTATAATTATTTACAATTATATCGGTTTGCTTCAATGCAAGGAACACAATTATTTTATATTTAAAATTGATTTTAAATAAATACAAAATTTTTCAGCTAAAATGGTATTTTTTTTTTAACTTTCATTAATTTATTAAATTTACCTCAAATGTATACTTTATATATACCAATCGATTCGTTTTCATGCAAGGAATACAATTATTTCATATATAAACTTCAATTTAAAAAATAACAAAATTTTATTGCTAAAAGGTGAATTTTTAATTTTATAACTTTCATTAATTCTTTAAATTTAAATTGAAACTATACTTTATATATACCAATCAATTTGTCTTGACGTAAGGAATACGATTTTAATATACATAACCTTAAATTTTTCTATTTAAAAATTTTTTCTATTAAAAAAAAAATTTTGGAAAGAAGACGATAAAACTTTTTTTTTTGGGTATTTTTTAAAATCCTTTGGTCAGTTTTGAGATATTAATATATATAATGGTTTAATCGCCCTAGCGCACACAATATTTGACCAAGACAGTTCATATTTGGTATACATATATGTGACGCTCCACGAGAGAAGGGACCTAACGTGCTTTTGACTTAAAGTTCGCTTTTACCGTGCAATGACACAGTGAATGAACCTTAAGTCAAAAGCACGTTAGGCTGCAGTCCCATGGCAGCGTTTTGCGTTGCGTTTTGTCACTAGACCATGAGTGTAAAAGAGATGCAGATATATGTTTGCTATGTTTACACTCAGGGTCTAGTGACAAAACGCAACGCAAAACGCTGCCATGGGACTGCAGCCTTAGGTCCCTTCTCTCGTGGAGCGTCACATATGCGTATTTTTGCGTGTAGATTACAGGAAATTGGAGTTGATTATCATAGCGTTTTCAAGGACAAACTGATAATTTTCGATCTATGTGTTTATGTCTATCTATGTGTTTTCATGCTCACATTACAGGAAAAATTAAGCAAAATTGGAATTTTTCCATAGGCCTTTACACTTTAACCCCCTCAAATTTTAGGTTTAACGCTACGGAACCCTCGGTTTTAATGCGATTGTAACTCGCACTTGTTCGCTTTTTTTGTTATAGAACAGCTACAGAACTGTTCTGTAACTTTGCACACTGGGTGGTAATTAATGGTTACAAGAAAAAGAAGAAGTAAAAATATTCACATAAAGTAGACTTTATATTCCATTTATACACTCGAATCATAAAATAACTAAATTTAATATAACAAGAATTCGCTTTAACAAGCTAATAAATGTTTTTAACTTATGACCTTTGATTTTTGAGGTTATTTGCTTTTAAATAATGTTTTTAGCAAAATTCTTTTAAAAAAATCACACGCAAAATCGGTTACTAAACAGGTCATAGTCAAATTGACTGAAACTATTCTCTCCATGTTTTAAATAAAATGCATAACCCTTTTATATATTCCAGGTGGGCATAATTGGAGGATCAGGATTAGATGATCCTAGCCACCAATTATTAAAATCTTGTCATATTATTAAGCGTGAGAGTGTTGAAACAGATTTTGGATTGCCATCTAGTAATCTCTTCCAAGGTACAATAGCTGGAGTTGATTGTATACTGCTCTCAAGGTAATCCCAATTATATATTCAAGCATATTAATATAGTGATAAACAAAAGAAATTTTTGATTTTTATACTAATCAAAAAATTTGATAAGAAATACAACACTTTCATAATATCGATATACAATTACACATTACACGCAAATGTTTTAGACATGGAGTAGGTCAAATAATAAATCCAACAGGAGTCAATTATCGTGCAAATATTGAAGCTCTGCGTTCTGTGGGATGCACTCACATTATTGCAACAACGGCCTGTGGTTCCCTTATTGAATCTATTGACAGAGGAAATTTAGTGATTCCGGATAGTTTTATTGATAGAACTATTCACAGAAAAGGAACACTTTATGACGGTACATCACGAAAGTATCAAGGAATATGTCACATTCCAATGGAACCATCATTTGATCCAGATGTAGCAAACATTTTTGAAAGTGCAGCTAAAGATTTGGGAATAATGATAAGAAAAGGAGGAACTGTAGTGACAATAGAAGGTCCTAGGTACTCATCTAAGGCTGAAAGTAATGTTTTTCGTTCATGGGGTGGACATCTGATAAATATGAGTATATGTCCAGAGGTAAAGGAAAGAAAATAAAATAAAATTTCTAAAAAAAGACTAAACAAAAAAGATACAACCGTATCTAGACCTTTTGATTAATAAATTAAAAAAAGATGTAGTTAAAATAACCATTTTGTATTAATAGGTACGGGAAAAAAAATTAAAATAAAATTTTCTTCCAATATTTAACAATGTACTCGAACTCCAATAAGAAACTGTAGATTTATTTAATCAATTCACTTAACCTTTCGACTTAATTTTCTGTAAATTCAAAAAAAAGAAAATATTCGATTTTTTTAAAGGAATATAATTTTTGATCTTAGGTTTATTTAGCAAAAGAAGCAGGTATTTTGTACGGTGCTATTGCCTTAGCAACAGACTATGATTGTTGGCATGAATCTGAGCAAGTCGTTTGTGCTTCTGATGTATTAGTCGTATTTAAGAAAAATCTTAGCAGATTGATAGAAATAATTCTCAAATCAGTAGAACTTATTGGACAAAAAAATTGGGATCAGCAGATTGATAATTTAAAGGTAATTACTATATTTCAAATTAATATTATATCTCAAAAGATATACAGGACATTCCAATGAACACTAATAAAAATTTTAATTACAAAATATATAATTCATTTTCAGCAAATCATAAAAAATAATACAATATAGCTGAAATAAAAGGAAAATGTTACAGTTTATAAAAAATGAAAAATTTAAGATACAAACATAAAAGACTAGTTTGAAGCAGTTTGTTTACACCATTTAGGTCTGAGGATCACGAAGTAGAACGCTATAATTGCTTTTTTAGAGTATAAAAGATCTACGTACTTAAATACGTTAAAAATTATTAAATCAAATATCTTTTAAAAAAGTACATTAATACTAATTTTTGTAATTTTAATTACCTCATCTTTGTAAGCGGACGATTTTTAATAATACAAATTTTAAATGCAGCTGTTTCCCTGTTACAGAATACAATATATACTTTCCTTTTTGTAATACAATTCAGATATTCTACAAAAACGTTGCAAAACAAAAGAATAAATAAATAAACTCGTAAATCAATAAAAGTTTATTTTTATTTTAGTTATTTCTTTAAAAAAATTTGTTATTTTCCACTAACTAAGTACCTCAAAATAAAGGTCGGATTTTTTGGGAAAACTAAATTAACAGATTTGGGCTTCTATTATACATGAATCTCTTCGTCATAAAAAGGCGAACAAAAAATGTATGGCGCACTTTTTGATTAAACCAATATATTCAATGATAATGGCATATAAAGGTCAAATTTTTTGGGAAAAATAAATTAACAGATTTGGGATTCTATTATACATGAATCTCTTCGTCATAAAAAGGCGAACAAAAAATGTATGGCGCAGTTTTCGATTAAACCAATATATTCAAAGATAATAGCATATAAAGGTCAAATTTTTTGGGAAAAATAAATTAACAGATTTGGGATTCTATTATACATGAATCTCTTCGTCATAAAAAGGCGAACAAAAAATGTATGGCGCAGTTTTCGATTAAACCAATATATTCAATGATAATGGCATATAAAGGTCAAATTTTTTGGGAAAAATAAATTAACAGATTTGGGATTCTATTATACATGAATCTCTTCGTCATAAAATGGCGAACAAAAAATGTATGGCGCACTTTTTGATGCATGCAATATATTCAAAGATAATAGCATATAAAGGTCGGATTTTTCGGGAAAAATAAATTAACAGATTTGGGCTTCTATTATACATGAATCTCTTCGTCATAAAAAGGCGAACAAAAAATGTATGGCGCACTTTTCGATTAAACCAATATATTCAAAGATAATGGCATATAAATGTCGGATTTTTTGGCAAAAATAAATTAACAGATTTGGGCTTCTATTATACATGAATCTCTTCGTCATAAAAAGGCGAACAAAAAATGTATGGCGCACTTTTTGATTAAACCAATATATTCAAAGATAATGGCATATAAAGGTCGGATTTTTTGGGAAAAATAAATTAACAGATTTGGGCTTCTATTATACATGAATCTCTTCGTCATAAAAAGGCGAACAAAAAATGTATGGCGCACTTTTCGATTAAACCAATATATTCAAAGATAATGGCATATAAAGGTCGGATTTTTTGGGAAAAATAAATTAACAGATTTGGGCTTCTATTATACATGAATCTCTTCGTCATAAAAAGGCGAACAAAAAAAGTATAACGCACTTTTCGATTATACCAATATATTCAAAGATAATGGCATATAAAGGTCGGATTTTTTGGGAAAAATAAATTAACAGATTTGGGCTTCTATTATTCATGAATCTCTTCGTCATAAAAAGGCGAACAAAAAATGTATGGCGCACTTTTCGATTAAACCAATATATTCAAAGATAATGGCATATAAAGGTCGGATTTTTTGGGAAAAATAAATTAACAGATTTGGGCTTCTATTATACATGAATCTCTTCGTCATAAAAAGGCGAACAACAAATGTATGGCGCACTTTTTGATTAAACCAATATATTCAATGATAATGGCATATAAAGGTCGAATTTTTTGGGAAAAATAAATTAACAGATTTGGGATTCTATTATACATGAATCTCTTCGTCATAAAAAGGCGAACAAAAAATGTATGGCGCAGTTTTCGATTAAACCAATATATTCAAAGATAATAGCATATAAAGGTCGGATTTTTTGGGAAAAATAAATTAACAGATTTGGGCTTCTATTATACATGAATCTCTTCGTCATAAAAAGGCGAACAAAAAATGTATGGCGCACTTTTCGATTAAACCAATATATTCAAAGATAATGGCATATAAAGGTCGGATTTTTTGGGAAAAATAAATTAACAGATTTGGGCTTCTATTATACATGAATCTCTTCGTCATAAAAAGGCGAACAAAAAATGTATGGCGCACTTTTTGATGCATGCAATATATTCAAAGATAATGGCATATAAAGGTCGGATTTTTCGGGAAAAATAAATTAACAGATTTGGGCTTCTATTATACATGAATCTCTTCGTCATAAAAAGGCGAACAAAAAATGTATGGCGCACTTTTCGATTAAACCAATATATTCAAAGATAATGGCATATAAAGGTCGGATTTTTTGGGAAAAATAAATTAACAGATTTGGGCTTCTATTATACATGAATCTCTTCGTCATAAAAAGGCGAACAAAAAATGTATGGCGCACTTTTTGATTAAACCAATATATTCAAAGATAATGGCATATAAAGGTCGGATTTTTTGGGAAAAATAAATTAACAGATTTGGGCTTCTATTATACATGAATCTCTTCGTCATAAAAAGGCGAACAAAAAATGTATGGCGCACTTTTCGATTAAACCAATATATTCAAAGATAATGGCATATAAAGGTCGGATTTTTTGGGAAAAATAAATTAACAGATTTGGGCTTCTATTATACATGAATCTCTTCGTCATAAAAAGGCGAACAAAAAATGTATGGCGCACTTTTCGATTAAACCAATATATTCAAAGATAATGGCATATAAAGGTCGGATTTTTTGGGAAAAATAAATTAACAGATTTGGGCTTCTATTATACATGAATCTCTTCGTCATAAAAAGGCGAACAAAAAATGTATGGCGCACTTTTTGATTAAACCAATATATTCAAAGATAATGGCATATAAAGGTCGGATTTTTTGGGAAAAATAAATTAACAGATTTGGGCTTCTATTATACATGAATCTCTTCGTCATAAAAAGGCGAACAAAAAATGTATGGCGCACTTTTTGATTAAACCAATATATTCAAAGATAATGGCATATAAAGGTCGGATTTTTTGGGAAAAATAAATTAACAGATTTGGGCTTCTATTATACATGAATCTCTTCGTCATAAAAAGGCGAACAAAAAATGTATGGCGCACTTTTCGATTAAACCAATATATTCAAAGATAATGGCATATAAAGGTCGGATTTTTTGGGAAAAATAAATTAACAGATTTGGGCTTCTATTATACATGAATCTCTTCGTCATAAAAAGGCGAACAAAAAATGTATGGCGCACTTTTTGATTAAACCAATATATTCAAAGATAATGGCATATAAAGGTCGGATTTTTTGGGAAAAATAAATTAACAGATTTGGGCTTCTATTATACATGAATCTCTTCGTCATAAAAAGGCGAACAAAAAATGTATGGCGCACTTTTTGATTAAACCAATATATTCAAAGATAATGGCATATAAAGGTCGGATTTTTTGGGAAAAATAAATTAACAGATTTGGGCTTCTATTATACATGAATCTCTTCGTCATAAAAAGGCGAACAAAAAATGTATGGCGCACTTTTCGATTAAACCAATATATTCAAAGATAATGGCATATAAAGGTCGGATTTTTTGGGAAAAATAAATTAACAGATTTGGGCTTCTATTATACATGAATCTCTTCGTCATAAAAAGGCGAACAAAAAATGTATGGCGCACTTTTTGATTAAACCAATATATTCAAAGATAATGGCATATAAAGGTCGGATTTTTTGGGAAAAATAAATTAACAGATTTGGGCTTCTATTATACATGAATCTCTTCGTCATAAAAAGGCGAACAAAAAATGTATGGCGCACTTTTCGATTAAACCAATATATTCAAAGATAATGGCATATAAAGGTCGGATTTTTTGGGAAAAATAAATTAACAGATTTGGGCTTCTATTATACATGAATCTCTTCGTCATAAAAAGGCGAACAAAAAATGTATGGCGCACTTTTTGATTAAACCAATATATTCAAAGATAATGGCATATAAAGGTCGGATTTTTTGGGAAAAATAAATTAACAGATTTGGGCTTCTATTATACATGAATCTCTTCGTCATAAAAAGGCGAACAAAAAATGTATGGCGCACTTTTCGATTAAACCAATATATTCAAAGATAATGGCATATAAAGGTCGGATTTTTTGGGAAAAATAAATTAACAGATTTGGGCTTCTATTATACATGAATCTCTTCGTCATAAAAAGGCGAACAAAAAATGTATGGCGCACTTTTTGATTAAACCAATATATTCAAAGATAATGGCATATAAAGGTCGGATTTTTTGGGAAAAATAAATTAACAGATTTGGGCTTCTATTATACATGAATCTCTTCGTCATAAAAAGGCGAACAAAAAATGTATGGCGCACTTTTCGATTAAACCAATATATTCAAAGATAATGGCATATAAAGGTCGGATTTTTTGGGAAAAATAAATTAACAGATTTGGGCTTCTATTATACATGAATCTCTTCGTCATAAAAAGGCGAACAAAAAATGTATGGCGCACTTTTTGATTAAACCAATATATTCAAAGATAATGGCATATAAAGGTCGGATTTTTTGGGAAAAATAAATTAACAGATTTGGGCTTCTATTATACATGAATCTCTTCGTCATAAAAAGGCGAACAAAAAATGTATGGCGCACTTTTCGATTAAACCAATATATTCAAAGATAATGGCATATAAAGGTCGGATTTTTTGGGAAAAATAAATTAACAGATTTGGGCTTCTATTATACATGAATCTCTTCGTCATAAAAAGGCGAACAAAAAATGTATGGCGCACTTTTCGATTAAACCAATATATTCAAAGATAATGGCATATAAAGGTCGGATTTTTTGGGAAAAATAAATTAACAGATTTGGGCTTCTATTATACATGAATCTCTTCGTCATAAAAAGGCGAACAAAAAATGTATGGCGCACTTTTTGATTAAACCAATATATTCAAAGATAATGGCATATAAAGGTCGGATTTTTTGGGAAAAATAAATTAACAGATTTGGGCTTCTATTATACATGAATCTCTTCGTCATAAAAAGGCGAACAAAAAATGTATGGCGCACTTTTCGATTAAACCAATATATTCAAAGATAATGGCATATAAAGGTCGGATTTTTTGGGAAAAATAAATTAACAGATTTGGGCTTCTATTATACATGAATCTCTTCGTCATAAAAAGGCGAACAAAAAATGTATGGCGCACTTTTCGATTAAACCAATATATTCAAAGATAATGGCATATAAAGGTCGGATTTTTTGGGAAAAATAAATTAACAGATTTGGGC